GAACCATATTCATCTACCATGAGATTGGTGTCAGCCGAAATCTGTCTAAATGGTCCAAACACGGTGAAAAATGTCACAAAATACTTATTGAGATCAGTCAGAAAGCACCCCCCTCCCCCTCCTACATGGGTAGAGAAACATACTGCTTTGATAACTGAGAAGCTTTTCAAAGAGTTAGACCATCCTTCCATTTATAAAATATTCGATGTAGAACAACGTTTCTAAAATTCTATTATCCTTGATTATGAGATTTTCTGTGTTAAGGATTTTTTTCTGATTTTATTTTGCATCTCAAATCAAATATCTTTTTGGACGCATCCTCCTTACATATTAGGCATAGACAAGATTTGGTCTATAAATCTTATAAGACTATGAATATGAAAGACATGCATCTTCAGCTTTTTCCCATCACGACAAGAATGGTTCTCTTGGGCCCTTAAACGTTCTAAGTCGAAGGTGTCCTTTTCTTGTGTTCCCCCATAAGAACAGTGTAAAGGGATAACTTCCAGTCCTTTTCATCTTATTGCACTTTCTCATATGTTGGATTATTGCTATTTCAGGCATGTATCGATTGTGGATTTTTCCATGTGATAAATCATGGAATAAGTGAGGAGCTTATGGAAGAGATCTTTGTCCAAAGTAAGAATTTTTTTGCTCTTCCTATAGACGAAAAAATGAAGCTTCTGAGGAATAAGAAAAATCGTGGCTATACTCCTACTCTCGATGAGGCACTGGATCCCGATAATCAAGTTGGTGGTTAGTCAAACAGATTTACTATTTACTTAAAGCTGGTCCTGTTTTTTCGTGAAATTAATCTTTCAAAAAAAAAAAACATTTTTTGTTGTTGTATTCTCGTACATCGTTTGGAGATGTTCTGTTTCGATTTACTTTACGAAATGACATTCACTAGTTAGTCATGTCAATTTCTCGGAATATTGCGAGTAATTTATTTTACTTGCCTCCCATGTTTGTGTAACAGTTATTTCATGTCTCCTTAGTACAATAAGCTACTATTTCTGGGCTAGCGCTAGTTGGCATATTGGAAGTGGTAGTGGTCGAAAGGACAACAATGATCATAATTATGACGTTTGAAATAAAATATCGAAAAACTACATGATAAAATTGAATGACTGGCTGTTCAATGGGTGATCATCTTGCCCATTATTACATATGAACTCTTTGACTTTGTGAACTTCCTGACAATGATGCAACAGTGACTTTTTTTAAGGAGTAACGCTAATAATTTTTCGTACATTGATGTTCTTTACCTTTGCCTCATTGCATGGTAGTAATTCAGACTATTGTTAAGTGTTTACAGGTGACTACAAAGAAGGTTATTACATTGGCATTGAATTTTCAGATGATGATCCACAAGCGGATAAACCATTCTATGGACCTAATTTGTGGCCTTCTGAAGGTAATTTTTGAAGCAATTACGACTAACATTTCTGAATATCCAACATACTGGATAGATCTGATACACCCTCCTACTGTACTAAATTACCTAGAATTAATTTATTGTCAGACAACCTTTAATTTTTTTCTAGTTGACTCTTTCATAGCTGTGGCCAACTTCATCAACTCAAGCTTATCCGTGATGTAGACCAAGTACCTTAGAAAAATAGTTTGAATTTCACTAACCATAGCCATTTTTCGTTCATACTATGCACATAGTTCTGGATCCAACCTCATCTTTACTCTATACAAAGGGAGAATTTCTACGCTCATCCATATTTTGATGAAAAAGTCACATGATGGTGGAGAACTGCTAGAAAATTACCCCAAAGATTCCATACCCGGGAGTTATTTAGACTAACTCGAGGTTTGAATTCTTACCATATGGAAGTGGACATTCTAGGCTACCATGCTGCCCATTTCACAGAAGAAGGAAAAAAGAGACGGAAAACAGTCTAGAAATACTTTCCTGATGGTTATATGCGATATCTTGTAAAATAGAAAAGACGTTAGATTTAGTAGCATGAATTAACCATGGCTGACGAAATGAATCAATCATGCATATCCGTATCATTTTCTTTGTGGCCTAATAAGAGACTCAGAATCTCTCTTCCCTTTCTCTTTTCCTCATCATAAGATCTGTTGCGTGGATGGAGACACACCATGGAGCACTTTCACAAGGAAGCGCTGTGAGTTTCCAAACTTTTCTTTAACCAGACATACGGATAACTAAAATACTTGTTTCCTCAATGACGACAAACACTTTTTCCTTCAAAGGAAAATTGTCTATTGAAAATTTTCACATATCCTAGAACTTCAATTATAATTAAATATTCTTTGGGCATCAAAATTACACTTAAAACTGCCTCCAAAATTTATCTTTTTAATAACCCGTTGTGATTTTTATTTTCAGAACAAGTTTTCAGAACAAGTTTTCCTTTAAAATTTCTTTTTTTCTTTTTCCTGTAAATATTAATGTTTTTTGTAACCTCTTTTTTATTCTTTGAATCTTGTTTCCATTTATGCCCCTATTGTATGCTCTAAATTTCTCATAAGACATTATGATCTCATTCAAACATAATCGAATCAAATTCACGAAGAGGGCACAATCATTCGATCCCAATCAGGACTGGCTGATTCAGATTACAATTGGGAGGCCCTGATCAAATTTAAAATAATAAGCTGGAAATTTTCTGTTTATACCTGAATTGGCGGATTACTTTAAAGGGATGCGCTTTTCGTATGCCCTTTGTCCTTCCTGTAATATCCTTATTGACGGAGGAAGAGGTAGCAATGAAATACTTGTTGTCTGCGAGCTCACAGCAAAGAGGGACGGAAACGCTCACCTCTGCCAGCCTTGCTGCTTTCTGCAGCTGCAGGATACCTGCTGCCTCCTTGCTCCACTCTGCCTGCACATTTTCCTCCATGATAGTCTGAGAAAGGGTCAGGCATTGCTAGTCGGGCAGGTCTCAGTTTAGTTCTATTATATGCTAAAATTGTAGATCCATGCCCTTTTAACCGAATTGATCATTTTCCCATAATCTTTGTCAATCCAGTCCCTAATTTGGGATCAGATTGGTCTTGGGTACTTCTCAGTACCTATCTGACTCCACCTATCATAGCCATAGTTTTTTTCCTTGTTCACTCTCCATGACACGTGTAGCCTTTATCTTACACATCATCTTAATTGGTCAGTATTGGTCTGGAGTTCTTAGAACTTGTCAATCTCCCGTGAGCCAACTGCTAGTAAGCATTGGCAAGCTTGTTATGGAGTGCTCAGAACTTGTCAATCACTCGTTAACCAACTCATAGCAACTGGTAGATCTGCCCCGTCAGTCACCTTTAGGTTTTTTGTTTGTTATTTGCACATGTCTGATGTTAGATTCCTTTTTTGTGTCTGTGGGTGGGTGGGTAAGGGGAGTTGTTTTAGATTGCTTTTTGGCCCTAAACTTTTTATTTTTTAAAATATTGAAATGAAAAATGCAAGGCAGCTTTGTGATATATGGACGCATGTTTCCCAATGGCCTTGTGCAATTGATGTCATTGATTAACACCTTCAGAATTTGATTTATTCTTCTATTGGGAATATATTTTCTTGGTCATTTTTGTTGCTCGACCAATTATTAAATAGTTAAAAATTTAATATATTTATTATTTTATTTAAATTAGAATCATTTCCGTATAAAGTAAAATTCCATTTTCCGGTCTTCTCTTTTCCCTTCTTGACACTCCAATCTACCATTACTGGTACATCGGTTCACCACTATTTGGTATCCAAGTTGATTTCAAACAATGGCGAATTGATTGATGTGCGAACTGAAGAGCCAAAGGGGATAAGGAAACCTATTATCCCCTTGTAAAGGCCAACCATCAACAAAATGAAAAATTCATATAAAAAGAATAAAAATCAAATCCTTAAGGCATTGTTTTTGATTGTCTACTACGGATTTTTTTCCATTTTTATCACCTTGGATTGCACCAGTTCAAACCCCTTTTCCGTTTTCAAGATTGATGAAAACATTACTGGTTAAGGTTTCCATTGATATAGGCTTCTAGAAGAGCATTTCACGGTGACTGGAATAATGTTTGGCAGGGTTTCAGCAGAATATAGAATAGTGTTCGTGTCCCATGTGGCGTTCGGAATTAGGAAGGCTCAGAGTTCGTCCTGATCACAAGCGATGAGAAGAAGCCAGAAGATATTACATAACACAGAGGGAGTTTTTAGTGGTTATTTTTATGACTCTTACGACTTATTTTTAGAATTTCACTATTTAAAACTAATTGGAAATGAAGAGCACCCATCAACCGGAGGAAATTATTTGTTTGATAGTACAATGTTCCGAATAAAACCTTGGTTGCTCTCTTTTTATCGTCTCTCTTTATTTTTTTAAATTACGATTTATAGAAAATTTGAAATTGATTTTTCCATCCGAAGGAAAAAGGCTGATCATCTTGAATGTCAACGCACTATACATGTCTGCCCAACACGGATGCATTTCCGCTGAATTATATGGGGCATTATCTTGACCAGAGAAACAAAACTGATTGGGAACCATGCATCTTATATGTCATTGGATGTTATATTTGATCACGATTTATTTTCAACGAGTTCCCACCTCAATCCTAAATATCAGAAGATGATATGAATCAGCAAGCATGCAACCTTGGTTTAGTATAAGAAAAAAATTATTGCCATCTATTGATATTACCAGATCCTTCCCTTTAAAAGATATATAGTTGGGAATCAAATTATTCTTCACGTGCAAGGATTTCAGAGAGAAACGGGCATCCAAGAGAAAACCATCCTGTAGACAAACTAGAGACAACTAGCATGAACTGGCTGTGGGCATTTTAAGTGGGTCCCTCGTTCAATCTACAAGAGATGGTGAAGAAGATAGAAGATCGACATGAAGAGAGAGGATGAAGCAATAATCTAATTTGAGGATACTTCGATTACAAGAGATAAAGGCTGGCCAGAGGGAGAATAGACACTATTACCCTGAAATTTTCCACACAGAAACAAAAAAAAACAGCGGTAAGCACACCAAATAGAAATCAGGCTCTGCACTCTAACATCTTCAGCTAGTAAGTGTTCCTCCCTGCAGTATTATTAGACCCTTTCTATTTCTCATTTCCGGTTCTTCAGGCATTTCATCGGTAAATCCCGGGTTCTATTTATGTTCTAATTCCATCGAGCTTCAGGAGGGTTGCAAGGGCTGTGGCCAGACTCTTGGCTCTTGCACTTGACCTGGGCGTTGACTTCTTTGATAAGCCGGAGATTCTGGGACAGCCCATTGCTATCTTGAGGCTCCTGCACTATGAAGGTGAGAGCTTGCTCTCTTTCTCATCCAGAACTTGTGCAAATGTGGCCAATATCACCAGCCAGGCTTCTCTCCCACCCAGGTAGGGTTTCTGATCCCCTGAATGGAATCGTTGGCGCCGGGGCCCACTCTGACTTCGGGCTCATTACTCTCCTGGCCACAGATGGTGTCCCAGGTCTCCAAGTATCATCGAATCTCATACTTACCAGTTTTATTCCCACATTCAGCCTCTAATTTCGTCCCCCAACATGACTCCTAATGCCTCTGGTTTTCTAGATTTGCAAGGATAAGGACGCTCAGCCTCAGATTTGGCAGTTCGTACAGCCCCTAAAGGGGTCAGTATCCTATCATAACCTTGTATCCAATCTTCATGTCACTGGTTTCTTGAATATCTATAGAGAGAGAGAGAGAGGGAGAGTTTATATGTAGAGAAATATCAGCTTAGAGAGAGTGAAACACTGGGTTTGTTTGGATTTATCTGTGTCCTCTGAGGGATAATCTTACCAGACTATGGTTGGCTGTTTAGATCCGTCACTGCTTATATGGATTTCACCTCTATATTTGGAAACATTTTTGGGAGCTGAATTTAATATCAGGAAAAAAAATTCATTTCCGCATGCTCAGATCTATACATATCATGGATCAAGAAGAGGCATTAACTTAATTATATCGCGCCTCTTTCCTTTCAGAGGGTTCTTAGTGAATCTCGGAGACATGCTGGAGCGGTGGAGTAATGGCATCTTCAGGCACGTGCCGTTCCGCAGATCTTGTCCTCACTAATGGCTTCGGTTTAGTTTTAAAAAATGACCGGTTCGGCCTCCTCGCAGGTCAACACTGCATCGAGTGTTGATGGGCACAGAGGAGCGCTACTCGGTGAGAATTCCTGTTCTGATCGATGGATTTGACTTTACTTTTTTTATTACCATAATTGGGAATCCGATCAGGTTCAACTCTGGCGCTGATCCGAGCTCCATTTTTCCTCCTGATTATTACCCATATGATGATCCAGGTTGCGTTCTTCGTGGAGCCCAGCCACGAGTGTGTCGTAGAGTGCTTGCCTTCATGCATGTCCGAGACCAATCCCCCCAAGTGAGAAGGGATTCCGTTTTTAGAATCTTTTTTTTTTCTTTAACGCCGTTATTCCCTCTCGGGCATGTTTATTAGTCAACTAAGTGGTCCAGGTTCCCCCCGGTGACGTGCGAGAGGTACCTGACCCAGCGGTACGAGGAGACCCACAAGGACGTCGCCGGTCGCTAAGGTGGACTGTGAAGGAGTGGACCGGTTAAAGTTCAAGTCAACGGACAAGGAGTGAAGTAAATTTCTCCGCAAATCGTTATATCTTATGTGAAGGGACTGGTTAGACCCCCTGGGAGTTATCTTCCCGACAGGCTGCGATTAGAATTCCAGTCCTTGTCCTTCCCCTTCCCTCTCTCTCTCTCTCTCTCTCTCTCTCACTCACTCGCTAGTGGGAGTCTTGGACAGGTTATCACATGGGCTCCTCACCTATAAAAGGGCTTGGAGCCCTTGTCGGGCCTCAACTGTCTTTCGTCTCTTCGTGCGCGATGCTCCAACAGTTTTTGAGGATAGAAGAGAGGCAGGCAAAGACACAAGAGGGGAGAACATGTAGGGTCCTCCTCTTGAATTTACAGGCAAGCACTCTGTTCTGAAGCCCTAACTGCATGCACGATGGATTAAACATGTTCCTCTGTTGTCTTCTTATAAGAGCCTGTGGGATGAAGAGAGAGGAATGATGTCACAGTGGACTTGAACAGCACTCTAATTAAAATAAGATCAAACTATTAGAGCTACATTCCTGATCAATAAGTAATGATGAGAAGTTTACTATTTCTCTCCTAGTTAAGACTTGGACTGTAAATTACAAGCACTAGATGACGACACAAGAGAGAGAGTTGACTCACATTAATAATTATCATGATAAGGGAGAGACTTTTATAGTGGTATCTTACTCCAGTTAATTTCTTTCCTCCATCATTGTTGATCCACTTAAGTAGCATCAACTTGTTTTTGGGTTCCACCTCCACCTTATGTCTGAGAAAAACCATTGTTAATAAGGGTTAGTTTCTTGAATGTTCACCCTGAATCTCCCTCCTAGATTTATAATTTTACAAACCCCACATTGTCATTTCACTATAATAACTCTCAATTGTAATAATAATACTTTAATATAAATTTATTCCCATGATATTACTATGGGTCTTCTGTAGAAAAAGAGGATGACTTTGATGTTCTTACAAAGTAATGGTGACAACTCAATTTTGATTGCTCTTGATTCCTTTGTGTAAGGTAGCCGTCCATCATAAGGGTTCACTTTTAATATTTTGAAGCACTTGTGAGATGATTGATAATAAATATTTTTCTAGAGCTTCATCAACCTCTTATTTCTTCACAAATTTCTCGATATTTTTTCATTGTGCGTACTACACCCAAGAGCTCAATCTTATTATGAGAAGATAAATTAATGTGTGCTCATATATCATTCATTCAAAGCCTGATTATTTTTAGATGAATTGTCTAGAGAAAATATTTTGTATCTCTAAGATCTTCAACATCTATTTTCTTAGAAAATCATATATTCAAATGGGAGGAAAATATAATGTATATATCCATTAAGTTCTTTTAAATATCATTGATTCAAGTGATTGATCTACATCACTAAGTCATAGCATTCATATTCATTTAATGACAGTTTAAAACAACTTGCAATCAAGTTTATATCAATTTGTTCAACATACATTTCATTCTCAAGGAAAAATATCAAAAATAGATTTCTATGTCTATAAAGATATATGTTCATAGTCCATCACGTACAAATTGATTTTCTATGGTAAATATTGTGATATCCAAAAAAACCATATTCAGCTAAATACACATTCTCAATTTAATCAATTATTTTGATATTAAAAACATATGAGAGTGATATCTTGTATCATGAACACTTACTAGACTTTATAAGATTTCATATTGATATTTTTCTTCATGTAGTATAATTGATTTGAATGTGCTAATCATTAGCTTATCTCAATGGCACATTATGCAAATGTTAGTATATTCTATGATTCTATATAATATGATAATTCTCATATGGTGAAAGTGATTATATATATGGATTCAACATGTTCAATAGATCTTCATCTAAATATTCAACAATGTTATATACATCTGAACATGAATATCTTTACTTTTACTCTCATATTATGTAAGTTTTAATGAAGGATATAATTTGATCCATTTTAGTGGTCTTTGTATTTGATTTATTAGCATTAAAATAATGTTCTATAGTTTATGATGTGGAGTAGATACATAAGTATCATGGTCATGTATTTGACCTCTTCTTTAGTACACTTGTAGATCTTACAAAAGTCTACCAATACCCTCTTCATCGAGAGACACTTTGTCTTCAAAATTGAAGTTAGGAAATTAATAACTCAATAACATGAGTCATTTCTTAGTAGCTTTGAAGTCTAAAATACCATTTCATTTCACTAAAACCTCATATCCTTTGATATTGTGTTTATTCTATAAAATATTTTGAGGTTATATGATATAATTCATGTTGAGGTCAATAACAATAAGTAATGACTGACATTTGTTGTGAGAACTAAGAGTTCAATGAACTTGAGATATATCAATGAATATATGCAAATAGTGGGAGCTACATCTTGTAAGTTGTTGATCTAATATGTTCTATAATACAATAAGGGCTAAAGTATTGTAATGAGGGTTTTTTATTTGATTGCTGAGCAAATGTTTTAAGGTGATATAGGCTCAATTTTAGGTAGGTCATATCTTTGATATTGAGTGAAACCTCCCACTTATGTTTTTTTTTTTTATTGAATCTTCATGCTAGGTTGTGCTCAGTTAAGATGATGTTTTAGTTGATCTTAAATTTCATCTCTTTCTTAACATTGTTACTCAATCTAAGTGACCAACGTGTGCTGCATCTGAAATCTTAGAAGAACACAAGGGTATGTAGTTGTAGACAATCCAAAATGGAGTAATCTATGTCAAGTGATACATGGTATTGTACTAATTTTTATCCATGAAGCCAATGAAACCAATTAATGTGAGACATTAATTTTGTATATTTTAAATATATTTTGAGACATTTTAAACAGATTAAAACTGTCCTTCATTCTATGGGTGATAAAATGATTCATGATGTGATTGAGCACCTTATAAATGAAATAATTTTGTATACAATTAACTCTAAAGGTGATCTTAGTTTGAGATGGTAAAAAATAAAAAAAACATCTAATTTCATGATGTCTTTCAAAATAATGTGACAACTTCTATGCCATAGGGGTGTTTCAATAAGGAAAAGTGAGAGAATTGGTTCAATCAATCGATTACCACTATGATCGAATGAAAACCATCTAATCAAGATAACTGGATTATAGATATGATGTGTAGGAGTCTAATTGGCACAAAAGCATCTAATTTATTTTGTTGATAGATTAGGCATTGGTCAACATAGGTTTTAATATCTTTCTTCATGTTAAGATAATAAATTTTTCTATGTATGTATTTATAAGTTCATAAGAGTTGAGAATGTCTTTGACTATGCTATTATGAAATTTGTGTAGAATATTAAGAATTAAAGAAGAATTATTTAGGATAAAAATTCATACTTTGTAAAAAAGGTGACCTCTTTTTAGAGAATAAAATGGTCATTCTTAGTGTTTAAAATTTAAATATTGAATAATCTATAGTAAAATAAAGGAGGGTAATTACAATGTCATTGTAGAATCAATCAAGGTCAATAATATGTGAAGACATAGTGATTACAAATTATGATGGTGTGAGGAGCTCAGTTAGTAAGGTATTCAAGACATAGTGTTTTTTGTCTTATTTTCAATTCTCTTGTCATGCTTAATTTTTTTCATATAAACTTTAATCATTTAAAGTCCCAAAAGCTTATTCATTTCATTTAAAATAATTCTACTTTGGTTGTGAGTTATGGGTCATGCTAGTGTGCCATAATTAGCTACAAATTAGTGATAATAGTTAGTGAGGCTCAAAAAATCTTTGTAGTTTTTGTTACTATCTTTGATGTTGGTATTTTTTGAATAGCTTCAATTTTAGATTAGTCGACAATAAAAAAATTTATGAACATAATTTTGTGACCCAAATAATCAATCAAAAGAAGTTCAAATTTACACTTTTTGTGTTGGCATGTGATGATGGGCCTGAAAAATGAAGAATATAAATGAGAATATTATCTAAGAAGACAAACACAAGATTCAATAAATTTTTTGTAAATATTTAATTCATGAGTGATTGAATGATTTCAACGGTAGGTCATAAGACCAAAATGTATCACTAAAAATTTAAAGTGTCATTGATGAGTTTGAAATACCATCTTAAGAATGTCAAACTTCTTCATCCAAAATTTAATGATAACTTGATTTAAGATCATAGTTTAAAGAATCTGGATACTCCATGAAACTCATTGAGCAATTCGTTGACCATTAGAATGAGAAATCTATTTGAAATAGTTTCCTTGTGTTGAGATGTCACAGTTTGATAAAATACTAAGAGTATGATATAACTCTTCTCTATAGATTTTAACTAATTAAATAAAAGTTTCCTTTTGATTCAACCTTCATTTCACCTAATTTAAATGATACATTGAGATTCTTATAATCCTATTTTATTGTGTCCTAATCATGACATGTTTATAACACAATTTACATTATCAAACATAATGGGAAAAAAATATGCCCTCATAGTGACTCCTTAGAATCAAATGACAATGTCATGAGAGAGTCTATGATCTAGAATAGATATGTCAGTTCCTATTTTAACTTTATACTAAAGAGTTATGAAAAAAAGCGTTCATCAACAAGGTTGATGGAAATAAAACTGTGACACATGTATCAATAAGAATAGTTATATCTTTCTTACCCAACTTTCCTTTGAGTTGCATGATCCCTAGGTTTGTGAGTCTCAATACCGAATTAAATGATCACTCAATATTTTACCCAACCACTTAAGGTACATATGCGCTTGGGCTAGTTCCTTATTTGCAGTTGTGTAATGGGTCATCATCTATGATTGTCATAATCTATAGTTCTCTTCAATGTAATAACCTTGAATGAATTTTTCATCATAGAAAAAAAAATAAAGACTTTTCAACTTTCTTGCTTAAAACTCAAAGTTGGTCAAGTTGATGTTGTGATAGAGAATCCAAGTAATTGACAAAGTATGCTAAGAGTCAGCTGTCCTAAAGTGAAGAATCATATAAAGGATCCCAAGTTACCAAGAAAAAATTTATAAGGTGTTTTTTTATGTAAAGTAGAGTTTTCCTCTTCCACTATTTTGTCACTTTCATGATAGAATGGAGCATGATCAATTCAAAATGTCAACCCTCAACATGAATTTATAATTTCAAATATTTTATGAAGATATATTGTATCACTAGAAAGTCTATTACAAGAAATACAATCTCAAAATCATGTCAATATTTGGCCACCAAATTCAGTTACATCATGTTAAAGAGTTGTTCTCACATATCACCCTCAATAGATGATCAAAACCTTTAGAGGAGTTGACGTTGGAGATTAAATTAGTTGATACAATGATTGAGAGTTTCAATCCAACAACAACACATTAAATGCTTCACATGACTAATTTTCTACTTTAGAATGTTGATGAATAGAGAAGCTGAGTTTAGCTTGAAAGATCTAACTATGATAATTTTTACTTACAAGATTGAAATTTTGATTCAACCATTGGTGAGAGACAAATCCAACAAATAGTTGTCAATCCATGCAAGGTAGAATGGCATTGATAGTGAAATGAACTTGTTGACCTACTACAGTTATGATCAATGAGTGAACATAGACATTATATGTGTTGTCATCAGTTTATATAAGGTAACTCACCAGCTAAGATAAGGAGTGTTGGATTTAAGAGAGTACCCTCCATGGCATCAAATCATTGTTCCAATGTGATGGAATGATGGTTAATGCTTACTCCTTATTACTCATAGGTCAATGATGTTGTCATCAAATTTATGTCAATGATGTTCAAATCACTAATAAGTAATGATGACAAGTTTACTATTCGTTATTCCTTTTTTAATGGATGCTTAGATGGGAATTGAGTCAACGTAATTGGACGTCCTAGATGACAACACAAGAGAGAGATAGAGAGAGAGAGAGAGAGAGTTGGCTGGAATCGATAATTCTCACAATATGAGGTTGACTCTTCAAGTGGTCCCTTACTCTAGATGATTTCTTCCATTCTTCCTCATCATTGCCAATCCACTTATGTAACATCAGGTGCGTTGACATTAATTTCTTGTGAAGCTGTCTATGATGCCATCATGTCTGTCATGTTACGATTGATCATATTGGATGGGGAGTAGGTACATGAGTTATCATGGTCATGTATTTGACCTCTTCTTCTGAGGCACGTGTAGATCTTGCAGGACCCTACTGTCTTCCTATCAAGGTCGACGTCTTTAAGAGTGTTCTAATAGAGATATACTAACCAGAAGTGCTTCACTTCAGGTATATAGGCATCTTCTTTCATCCCCAGATCAGTGGACTTGCAAAGGTAACTAAGGGAGTTTAGATCAGGTCTGCTTACTTAATTGACATCTGCATTTCTTCTCAAGCAAAGATGCCTTTGTTACATTCTCGCTGGAAGAGCTCAACGCACCGGACAATCAACAGGGAAAGCATCAATCTACGTACGATCTATGGATGGCAGAAACCGTCAAGGCATTGAATATGTAGCAATCCGATGCCCCGGACCTTCTCCCCGAGGAGATCCAATCCCTTCACCGCCCTATACAGCGGGAAGTGGCCTTTGCACCGCCGCGCTTGGTGTTCAAGCACCTGCGTCTAGAAGAGAAGGTGATAATCTAGCCGTTAAACCGGAGTGACATGCTGTGCTTGACATACATGGAGAAGATGGCGGTGGGGAGGAGCGAGGCAACTGCCATGGCTTGCTCGCTCTCAGAGGTACCACGAGGAAGACCTCCTGAGTTCCTCTTCCACTGTAATGCCCTGTATTATATACACTGCCATGCCCGCCATATATATATGAGCTCAGACGTCCCTATGGTATTCTTTGGTTGGGCTCGGCCCGTTAGCTCGTGTGTCCACGTCGCATTGCCTCGTCATCCCTATTCTTATATCTGTTGTTTTCTGCTCAATTCCACGTGTCGTCCTTTCAACCGATCAGGTTTGTGTGTTCCTCGGCAGAACGCGTGGCAACGTATCACGGGAACGGTATGCTTACGTCACCAATACTTTTTCCGGCAACTGGACAGACCGCCGTGTACCCGCCCACCTTTTCTTGGTCTAAATGGGTCGGTAAAAATTAGGGAGGGGTGGACCAAGCCTGTCGGCGTTCCACGTGCCGGATTGAGACACAGATGTCCCTGCCGACATATTTCCTCACGTGATGATTTTCATGTCGGGGATTCACACAGCAAACGACAAGAGTGGATATATTCCAACCTGCGCTATAAAACCGCTCTTCTGATCGTTGTTCAAAGATCATGTCCTTGTCCCGTTTTGAATAGGCATCAAACTGTGGGCGAGGGTCCATGTCCAATGAGGCCCTCGATAAGAACTTTCCCGCTGCTGGGTTTCCTATACAGGAAGTCAACGCCTCATCGTTGACATGAGACAGCAGACGAAGTCGTCAAATTGGGGCCACGAATTTCCGCCTGCTTTTATGGGTCTGCATGGAGGGGCCGCCCGTGTCTCCCCGCCATTAAAGAAGCAGAGAGGAACGAGGAGAGAGAGAGAGAGAGTGAGAGAGAGAGAGAGAGAGAATCCTAGGGGATTCTGATAACTTTGTCTAATAATATTAAGGCGTGCGCCAGGGTCTAATCCCGCTCGTGCTCGGGTGTTCAGAAGTGACTTCCCCTTCGCTTCCCCTGCCGTCTCATCCCCTAGCGATCTCCCATCGAACAAGAAGCTTTTCCTGTAAAGGAAGAAGAGGAAGAAGCTAAAACGGTATATTAGGTTTTCTGGCCTCTCCCTCTCTCTCACTCACCCTGCATTAGGTTTTCTGGCCTTCGCCGGCCGGAGAAGGGAGGAAGACGAACCAGAGAAAGATGGACGGGAAGCGCTGGCGTGGCGACGACTCCTGTCCTGGACTGCTTGATCTTATTCCGAATGGCGGAGATTGGATCGAGAGGGAGGATCAGAAGCTTCAGCTCCGGCTTGGCCCTCCTGGAGGAGAAGGCTCCTCTGAGCTCTCTCTAGGGCTTCCTCACAGGGCTGCTTCCGCCAAGCGAGGGTTCTCCCAAACCCTCGGAATCGAGCCAGTCGGAGGTAGGGAGCGAAGACCTTCTGTCTCTCCACTTGTGCCTCTCTCTTCCTCCACCTTGTGCGCCACCTTCAGCCTCGTCTCCTTCTTCCTCAGGTCGTCTGCTGGAGCAGCAATCGAATCGAGGCTTCGCCGGAGATGGAATCCCCCCGCCGCCCGCCGCTGCTCCGTTCGTCGGCTGGCCGCCGGTCCGGTCCTTCCGGAGGAATCTCGCCCCCTGCTCCTCTACAGCAGGCCCTCCACCACAGAACCAGAAGCAAGAAACCAGGAGCAAGGGTATGTTCGTGAAGATCAACATGGATGGGATCCCCATCGGAAGGAAGATAGACCTCAGCACCCATGACAGCTACCAGAAGCTCTCCTCGGCCGTTGATGAGCTCTTCAGAGACCTACTCGCAGGTTACTGCCGCCTCCCTGACTGCTTCTTTGGGCATATGAAATTCGTACACAAACTGCATCTCAGTATCGACGGCGAATGGCGGTCACTGTAGAATGATCTTGTGGGTTTTTCTGACCTATATACTCTGCAGTCCAAAGACAAGATCCAGCTTCTGTGATGGAGGGCGATGCAGAGGAAGGGCGGTCAATCCCAGGGTTACTGGACAGAGACGGTGGATACACGCTGGTGTACGAGGATAACGAGGGAGACAGGATGCTGGTCGGCGATATTCCATGGGAGTAAGTCTCTCCCTCTCCATTTCTCTTTCTCTCTCTAGATTCCATTGGAGCTCCAAATTTCCTGGCGGGCATGGCTTGTTCTCCCCACAGAATCTGAGGAACAAAAAATTCTCTGATAATCTCCGAACCATTGATACCGATCACCCTGCCTCTTCGTCATCCATTTCATCTAATGTGTTTTCTTCTCCCTCCTTGCCGCAGCATGTTCGTCTCCGCCGTGAAGAGATTGCGCGTTCTGAAGTCGACCAATCTCTCCTTGTCAAGGAGGGCCGCCTCCCATTGATTGGTTTGCGTGAAGAGAGACCAGTCTTCTTCCTCTGCTCACTCCATGGCTTCCCTCTTCTCTTCTTCTTCGTTTTCTTCTTCTGCGTCCTCTTCCCGCTAGAGAGAAGAGAGGCGTGGTAATTGTAGATGATCCAGCCGCGGTGATCATACTTACATAAATCAAACATATAGTTCATCACGCCGTGAATGCCGCCGAATCGACCGTACATAAATTCTTCAGTGAAATGGGGATATTCCAATGGACTTTTATATGATAGCCCGCTCAGATTCATCCTGGTGGGTGCCTGTCGTTCAGACGACCCCAGCAACTTCCTGTGCGATAATTCGATCCGCTACCTCAAGAGAATCAGAGAGGGTAAATTTAATTTACCTTGGATCCAAGCTTGAGAGACCATGATTGATCCTAAGAGGCATCCTATACCGTACCATAGCTATAAATTTAGTAATTAATTTTTTTTGGAGTAATGTTACAGATGCTTGAAAATATTGTTATAATGGCATATAAATGTTATTTTACAGTCGCCTGTCTAGGCGAACAGCTGAAGAAAATGAAAATCAATATTTATACAGTAGAAATAAATATGACAGAATGCAAATCGACATAGCTCACCAAGATCAACTGGGGCCATCACAGACATTGTTCCGGTATGGTATTCCAGGTCCCTGATCCTCCGCAGCTCCTCTTCTGTAAACTTCATCTTTACAACCCATCATTCCGACTACTAAATCCTGCAGAATCATAATTACGAATGTGACAGAGAATTGGAAAGAATTATCAACAAACAAAGATCAAGTTCTGCGAGCCATGGTATCGTGAATCTTGTAAATTATCTCGGAACCAGCAAGAGATGATTTAAAATCGTTCCTGGAGAACAAACAATACCATTGTAACGATTACAAAAAGAGTATCTAGGCTAAAGGGCTGCGAACATAGCAACATAGGATGACTTATTGATTGGTCGATGAAAACCTACGAGCGACGAAAAACAATGAAATAAATGTGAATATAATTGCATCTACAATAATGCGAATAAAAACACCACCGTTCATAAAAAAAGGTATTGACAGTTCAGGAGTGAAACAATGAACTTCCACCTTACAGTTCTGAACTATACAAGATTGGATACGCATAAAGGCATGATCAGACAAGAAACAGCATTAAAAATAGAAGGCTTAGGCACTTTCGACGGAGAACGGTGGAAGAGTTTGGACATTACGACTAAAAAGTAAGCTCCAGTTCTCCGACGGAAGAAAAACCAGATCGATACAAGAGCATATTTCACGAGAAAATTACTGCCGATCAAGCGACTAAAACCAAACTCTGGCGCAGTTTCTCTTGGAGAAACACCTTCGGCGATGAAAACTAAAACAAAACGAAAATGAGGATGACGAGTAAATGCTCCATAGCCTCACCTTCCGTGCCTTCCGATGACAAGGAGCAATCGCGACCTGGGGCTTACGGCGGACGGCTGGCGGTGGCCGGAACTGTACTCATGGTTCGATTCCGGAACGGAGAGAAGGTTATATAGAAACCCGCTATGTGTCGCTGCCTTGTGGTCCAAGTTCCCGGTCCGCAGATTGGCGGGACTTCAGTTTTAAAAGCGAATATTCTTCATTGGGGGGGGGCAGTTTGGGCCGGCCCACCAGGTGATAGAACCAACTGGGCTGGACCAGGCTCACCGAAGAAATTAGCGCTTTTAGTTTTCAGTCCCCATTGACAAAAAAAAGGCAACTTTTTTCTATGACTTGCCCTTGTGTTTGTCAACATCTACAATAATTCCCTCAAAACTATTTTTATTCCTTTTTTGGTCCTCTGGTAAGTCTCCCACCCTCATCTCCGCCACCTCCCTTGCGCCTCCCATCAGCTCCAAGAGGGATGATATCTCTAAAGATTATTCCAGCCAAGGGTAATGTTGTCATCTTAAAATATAGCTGTGGTTAGCCTCAAATCTTGCACTGGCCCAGCCCAGGGCGTGTACCCAAGGGTACCGCCAAAAAAAGCCCAATAAGTCATTTTCCACATCCTTCTATGAGATAGAGATAGAGAGAGAGGAACGAAAAATGGGCTGCGGCTGGACTCAACCCAGATGATAAAACCCCCTTAAAAAAAACAAATTAAAAGTTCACTTCCCCCCAAGCGCCGGATTTTGGGCTTAATGTTGAGGCCCAATATCCTAGAAACCGGGCCCACTCGGGGCTCTCCACACTAGAGAAGAAAACGTTGGGGCGGGGGGAGGGAGTCGGAGCGCCACTCTATTCAGGAATATATATATATAGAATTTAGTTCAGCACAACGGGCCCGGAGCTACAACCACAGCAATGAGTACCCCACTCCAGCAACGAATACTCAGCTCCTTTCCCTCTCCACCCCCTCTCGCCAGCCCAAAAGAGTTGAAGGTTCCCTGTCTCCTGCGAGCTGTGGGTGCCTGCGGCCAAATTGGAACCCAGCTAATGAGGGGAGGAAGATGGAGCTTACCATCTTCAGTAACAGGCTGTGAGAGCACACCGATGGAGCAGCGTAGAGGCTCCCAGGCCGCCGCCGCCGCCACCGCCGCCGCCGCCGCCACTGCAGGCGGTGAGCAAAGCTTTGACTTGCTGCAGGCATCAGGCTGACAGGAAACAACAGAAGATGACAGTATAAAGATGGCATAGCATGGAGATGAGCAATGCGATGTAAAGTGCTTGAGTGCGTGCCTTACGACCCATCGCTATTCAGGCCCAGAGTCAACTCTCCCTTCAGGTCTTCGACCCACGGGTCAGTGATTGGCTTTGTAGACGAAAAAATGGTGCGGATCAGAAAGAAGGAAGCACACCAACAGATCAGTAAGCAGTAACCGAAGATCAAACACATGCAGATGATAGAAAACATTAATATATATATATACATATTATATCATCAAAGCCTGACGCTAATACGAAGCGCTGGATATTCCAATACTATTCAAGAACTCACCCTCTGGTCGTCCACACTCCGAGGCCATCTCCGCCCTTTCTTCAAACCCCTTAATGTTCCTCAGTCGCACCAGGCCATCTGGACTTGAGTACACAGGCTTGGATCCCATCTGCGAGACGAGTTTAATGATAGCATGCCCTTCCTGACTCCTGGGAATACCCACGTGGGAGGCTGGCCGGTTCACTGAGCTGCAAGCAGCTAGACTGTTCCCCTCTGCCATTTCAAACCCGGCTGGAGGGCCCCGGGTATACCCATTAAAGCCCACTTCAATTACAGATGGTGAGGTCTGCCTGAAACTGTCAGAGAGGTGGTTCATCATCTTGTCTGGCTTTAGATCATCTTGTTCGCAGTCAAACTTCCCCTTTTGGCGTCTACCCGACGTTCCAGTGTCTGAAGAACCATTGTTACTTGTTGAAGGTGCACTGTCCGCCTCCTCTTGGTGACTGACGAGGGAGGTATTATTGCCAGAAGACTGGAGATTTGGGGGCAGCCGAGCTGGGCTGCCACAACCGCATTTCTCCGGGCTTGTCATCACTACGTCATCTTTGTTGGCATCCCTCGGCTTCTGAGTGCTCTTGCTGTGAGCTGCCTCGGATATGCTCATTTCAACCATTGTACTCTCCATTTTAGCATCTGAAGCATTGGTCATGGGGTGTAGCATCGGAGATCGGCCATCTGCGGGCTCGGGCGGCGAAGAAGACTTTTGCCTAATCGGGCTGGAAGAGGGAAGTTTCCCCCTTTTACTCTCGGGTGTGTCGAAATCAACCGAATGCTTTCTCCTCTTTGGGAATCCCTCCGCCGACCCAGCATCACAACCCTCAGCTCCATCTTCAGCTGAAGCCTTCCCAGTTTGTTGGGGATCCGCAGGCCTGGAAAGCCGGGGTCGCTTGTAACCATCAGGGAACACAAACGAGGGGATCTGCTTCCTGCGAACATGAGAGACATAGATTTCCATCCCTGGTTTCCAAAACATGAACAGGTTCACTTCATGCCTAAACTCCTCTACTGTTCCACGTATGTCAAATTGTTGAGCTTCTTGAGACTTCACTCCTTGTTTCCTTTGTAACCCCATGAAGAATGCAGTGTGTGAGCATGGTTTCAAAGTGTCCACATACTCATTCGGGTATGGATGGCACTGAAGCATACCGTACGTGTCCCTCTCTATCTGTAAAGGAGCCGAGGGAAAGGCCATGGAAAGCTTAATACTCGGCATAATAAGGGAAGAGAGCAGTAAAGAATGACGCATGAATTCCAACTATATTCTATTTCGGTCAAAATAAAGAACCCAAAGGCAAGATATTGACCTTAAGAGTAAGCTGTCTCAGACGAGATTCCACCCAACCCTTCCATGTTCGCAAGTCATCAGCATCAGCTGCAGTGATGTCAACTTGTAGATAGTTTTTGTATGCTTCAAAGAAAAGGTATGGCTCAAACAGCGCAGCCCAGTTCGTCTTGTTCAGCTCAATCTCCTGGATGAAGCACAAGACACTCACGAACAATGGTAACAAGGGTACCCTATAAAATGAGAAGAAAAGTCGAACAGGCATAATAAATGGACATTACCTCACAAATCCTGTTACCAAACTGAAATTGTTCCATCATCACACGAAGAGTGCTTATTGAAACATTGTAGCTAGAATTCATGCATGGATATGCTGGAGTAATGATAGGCATATGATGGGTGCGGTCCCGAGGATTCTTGCGAGGATCCCAAATAGGAAATCCTAGTTCATCCTCTTCTATAGAACACAGCATCACAGGGTTGGGCCATCTCCACTGCGTGTAGACCCTGAAGAACCGCGAAACGAGCATACTAGGCACTGCATTGGGATAAAGCTGACAAACACGAGCAACCAGTAGTGCCCAGTTGACCCCACCAAGAAATCCAGTCACCTGGAAACGAAGACAAATGCTTGAAAGGTTAACTCAATGGAAAAGGCATAAGCAAATGATGAATTCAATAAATCATCTTACATTAGAATACACGCCACGCCTCTTTGCCCAAAATTTCAGACATCTCAACGTTGTACGAAAATGCTGAAAATGAAGCACGTAGGTCAGACAAGAAGGTGACGAAATCATGGCCATGAACTGAGAATGAAAAACGGAAACGCAAACCTCTACGTTTGGAACAAGGCGGAGGATCTGGTCAGCAACCCTACATCCATTAAGGCTTCTAACCGTTGGTTCATCAACATTGTATAAGACAGAGCCATTAGAAATGTCCAAATCCTACATCAAAGTTGGCGCCAGAAAAGATGCTATATTAACCGATCAACATCCTAAGCCGCGCAATACAATAAACAGCTGTGAAAAGACTTTGCACGCAGCTTAAAAAAGAATTAAATATCCCAGTTAAATAAGAATTTATGTACGTAACATGTCCCCAAGGGGAGCAACTACTGTGATATCACGCCTTGAGTGTCATTCGAACCAGGCACTATATCAGTCAGATATTCCATGGCTTCTATGTTCACATGATTTTTCTCAATGGTAATAACCCGGTTTATTATTCGACAACTCAATACCACCTCTCTCTGTCTCTCTGTAAGACTGAATAAACAGTCACTCAGGCTACACACCAAAGGTATAAAGGCTTTAATTAACAAATTAAGAAAACTAAATTGCAAAGAGATGTACCCATCTTCTTGTTGAATCTGAAATTAAATGAAGCCGTATCACAAAGGACAAGCTAAGTAGACAGGTAATAAACGAAGTCATAAACAAACAACTGAATAACAACTAATGGATAAAAATACAATTACAAATATTATAGTATATTCTTCTAAATGACCTAATGTAAAGAGGTGACATGAAAGAATATTTGTCCAAATGATGCAGAAAAAATGGCATAAATTGAACAAACATGAAGATCCAAAAGAACTTAAACAACCAACACAACTTTCCGAATTTCCTTTGTGTCACGCCAATAGCAGTAAACAGAAAAAAATGAACTTTTTTCCCTCCATAAACTTACTTCTGGAACAACTAAGAGGGAGACACTGGCATATAGAAGGTCGATTGATATTCCATGAAGCTTGAATTTCATCACGGGCACATGGGCATCAGGAACTGGCTGTAGCTCAGTAATTTCCTCCTTAGCTGCTAACATGTCATGCAAAATTATGAAGAAATCTTCCTGCAGGGAATAAACTGTGTATTCAGTGCGTAGGTCATCAAAATATAGTATCATTCGCCCATGCTGAGTGGTATCAAGTGTATCGATCATTAACCTCACGATTAACATAGGAAGGCCCAACACAGAGAGTATCAATGTCTGCCCCCGGACCATGAACCTGCGGAAAGTAGTTTTTGCATTCTTACAATTAGGTTGCCGGAACAAGACTTGAAAAAAGAATTTTTAGGCAAAAATACATAGAGTCATGAAAAATGTAAGTCTTACCCCTAAACGATAAGACCCAAAAGTAAATATAACTGCATTCGCATCCTCGACCATTTGATCACTGTAACCTCTCTGCTGAGTGAGCTGCTTCACCCAGTCTTTAACTATCTGAAATGTATGGTAAGCAGTACAATGAAATAAAGGAAAAAGTTGCAACATCTGCTGCATTAACTTTTTCAAGTTAGAATGTAAAATAAACACAGAAATGGGGGAAGAGCATAGCTATCATTTTCTGAAGTCATTGCATTATGAAAAAATAAATAAATAACTAAGTATAGCATATGCTGTTAGACATCTATAGCTATCCCAGTACAAACTAGTTTCAGAATCTCTTCCTTTGTAAAGTAAATATAATCACGGTCTATTTTTTGGTGAAGTGAACTTGCACAGATTGGACACGAGATACAAGCTTCTGGTATCTCCCCGAGAAAAAACATGTAGGATAAAAAATATGCATGTTCACATCCTATTCAATTGTACCACCGTTAATAATAATAATAACCAGATTATCTTTTCAATGGGGATCCTCACACTTCGTGACTCTACCATTGATAGTAACAATTGAGGAGTACTGTCGGGATGCCTGCACAGTGCCCCCCCTCCAAAAGTGTATATATCAGTGCACACTTCCTCAGTTCGGTTTCCACAGCCTAACAGGATTGTAACCAAATATTTACCTTCCCTTGTCCAATAGCCATTTCACCTAGCCGAGGAATGTGTTGCAAAAAAATGTCATATCTTTATCTTTTAAATCGTTATAAATGAATCGCATGTGCTCACATAAAGGATAGTAAGTGTTTACCTGATCGATCTGCCCCAATACTTCCTCTCTTTGGATAGCTTCATCGTTGCTTTCATAAAGTCCAGCACCGACTAGGAACTTCAGAAACATAATCACTATTAGTTATAAAGCGTGCCAACACTTCAATTAAAGCTGGAAACAGCAAAGAAATAAGATTCCGGTATAAACCTTTTCCAACTCTACACTCTTCTGAATATCCACTTCAGTAGGGCCTGCCACCGAAATCGGTTTTGTAACACCGTATTGTTTCATCATTTGTGGCGAGGTACCGTCAAATGCCTCAGAACTAACCATAGATCTCGACAATCGATGAAGGGAGAAATTATGAACAAAGTTTGGTCAAGCACAAACCAATACTTGTCCCGATTCGCAATACTATTGAGAAAATAGGCCCAAAGAGATTCCCTAACTCTCTAAGAATAAGTCAAGAGAAACATCCTCAACAATTAACCCAAAAAGAAGAGTAACGATGGCTTCGGAATCATATTGATGAGAGGATACCGACCCAAGGGCCTATCAGCAAAGCAGAAATGCACTCACCAATAGTAGCACAGGGGAAAAAATGGAAACCTTGGAAGCATGAACGACTTGAAAAACGAAAGGGCCAAATCACCGATGATGGCGACTGTTCGCGGAAGAAATGCATACAACGTAAAAGAATTGAAAGAAAAATTGGCTATAGTATGGAAGAAATGAGACGAGAAGAAAGGGCGTGGGAAACCCTAAGCCACCGGACAAGTCAAATCCTGTAGAATGAGAGAAAACGCGGATCGCGATCTTAGGTTTCAACAATAGGGTGAGGTCAATGAAGAAAAACCAAGAAATAAGGAGGAAGTTTCTGATGACGCGTGGACGGAGAAACCCTTTGAATTCAGACGAGCGTAGTATGAGTCGGCCGCTGAGGAGCGGTCCCCATCGATCTCGAGGATACGTTGGTGACCAAGGGAAGCAGAACCGTCTGGCCCCCTCTCGATGATAACCCCCCTCCTCGAACAGAAGAGAAGAAAGGAGCTGAGAAGACGAGGCCACGAGCAGGGGAGACCGAAGAGGAGCGGCGTGGCACGGCGGCGGCGGCGGCGGCGGCGGCGGCAGAGGGGTAAAGATCCCCGATAATTATGCCACACCGTTTTCCACTGGTGTTATTGGAGTCTGACCGGCGGGCTTTTATGTCACAATAGGAAAAGTTTTAGGCCTATTAAAAATTCAGCCCAATAAGGATACCATTTGAGCCCAACTTGGAGAAACAATGAATGTTGGAGTACTTGGCCCATTAACATATACCACTAGCCCAATGGAGCGTCGCAGTTAGGTGGACCGCCTTTGACGGCCCAGTTCATATCGTCTGCATCGACACGTCGGCGCCACGTGTCAGGGCTCAATCCATCGTCTTCTACCTTCCACTTCTCAGCAATCACCGAGGTAGAAACCAGGAGCTGATGGCAAGCCTCAGGTCTTATTCCGGCGCCACCACCACCACCATCGCGGTGGTTGTCCTCGCCGTGGGTGCTCTCCTTGGCCTTTTCATGGGCTCACCTCCTACCAAGTCCTCTTACCACGCCCTGTACCTCTCCCTGGCCGATAACTCCACCGTCTCCCGGCACCTCTTCGCCCTCACTCGCCGGCCGCACGTCGCCGGAACGCCGGCCAACGGCGAGGCGGCGGCTTACGTCGCCGCCACCTTCTCTTCCCATTCTCTCCGCACCCACAGCGTGTTCTACGAGGTGGCTCTGAGCTACCCCGTGCGCCGCTCGCTCACCCTCTCGCAGTCTCAGAGTGATCCGCCGGTCGCCTTCGAGCTCCTGCAGGAGATCTACGCCGACGGACCCTCAGCGAAGGTGGCCGAGGAGGTGATCCCCACATTCCATGCCTATGCCAAGTCCGGCACCGCCGCAGGGCCCGTGGCCTACGTGAACTACGGCCGGGTGGAGGACTACGCGGCTCTGCGGGCGATTGGGATCGACGTGGCGGGATCCGTAGTCCTGGCGAAGTACGGGAAGATCTTCCGCGGGGACATTGTGAGGAACGCTGAGGCTGCCGGAGCGCTAGCGGCGGTGGTGTACACTGATCGGAAGGACTACGGCGGAGGGAATGGCGGCAAGGGATTCCCCGAGGGGCGGTGGATGCCGCCGAGTGGGGTGCAGATCGGGACTCTGTACAGGGAGCTGGGGGATCCCACGACCCCAGGGTGGCCAAGCGTGAGCGCCTGCGAGAGGATCGGCATCGAGGAGGTGGAGGCCAGCGGGGTGCTTCCGCAGATACCGTCGCTTCCCGTGTCCGCCATTGATGGGGAGGAGATCCTCCGGTCGGTTGGAGGCCCCGCTGCGGCGGCGGACTGGCAAGGTGTAGAAGGAGGTCCTCTGCGCAGAGTCGGGCCGGGGCCCGGCTTCCTCAACCTGACCTACGAGGTGAGTGAAGCGTCTTGAATCTACAGCGTGCAAGTCCGAGCCCTCTGCAAGATTTCATTCACAGACGCATTCGGTTTCCTTCTTGAATTCATGAGAAGGATGGCGCATAACCTGCTCGTGAAATGGTAACAGGGGAACACCACCATGGCCACCATTCAAAATGTGTTTGGCATCATCGAAGGGGAACATGAGCCTGACAGGTGAGCTTGATCGTCTTCCGATTCTGCATCCCTGATGCTTGAATTTGTTGACAGAGAAAGCATCGCTCCAGTTGAGCTTCTTGCAATGGAAATAACCAGGGATCTAAAATATAGATAGATGAATGCTCATCTCCAGTATATCTGCTAGGCACTGTTTTGAGACTGATCATCGAAATTAATTGTTCTGCTGTATGATATATAGCCATTATAATCGTCCTTGTTTTGAGAAAAAAGTCAGTGCCTGTAAAAATAAGATAACTTTTGAAACATTTTGAAAGACGAAAATGAATTTTAAATATCTGACAAAAAATATCATATGTATACATATGAATATTATCTGATTTATATTTCTAACTTGTATTTCTAAATTATATGAATATAATTTTAGAAAAATTAGCCGTTGTCTTGCTACCTAAACAATCAGGCAGTCGTGGCTCACCACCTTACTCATGTTTAAAATCTTACATGGTTGTACCAGTTGCAGTTGAAACAAGGATGATGTCAGGGATCAATGAGCATGCTGGGAAAATTGTGGTTTATTTTTGGTCATTTTTATTTGTTTATAGAGATCTTTTACTTAAAATGGTATCTCCAGAAGTTCAATCTCTTCACTTATTTCGACTTAAGCTTCACTAGATTAATGTGCCGGATGCCTACATCTTTCCTGATGTGTAACCTGAAGTTTAAACCTTATATTCGCTGTAAGCGTGCCTGATCTACCATCCACCTATTATCCATTGTAACATTCTTGTAAATAGTAGAATTACCACCAGAAAACGCTCATAAACTTATCCTAGCAAACCCTCAGCCCACTACCTTAATTTATATCCCATTAGTCATTTATTTCCAATTTTAATAAGCCCAAGCTCGTAAGAAGAGAAATAGTGGAGTCTCAGAAGGAAAACGTCCTGCATTAGATGGTAATACTAGATGTTTCTGAATCTTGGACGTTCGTGGCAGGGGATATGGATGGCTGCTATGATCCTTTAGAGCCCTATCCCATGAACAACTATTCACATTTTAGAGAGGAGAGGCTAGTGTTGAACATTTGATGAATCCAAGATAACTATATCTAGAGTACCATCGTCTGGGTCTGAGGAGCCAATGATGCTCTTCCGTATGTGTTTCTGAATGTCAATGGTGGCATCAACACGAATGTGGTGAATCATTCTCAGCTTTTTTAGCCTCCAGAAAAATTAGAGGACATCAAACGATTTTGCTTTTTTTCTATATAAGTAGATTCTTCATTGTATTATGCTATTCTATGAGTTACACTTTTAGATATTTATTTTTTAATGCTACGGCGTATTGTTATGTTTGTATGGAAAATGATCCACCGTGGAGAAAGAGTGTCGTCCAGATTAATTTCCCTAGCCGTTGCATGTTGGCGTATATAATTGTTCCCCCCACACGTGCCAATCTGACAAGCACTGGCATGCATGATAGTTCCTGTATATGACAAGAAACCCCTATATTCGTCTGCTTTGTAGGGCGTTTGATTTAATGTTTTCATGTTCGCAGATATGTTCTTCTTGGTAATCACCGTGATGCATGGACATTCGGTGCAGTGGATCCCAATAGTGGTACTGCTGCTTTGCTTGAGGTAACAATAGATATTTTGGGTTCTGTATAACCCGGACTTCATGGAATTCACTAAATTTCAGATGGAAAGATAGTTGCTTTTCCGAGTACGACATGTTTTTTTGTGGTTCTGCTGTCTATTTCATCTTTCTCTCATGCATTTGTTCTAGAGAGGACCATAATTCCTAAAGGCCATGACTTGCCCTCTTCCTTTTCCATCTGGACGTTGAGACCGTTAAAGCTGCCATTGTTTGTTCCTGGGTCGTTCTTCCCACTCTTCTACTGTTTTTACAAGAGTTCTAGATCGAGTTTTCAAAGTAGTTGCTCAGCACCACAATAGAATTCTATATCAGATTTTAGACGGTGATATAAAGTTGATAGGATATATATTCTTGGTCAAAGTTTTTTTATCAAATTGTCAATTCTGATTCCTTTTCATTGTCCTTTTATTCTTCAACCAACGAAAGATTGCTCAGAGGCTGGAGATGCTACAGAAGAGAGGATGGAAACCTCGAAGAACCATTGTCTTTTGCAACTGGGATGCTGAGGAGTATGGACTGGTCTCTCCTTTTAACTGTTCCACTCCTCTGTTTGCACCATCTCCTCCAACATTGCCATCACATTCTAATTCTATTGCAGATAGGGTCTGCTGAATGGGTTGAAGAGAATAGAGAGATGTTAGCTTCAAAAGCAATTGCTTACTTAAATGTAGATTGCGCAGTCAGAGGGCCAGCATTCCATGCCTCTGCAACCCCTCAACTTGATGAGCTCCTCGAACAAGCAACAAAGGATGTATGCCATCCATGGTCCCATTTCTCCAGATTAACTTATCTCTGGAATATTTCAATGGTTTAATGGTGTCTGCAGGATATTTCTTACATGGTGTTGTTTTTAGTGATTCTTTGCGGCTCATATCATCCTAGGTCTCTTGCTGTTGGGCAAAAAAGAAGAAAGAAAATATGTACCCCCCCGGGACGATATACCTGAGAAGCTATTAACAGCTATCTATCTTATTGCTGTTATTCATAAATTCAATGTCGCGTGTAGGTTCCTCAGACGCTATAATGCTTTAGTTTTTAGTACTGGCAATAGCTGATTTATTTTCTATACTTTAATGCTAAGGAGTCGACTGACTTACCATATTTGGAGAATTTTGATGGCTTTTGTACTGTGGTTTAGTTGCTGAAACTTTATTGACGTCTTGTTTTATTTTTGAAGGTTCAAGACCCAGACAACTCCCTAGGTACCTTGCACGATTCATGGGTTGGATCAAACGAAAAGCCGATGGTGGGTGCTCAAATCTTTCAATCCTTTTGCCATTTCTAGACCTTATCCATATTCTTGCCGATCTAATTTAATGAAGGAAGACTGCCAGTCCCCATGTCTTGCACATATCAAGTCAATAGAGAAAGCTTATCTGATGATAACTTTGATATTCCATGTTTGCTTCACCTGTTCCACGATTCTGGAGAAATTTAGGTATTGCCCTAAGCTTACTGAAGTATTTTACTTGAAGATCGGAAGGTTAGGAGGGGGTGGATCAGATTATGCAGCTTTTTTACAGCATGCTGGAGTTCCTTCAGTTGACATGTCCTTTGGTGAAGGTATAATTAATTTTTTTAAGAATAATTTTGATTAAACTACACTTTTGGAAACTCTTCATGATAACCATAATAACTATGATTCTCGTGTTTTTCAGGATACCCAGTTTATCATTCCATGTACGATCACTTCACCTGGATGCAAAGGTTTGGTGATCCAATGTTCCTTAGACATGCCGCAGGTGCTTTTAGCTACTTCTAGCTCAATTTCCACCTACCTTTCAGTCTCTAATCCTATTAAATCACTTTCCAAAGTTTCCTGTTTTCCTTATTTGATCACTGCGAAGTCGTTCAATATATTGACCAGGCTCAGCGACCAAGTCTCGTCCCCATTACTACGTCTTTCCTCTTGCTTGTTGTGAACTATCCCATTCTGTCGTGATTGAAGTGATGTGCATCCATGAACAGATTTTTTTTATTTTATATTCCGGTACAATTAACTTATAAGTAAAAAACTAGTTCATATTCATTGCTGCCCATTTTCTGGACTATCAATCAATGAGCCATCATCAAAGGCACCTATTTTTTGATTTTACAGTTTAGGTGCAATTAACTTGTAAATAAAAATGTATTTCATAATCATAGGCACCTATTTTTGGAGCCATCATCAACACAGATGACCAAAAGTCTAGCAGGAGAGCGTCTACTAATTTCCTTTCTTGACTTCTAGCTGCAAGTATATGGGGATTAGTAGCTCTACGGCTCGCAGATGATGAGTTCTTGCCCTTCAATTATACGTCCTATGCTCGCGAGCTCCAGGTGCATATACCAGTATATTTATGTTCATTTTTCTCTTTTTTTTATTATTTTCATAAGTTGATGTCAGGCATTTCATTCTTCATAAGCTTTTTTTGTATTCGATTAGATTTTCTCCTTCTATTAATTTGACACCCAAACATATTAAATCCAAGACCCGGGCCATTCATTTCGTTTTTCTCCAAGGAGATCTAAACGCATGGTAGATATTTCCTCACTGGAATAGAACAAGGCGCAGTCTCTCTCTCTCTCTCTCTCTCTCTCTCTCTCTCTCTCTCACACACACACACACACACACACACACAATTAAAACCATGAGATTTCATCAGAAAAACATACATTTATGGGTAAATGCATAGACTTGTGATATATTTTGTTCATACCCAATTGGAGCACTGAACTCAAACATGGCAGAAGTATATAAAAAAAAACCCGTGAACATGGAGAATATGTTTGAAGCCACTCAAACTTGATCAACCCAAAGGAACAAGTTTCAGAAAACCGAGGAAGATGGGTGTAATCTGGGTATAATCCGGTCCCTTTTTTGATAGATGCGCACAAAGGAATTGGAAGGAAAGCTGCAGGGTGCACCCATAAGCTTCACCCCCCTCCACAAGTCCATTGAAGAACTCAGCAAGGCGGCAGAAAGAATAAACGAACAGAAGAAGGTATCTCCACGAATCTCGGACGAATCCCTGTGGGTGAGAGAGTAGCAGACCGCCTCCACCTTTTTGTTGAGATTCTTATACCAGATGGGTTCTGTTCCTCAGGCATTGCAGTCATCGAAGTGGACGAAGAACAGATCACAGAAAGTGAGGGAGTTGAACGACCGGTTCATGATGGCGGAGAGGGCCTTCAAAAGCGCAGAGGGGCTTCCGGGCCGGCCGTGGTACAAGCATTTGGTGGGTACTCTTCCTTAATCTGAATTGCACACGTGGCAAGGAAATGGGCCCATATCACAGGGTGCTGCCACTTGGCTTCTCTCTACCAAGAATTAACGCTCGTCTTTTCACAGGTGTTCGGCCCGTCGACGGAGAACGACTACAACTCGGCGTCGTTCCCTGGGGTTGAGGACGCCGTAGAGCAGGCTAGAAGGGATGACTCGGCCGAGTCCTGGCGAGTCGCCCAACACGAGGTCTGGAGGGCTGCCAGGGCCGTGGCCCAGGCGGCGCTTGTTCTCAACGGACAACTCTCTTGAGCTCTCTCTCTCTCTCTCTCTCTCTCTCTCTCTCTCTCTCTCTCTCTCATCCTGAAAAAGGGTTCGATGCCCGTGGGTTCATATAAACAATTACGACCATCTCTCTCACTCTGCTCTTCCTATTAAACAATCGTCTCTCTCTCTCTCATGAGCTGGGCGTTCATGTTCTCTGCACTTCATCAAAACTTGTCGTCGAATACTCAGAACCAAGAACTTCAACAAGCCCCCTCCGGAGGAATACATCGACAAACCAGAACATGCAGGCTAAGAACCACCCAGAAAGGCCGTTCCTTAGCAATGCAACAAGTCCTCCAAAGCTGCTCGAGAGAGTGCAGATGAACAGAACAAAATGGCCAGACCGCAAAGATACCAGAGAATGACGATATCAAACAGAGAGAACGACGATCATTCCTCACCTGGAAGACTAAAGCAACGATCGAAGAAGCCCCCAGCTTCAACGGAATCAGGGTCTGCTCCAAGAGGATGGACAGGCTCTAGAGGTTCTGCTCGATGAGGTAGTCGCCCAGCCTCTCGACGACCATGTTGCACTGCCCTGGCGTCACAGGCTCGTCATAGATCCCGATTATCAGAGCCTGCCCGGTCTTCTTGATGCATACTCCACCCGAGCCCTGCGGCCATGAGGGAAGAAGCGGAGTTTGTAGAGGCTAATTATGGGAATTCAAATATAGATGACTATGTTTTCTTCCCCCCCCCCCCTCCCTCCCCCACATTGATTGCGCCCCATGATTTCACAGAGTACAAGAACAAAATGGAAACATAAAGTGTGGGTTTTCCCTCATGATTTCATCCCCAACAAAAGCCAACGTATCATGAATGGCGTCCCTATCAGTGGAAAAATAATAAATAAATATGATCGCGAGGGATTCACTGCAATGGCAAATGTTTGGGGCTCGAAATCATGTGAGCGAATTTCTGCGTTTTTTTTTTTTTTTGGGTACTCTGGCGCGTGGAATGCCATCTATCGAAATACACAAAAAAAAAGAACAAATGAATGCGCCGATGGGGTTTGATGGAAATGGCGAGAGGCTTTTTTGCAATGAGGTTTTAGGAAATGGTAAATTTATCTTCCCACAGAGCATGTGGACGCTGACATTTGTTAGATTATGATGTTTCCATGAACAGATCCATTCTAATAACAACAAAAAATCCGCGTTCTGTTTATGTTTCGTGGTCTGGGTGCTGCCTCAAACTCTCCAAGTTTTCAAAATATATTTTCTATAGGCATTTCAGAGAACCACCAATATGTGTTGAACAGAAGAAGAAAAAAAAAAAAGCAAGCCGAAATAGGCACCTTCTTTCCTCGTATGACGGCCCCAGGCTCTCCCTGAATTACCATGTACTTCGTCCCTCCAAGGAACAAGCCAGTAGGAGCAAGGTACCCTGGCTCGTCGAAATCATTCATGATACCGGTGACCTCCTCCGCTTTGAGCTGTGAGATTGGAAAGAAAAAAACATGCCTAATCAATAGTGTTAATAGAGTCAAACTAATTGGTCTTCATTTCTTTAGATGCGGCAAATAAATAACTAAAAAATATATATATCATTCGATATCAAAAACGTATGCACATACGGACATTGTCAGCAAGTATTGTGCGTGAATGATAACAGAAGATTCTTGACATAATGACAGCCCCCGAGTAAGGTAGAAAGATGCTGAGCACCAGGTGGGCAGTTAGTCTACACAATACTATGAGTCCGTGTAGGACGAGGCACCAGAAGAATAGTGGCCAAGCGATAGCTTCTAGGCTTCGCTATTGCTAACAACAATAAACTAAACTTTCTCTGGGAGGAGTAACGGACTCTCGATTAAGGTATCCTCTGTCATTATTTAGCGTTATGCTTATTCTGACAAAAAAAAGAGATTTACTAGTATATCTGTCACGCCATTTCCCCACGTCTCCGTGGAGAAGATAGCAATTAATAGAAAAAAACAAGATGCCCACTATCATTCGTTTCTGTTATTAACAACATTACTTCGTGAAGCCTAAGCTCATTGAGAAGGTATAATATGATAAGGTTTGTCTAATTTTGAAGGACACATCTAGTGGCTTTCCCTGTTCAATCCCTGAGAAATGCATCCATGCTCAGGTCTGCGCGTAAAATATTCATTAAACAGTGCTTAAAACTAACAACCGAAGAAAAGTCAAATGTTACTCGAATAACGGATAAGATCCGGTCCAATAAGTTCGTGGAAATGAAAAGGTCAAAACAACGGATTCCCCGTACAGAAAATGACGCAAAGTCTCGGACAACAGACACTTAATGGGAAATAAAACCCCCGATCTAAAGGAAAAAAGGGATGGGCAAAATATCCCTGACACTTGATCTGCTTCACTTGTTAACGGTCGCGGTAAAAAAAAAAAAGATATAGGACAAGCCAGATAAAATATCGTATCGAACAAGCGAGGAAGACAGAAAAACGAACTAACCTGGTGCACTGCGATCAGATGTAAGCTGAACAAAAAACTATAATGCCATCAATGTACAGAGACACAAACAGGAAACCAGTGAACTCGACTTCGATCCCGTCTATCAACTTTCCTCCCTCTCCGAGCAAAATAAACCGAATCCGAACAACTACCGAGACGACCCCGCCCGCAGACGGACTTCCCAGATCCCCGAAGAGAATGCACGGGAAGAAACGGAGGCCTACGAGCGGGGAAGGGAGGAGACGCAATACGATACCTGGGGGAAGGGCACGCTCTGCGCCCAGACGCTGCCGTCGTGGCCGATGATCGCCGCCGCCGTCAGGGTTTGACCATCGCCCACATCGCACATGAGGTGATCGTCGACATACGTCTGCCACGACATCCTCTATTCTCCCCGACCTTCCTTCCTCCCTCCCTCCCTCTTCTTCCTCTTCTCCTTCCTCCGGCTCTACCGTGTCTTCGGGAAGATTCCTTTATATAGGAGCAGAGAGAGAGCGGTGGTGGGGAAAGAATAGCGTTGGGATTCCGCAACCCGCTCGAACGAATAACAGTCTCTTCTTTCTTTTTTATCCTACCCTTTTTATTTACCCAGGGACCCCTCACATTTAATCGAATTGAAATATTACCCTTGATTCCGATTAATTCCGGCGGAACTATATAAAATTGATTCCCCTTCGGATACTCTTTCACTCTTCTCCTGAACACTTGACGTGTTTTATTAACTCATCCATTTCTTGGGGGAATTTTCTTTAGTCCCATTAAAAAAAAAAACTAACTTTTAGCCCCTATATGATAATGGCCCGTGAACTTGGGCCCAGTCCGAGCTTATAGGTCCATTTAAGGCCCAATAAAAAACTGTAAATACCCAATTTATCCTTTTGTACACTCTCGTTTCTAGTGCTGACATATAATCACACACACACTTGTGATAAATAGATAGATAGTCATATATATATATACATATATATATATATATATATATAGAGAGAGAGAGAGAAAAAAAATGATAAGAAAAAAAATGTATGGCTTTCAACCCTTATACTCATACCTAGTGAAGCCTATTGCAAATGTTTAACAGATTTTTTTATATTTTAAATCATGAAAAATAAATTACTTGGGAGATAGTTCAGTTCGTCAAGTAAAAGATAAGTGATTAAATACTTTGATTATAGGATCAAACGATTTTTTTGTAAATTTATAGCACATATACTCAAGAGCAGTGTAACAATTTCTAACATCGAGAATAAAGGCTTCCTCTTTTATAATGTAAATAAAAAATAAGCTCATATAAAGTCTTCATTAGTTTACAAATGTTTATCCTAGATTCTAATGTGAGTCAAAGGTGTGTTTATAGCAAATAAATATTTATTTTTTTAAGAGATTGGCCGTGTTTTATTATTTAATCACTTAATATGAGTGCACTTAAGAAGTAGCATGTGATCGTTTGCTATATGGTGATAAAGAGTGCATATGGAAAAGGGCCCATATCAAACATCAACTTGACGACAGGATATAGGTTGGGGCAAATTATGCATGTAGTGATGAGTTGACGAATCCAAGTCAGCAGTTGTCCAGAAGAACCAAACTCGCCCCCCTAAGTACCCACATAGAATTCAAGTTAGTAGTAGTAGTAGAACACAGGAGGGGGGAGAGAGAGAGAAAAAGATATAGATAGATAGAGAGAGATAGTGAATAAATAAAGAAAGAAATAAATATAAATAATATATATAGAGAGAGAGAGAGAATAAGTTTGAGCTTAGAAGGTGTTTAAAAAATCATCATTTATTACCTTATAGAAGGTTCACATTTATAAATATAGTAATTTATTTTTTTCATACTTAAAATTATTACTCTTATTAAAATTATAATTTATTAAAAAAATATTTGGGAAAAAACATTTTATTTTTACAATACTTCATCGGACCACAGGATACGGTGGCTCACATGTGATCTTATAAAGATGAAGAGATCAGCCAGGAGCACACCTGGTCAGAGCAGTCGACCCGCTGGGGCCGAGCCCGACTCGGTGGCGCCGAGTCGCTATTGGCCAGCGCACGATTTATTATAGCTGCTGACTCCTACCCAGGACGGCTGCTAGAAAGCAGGGAGTGTTGTGCGTGTGTGCGAGGGGGGGGGGGGGACTGTATTTAAAGATGTCGAGGGCAACCGCAGCCCCCTATCTGCCCTCTGCCTCGCTCCCCTTCGGCTTCGTCTCTCGCCGCCGCTTAACCGCCGGTAAGCTACGCTACGTCTTTCCCGCTGCCTCTCCATTCACTGCCCGGTTCTTCCCTCCATTCTTCCCGGGTCGGAATTCGTCTCTGGTTTGGTCGCTCTTTCCTTGCACGCCACGCCACATGCCTGTTAAATAAGACGGAGGCTTTTAAAATTCGTGGCCGTTTCGCGAATAGTCGGGGGCATTGGTTCGCGTCTTCCTTCTTTGTTGGTGATCGATGTTAGGAGGGTTGTCCGCTGACTGATGCGTAGTTCGTTGTAGGGGATTATTGCATGTGAATGCAGGGTAATTTATTATCGTCAGCCGGGGGGATACTCGTCCATTCGTTGCTATTCCTCTCAGTAGATGTTATTAGTTTCTCGCTGGATGACGTAACCTATAGTTGATGACCGAGAATCGAAGGAAAGGTGTCTTTTTCCTCATCATTTTTTTTTACTTTTTCACTCTCACGTAATTTGTTGATTTATGCTAATTACTCTTAGCGACATTTCAGAGGTAATTATTTTATTTGCGTGTTTAAGCTTCACTGGGAACCGTTTTGCGACAAAGTGAATTAATGAAGAGCAGTTTTAGGAGGCTCGTTTTGTACATGCGAAATTTCCGTCATTTGTACCATTTCCATTGTTCTGGACTGAGCACCACAATTAAGGTTACATCACTTTGTTTCTCAAGAAATACTCTGTTGTGCGTGTTGAACTACACAGGTTACCTAAGATCAACGTCGACGAAATTGTTCTCACCGGGAAGGCTCGTGCTACTCTCAACAATGAGCAACGACGCTACTACTGCTCCCCCTCTCGCCCAAGAAGCAGCAGTGGAGACTGTTGGCAGACCATCGAGTTTTGCCTCCAACAGGAGCACCTCGACACAGGTAGGGAAAATTTCAGACGATTTATCCTCTACAGTTCCTTTGTCTGTTTTTATTGTGATACTTCTGTATTGTCATTTTATTAGAGAGGGTGACTATCGCTAATAAAGTGGTCGTTGCCGGGAGCTAGAACTTGGCTTTCAGTTTCACCATTTCTCAACTCTTTAGGCCGGCACTAGGTGACTACTATCAGTTGGTTTCATATTTTCCGACTTGAACTTCCAACAGTCTTATAAAAGTGCAAAAGGAGAATCACCTGCGTCAAATATTGAATATTGTATCTCAGAAATGATATCTATATCTGGTGGCATTGTATCAAATGAAGTTTCTATTTATCCGAAATTCGTGATAAGCAAGTAATGCTTCTTGGTAGCTGCATATAAATGTGGTATATTTAAGTCTTAAATGAAAGTTTGTCACCAGTCTTAAGTTGGTGTAAAGATGGCCTGGAACTAAAGATCAAATTTGTGCACATGCTACTTCCATAAAAACCATTGTTGAGGAGCTAGGGTGTACATGCCATGATGAGTTTAAAATAATTGGTTAAGCATTCAATTTCCTCGTCAGTTAGAAATCAGCCTTTATGTTTGTTCTGTTGGGTCACTGGATGCTGATGTGTCACAGAGCGGAGATGCTGTAGGGAGTGTCAAGCAACAACTGTCAAAAATATTCAAAGCATCCCTTCAAGCAACTTTTCCTAATGAGCAGGATGTTGAGCCACTTGTTTCAGTTTCCACTGCAAAGTTTGGTGATTATCAATGGTACGAGTTCCATTTTTTGTTAGCTTATGAGAATTTTTGTTTCTTTTGATTTTAAGTTGTCTTATAAACACGGTCAAGTTTCAATGTTTGTTTTATTGATGTCAGTTCACTTTTTTTTTTAACTTTTTTATAACACAATGTTACAGTTCAACGATCCATATGCCCCTGGTACTGAATCATGGATTTCTTTTTCATGTAGTAATAATGCAATGGGTATGTGGTCTAAAATAAAAGGAAAATCCACGGAATTCAGCAATCCAAATTCTATTGGACAGGCATGTATATTTTCTCACACTTAGTGGAGACTGTTCATTATTATATGATTGACCTTATAGAATTCGTTGATCATTTAGTTAAACCGTATTCATATAATTTTTGGGGATTCCTTTTTGAGGACTCTGAGTATATAATTTTTTTCCGACATACAGTTTTATTGATCTTATCATGTTTATACCTTTTTATCTATGTATTCTGGCAGGCTCTAGTGAGAAATCTCCCTGCATCTGAAATTATAGAATCTACCTCTGTTGCAAAAGCTGGATTCATTAATATTATTCTGTCAAATGCTTGGATAGCTAAGGTAAAGAATTTTCGTTTCAGTTATTCGTAGGATTGGCCTTGTCATGCAACCATAATTTTTATCGGTGCATTGTTTTCTTTGTTCGTAGCATATAGAAAGAATGCTCTTGAATGGTATTGAAACTTGGGCGCCAATCATTCCGGTGAAGAGGGCAGTGGTTGATTTTTCATCGCCAAATATTGCAAAAGAAATGCATGTTGGGCATCTAAGATCAACGATTATTGGAGACACTCTAGCTCGGATGTTGGAGTTCTCAAATGTGGAAGTTCTGCGAAGGAATCATGTTGGTGACTGGGGTACTCAGGTACATGGACTTCATGAACGCTGCTGTATATTATGGCGTTAGACTGAGATATCTGTAGGCTTTCTGGTGCAATGCAATATTGGAAAATTAAATAAAATATGTTGTCAGTTGTTGCTTGATATTATTATCACATGATTCAAATACAAATTTTGGTTTGTCCTCTCTGATTCTAGTGATTTGCTTAAACATTCCATGGAGGTAGGCATTTTCAATATTCCATTCCCATGCTGTGTTTGTAGAAGATTATAACAGTGTAAGACATTGTGGCCTTTAGGTGCACTTAATGACTGCTTTCTGCTGGAAATGATGATTCCCCTGATTATTTAGAGGATAATGTACTTTGAAAAATTATAAAATGCTGATTTCTGTTTGAAACATGACTGTTGCAGTTTGGTATGCTGATTGAATACCTATTTGAGATGTCTCCTAATGGGGAAGACGCTGGGCAGCAAGCCATTGGCGACCTCCAGGTGGGTAACCACAGCGAGAAATTCCTCCTGGTTCCTCAGTAAATGAATGGACTGCTTTTGTTGGTTAATGTTCTGAATCCCATATCATAGTTGATTTTGTATACAATAAGACGGGCTACGAAAGGAATATTGGGTTCCAGTTTTTGAGAACTTCCTTTTACGATTGCATTATTTTTAAATACCTATTTTATTTTTCCCGTGGGCAATGGCCGTTGCTGCAGTCTTAGTCGTTTATGACGCTTGAAGTTTTTTGGTCGTTTTTATCCATTGTAATTGTGGAAAAATAGATAAGAAATGATAATTCTGACGTAATAATGGCCATGAATCATATTTGGGTCCTTACTCACTGCACTTTTCATCTTTTTAACATATCTTTCGTTCCTAATTCATCTTGTTTATCTGGATATAGGGGTTAGTACCATGTGAATAGCCAGTGAGAAATTCAGGTTGATAGATTAACAAATCAGAGCATTAGATTAAAGGTCACTATTTTGTCTTGTAACTTCAGATTTTAGGTTGTTCCTAGGTGGTTGGTAGTAGTTCCATCTCGGTGAAACTGGGGAACAACGAAGGAAAGGAAGAAGAAGAAGAAGAAGTGAAAGAAGAAATCATCCTTTACTGGTAACTCTAGCAGGAGCTTCTCTTCCTCTACGGTTGGGTCCATTGGGTATTGGGTCTGTTTTTTCTTTTTTTTGGTGGTGGTGGGGGGGGAGGGGGGTGTTGAGGTTCATATGAAGATGTGGGACAGGTTGGTTTACAATGTTTGATTTGTTCCTTAGGTGCCCATGTCAGATGCTTGACCCCAGTGAAGATCATAGATGTGGTCAGCATGATAAAAAAGTGCTAATTCGTAAAAACATCAAACTGCCGCAACCAGCACCAGAATCCGAAAACCCATGGTTTCATATGGTTCAGCACATCAGGACATAGATATTAATTGTGTTGTACATTTTCCGGTCTATGTTGGTACGAGATTGGAGCGGGTCAGGGAATAGCTTCAGGGATCTTGCAATAATGTCGTAAATAGGGAAAAACATTGTATCGTTCTATCCCATGAAGCTGCAAAGGATGATTAGCATAGGGGCGTCTGAAATTGGCTTTCATAAGTCTACTTTGACTGCAGGATTTCTACAAAGCCTCAAAGAAGAAATTTGATGAGGATGCTTCCTTCAAAGAAAAAGCACAAAAGGCAGTTGTTCGACTTCAGGTGATTTTTTTCTGATATGATATTAGATGTGATTCTTCTGCTGGGATGTGACACTCATATTTTCGAAATACGCTATTTAGATTTGAAAATGAAATTTAGATTAACTTTCTTGTGTCATCATCCTGTAATTTCGGTAAAATTCATTTCTAATCCTTAAAAATGTCTGCGTGGTACCTTTTGCTCTGCTGATATTCAGGGTGGAGAACTGAAGTACCGTAATGCATGGAAGGAGATCTGTGAGATCAGTCGTCGGGAATTCGCTCAGGTGTATCAGCGCCTGGGGGTTCATCTAGAGGAAAAGGTAATATGGTCTTCCGAGGAATGATTCTAGTGTGGTTGAAGGGACGGAGTTGTAGGGTCAAGATGGTACATGTTTACTCTTGAAATCGAATCTCTTTTCTTTGGGTTTCTTTGCTTTCCTTTAATCTTATGTCCTGAATCTTTTATGCATTTTAGCAACGCAATGGTTTCTTTCAAGATTGATGGTGAATTGAAAGTGCAGTCGTTGGGTTGATGTATTTTTCAAGTTTCTTGTCGCTACTTCAGTTTTGCAAATGATACTCTGTTTCATTTTTACTTGTTTGAAATCTAAACCGTGTTAAAATTTGTTGTGTGATTACCTATCGAGAGCATTGTACTGGCTAGGTAAAAATTGATCTTTATCTATTGTGGAAGTCACAATACTTCAAATTGCTCATGATTTATTTTCTAATCCAGTAATGATTACTTGATGACGGTGTAAGATTAGTAGGGGATTCATATTCATCTGTTTGCCGAAGGCTCACAGATTGACGTATTAGGACTACTGTAAAATCCATGTTGCTCCGTATGATCTGCTTCTTGAAAGTGTGAAGAACGAAAATAAACATCCGATTTTCGCGGATTGGTATACTCGAGATAATTCCGGTATGGATTGGCCGCTTTGGAATAAAATGGGTGCATGCGAATCCAAATGTGTTTATAGAGGGAAAGGGGGAGACTTTTATCTGTCTAGTGTTCTTTTCTAGCTGTCTTATTTTTGCCGGTCTGTATCTAGTTGAAGAGATCTCTCGTTCATTTTTTTGTTTACCTTAAACCACTGTATAAGGTGCTTGAACTTTGTCATTTTTTCATCTATGTTTTTCTTGTTGATTATTTTTTTTCATCTTCTAGTGTTCCGGTCAATTTAAAAAGTTGTAGCCTATTTTTCATAGGGGGAGAGCTTCTACAATCCATATATTCCGGATACCATTCGGGAATTAGACGACAAAGGGCTAGTTGTGGAAAGTGAGGGTGCTCGAGTTATATTTATTGAGGGGCAACAAATTCCATTGATTGTTGTGAAAAGTGATGGAGGATACAACTATGCTTCAACTGATCTAACGGCAATCAGGTTTGTAATTTTTTTTCTGTGGATGATCGTCTCATTCATGTTGGATTATAACCTCATGTGCGTTTCTTTGACAAGAGTGAGATCGTCTCATTCGTGCTGGTGCTTCTGGTATTCAGGTACCGGCTCAGGGAGGAGAAGGCAGAGTGGATCATATACGTGACTGATGTCGGCCAGCAAAACCATTTTGACATGGTGTTCAGTGTATGCATTACGGACATATTTCCATTAGACGAGATATTGACATGGCCTATTCTTTCTTCGATGTTTTGATGTAATGTTTCTCCTGCGTGCTCTATCTTGTCCCTTATTTTATACTAAATCCAGGCTGCACGACGAGCTAGTTGGCTTCCTGAGTCTGTTGGCAGTTCATTCCCGAAAGCTAGCCACGTGGGCTTCGGCCTTGTTCTTGGTGCTGATGGCAAGAGATTTCGTACTCGCAGCTCTGAAGTTGTCCGTTTAGTGGATTTACTTGATGAAGCGAAGAATCGGTGCAGGAAGGAACTAGAGCAGCGTCTTGAGAATCACGGTAAGGTTCTGTGAATGGGTGTGATGATATGTGTTCAACTGTTGGTAGACTATTCGTAAAGCAATCTGTAGTCATGTAAATATTTCCAGCATCCAGCACCGCAGTTTCATCTAGAAAAGAAGGACTAGAACATCTGCTTGTTCTTTGATTAGGGAAACTTGGGGAGTGGACCGGCCAGGAGCTTGAGAAAACTGCGGAAGCGGTTGGCTATGGAGCTGTGAAGTAATCCCTCGTCAACCTTCACTTTTTCCCCCCGGTCGTTTTTCTTGTTACTGCTAGCTCGACTTGCATTGCAGATCGAATTCATGAACAATATCTTAGAACTGAAAACATTATCATTTGTAATAAGTGTGTGTGGGGGGGGGGAAGATATTACTTAAATGACTTTATCTGGTAATGCCTTTTTTTGTAGAATAAGATTATTAAAAATCTACTTTATCCATTGTAAAGTGAAGTGTAGAATGGCATGTATGAGCTTAAAGGGTTGCAATAAGTGAAGTGAAAGTAATGGGTTCTTACTGCCAGCTGCTTTGTGGAACCCATTTTTGTGTCATTCTTACTGTAATTGGTTTGGTTTCCTTCCTGTCAAGGGGGGCTGTAGTTTCTGAGGCATTATAACTTGCACCTATGTGCGATTCATTCTCATGGCATGTAAACGTCCATGTGACAGGTACGCAGATCTGAAGAACAACCGGCTGACCAACTATACGTTCAGCTTTGACCAGATGCTTAATGATAAGGTTTGTATCCGATTCTCTGTTGGAATCTTAGGCACATTGCTTAACTCTGGCTCAGGCCATAGCTGCTGCATGGTTGCCTTTCCATAAAAACGACAACTTTTCGGAGTCAACGTTGAAATTAAAACTCTCTTTTCGGAGTGCAGTCAATTTTCTTGTGTTTTATCTGGGTAAAAAAGTCAAGGTGAGACCTAGGATTGGAAGGATTTTTGATCACCAACGCCAGTGACGGTTGATGGAGTTGTCTCTGGGTTCTACTGTCCCTTACACCAACTTGAAGGTTCAGGTGGCCCAGGTTGCCTGGTTCTATCAAGAGGATTCCCCACTATTCCTCAATCGAAATCAGATCCATTCACCACCCCGTTACATTTTCTCATTAGCATTTTTTTATATCTTGTTTGTCAGTTTTTTTGGAATCAAATTGCATGGGTCGAGGTCATTATTATATTATTCTTTCTATGGACAGGGAAACACGGCCGTTTATCTCTTGTATGCTCATGCCCGGATCTGCTCGATCATCAGAAAATCCAATAGGGATCTGGAGGAGCTCAAAAAGGTTCTGTTATTTTCGGGGTTATTTTCTCAAAATAGAATCACTCGTGTCTTCGTATGCTAAATTTAGAAATTAGAGTATTTATTTTTCTGGCATCATAATAACCCGGGGGGGAGCTTCATTTTTGGCATCTATAGGGGGGAGGGATCTCATTAAGCCATGCAGATGAACGCATCCTGGGCCTTCATTTGGTCCGGTTCGCAGAGGTATGTGGAGCTTTGCTCACCCTAAACCCTACTCTGATCTCTTGTTCTAACTCAGTCTAACCTACGCTCTCTTGTTTGTCTTTATTTCGGTTGACCTTGCCTACCCACCTCCGGCTATATATATATATATATTAGTGCTTCCTGTGGGTCTTCCTGGATCGATGTTTCCATCTCCGTTCATGCAATAAAAATAGCTGTAATTCAGGGGGAATATTGTGGGCTAAGGGTTTCTCCCTTCTTCCACAGGTCGTCGAGGAGGCGTGCTTGAATCTCCTTCCGAATGTGTTGTGCGAGTACCTCTACAATCTCTCCGAAACCTTCACCAGATTCTACACCAGCTGCCAGGTATGGCCGTGCTCTGCTAGAGAGAGAGAGAGAGAGAGAGAGAGAGAGAGAGAGAGAGAGAGAGAGAGACGGTTTTAGTGGTGCTCCTATTATGGGTATTGAGCTCTGTCTGTGCGATCTGGCAGGTGATTGGGTCCGCAGAGGAGAGCAGCAGGCTGCTGCTGTGCGAGGCCACGGCTGTGGTCATGAGGCAGTGCTTCGAGCTGCTGGGCATCGAGCCTGTCTACAAGATATAGAAGCCCCCATTTCCATCCCGAGATCATCCTCTCTTCTCTCTCTCTCTCTCTCTCTTCCCCACCTCGATGTGCCCTAAATTTATACGCCTTTTTGGTTGCCCATCGCCCATTTTTCTTCTTGCCATCACCTCATTTTGGAGGTTCTTACATTTTATTGGGTTTAATTATATGGCCACCTGTCGGGTATTAATGGGCCAGGATCCCCTGAGACGATTCTATAATGGGCTTGCCGAATGGGCCGACAGGGGCCCAGTGAAGAAGACAATCTGGAAGCTGGGTCATCCGACACAACTCTTTGGGGAAGGGTGTTTCGAGGCCCAGAAGCCTAATATCATACTGGGCCGGGCTCCCCTGAGAATATCCCAGAATGGGCTTGGCCAGTTTGGACCCATAATGGGCCAGTGAAGGAGACGATCTCGAAGCCGGGCCATTCGACAAGACTCGGTGAAAGGGTGTCCGAGGCCCACAAGCCTAATATCTTAGTGGGCCGGGCTCTCCTGTGAAGATCCCATAATGGGCTTTCCGGCTGGACCCGTAACGGGCCAGTGAAGAAGACAATCTCGAATCTGGGCAAAAAGTAATCGGTCTTGATTTCCATAGATGCTGCAAATAAATAAAAAAATAAAAAATGAAATATCATTAGATATAAAAAATGTATGCACATCTGGATATTGTCAACGAGCATTGAGTGTGAATAACAGCCGGAGATTCTTGACATAATGACAGCCCCCAAGTAAAGTAGAATAGCAGGTGGGCAGTCAGTCCACATAATACTATGAGCCCGTGGCCAAGCGATAGCTTCTAGGATTCTATTATATTCGCTACAGCCGAGATGGAAGAGGTGGTCTTGGGTAACTGATGTGAGATGACCAGTCTCATGACGGAGTCACTCAGATTCTTGGAAGATAAGGTCTCTGCCCTCAACCCAGTCCGTCACAGGGGACATTGGGCCGCCTATGTCAGCCATTGTGCCGTTGCCGACATCCGACCCCTCTGCCTCTCGGTGGCGGTTAAAGTCGTTGGCCCGGATCCCTTCCGGCGGGGGTGAGAACATGCGATCAGCGGCTCAACAGAAGGACACGGTCTGCGCCCAGACGCTGCCGTCGTGGCCGTTGATCGCCGCCGCCGTCAGGGTTTGACCTTCGCCCACATCGCACATGAGGTTATCGTCGACATACCTCTGCCACGGCATCCTCGATTCTCCCCGACCTTCCTTCCTCCTCTTCTCCTTCCTTTGGCTCTGCCGTGTCTTCGGGAAGATTCCGTTATATAGGGGCAGAGAGAGAGCGTTAGGCGCTCTAATGAACGAGTCTCTTCTTTCTTTTTTGTTCTACCCTCTTTAGTTCCCGGCGAGGCCCCTCACATTTAATCGAATTGGAATATTACCCTCGAGTCCGATTAATATGTTTCTCAAGAAATACTCTGTTGTGCTTGTTGAACTACACAGGTTACCTAAGATCAACGTCGACGAAATTGTTCTCACCGGGAAGGCTCGTGCTACTCTCAACAATGAGCAACGACGCTACTACTGCTCCCCCTCTCGCCCAAGAAGCAGCAGTGGAGACTGTTGGCAGACCATCGAGTTTTGCCTCCAACAGGAGCACCTCGACACAGGTAGGGAAAATTTCAGACGATTTATCCTCTACAGTTCCTTTGTCTGTTTTTATTGTGATACTTCTGTATTGTCATTTTATTAGAGAGGGTGACTATCGCTAATAAAGTGGTCGTTGCCGGGAGCTAGAACTTGGCTTTCAGTTTCACCATTTCTCAACTCTTTAGGCCGGCACTAGGTGACTACTATCAGTTGGTTTCATATTTTCCGACTTGAACTTCCAACAGTCTTATAAAAGTGCAAAAGGAGAATCACCTGCGTCAAATATTGAATATTGTATCTCAGAAATGATATCTATATCTGGTGGCATTGTATCAAATGAAGTTTCTATTTATCCGAAATTCGTGATAAGCAAGTAATGCTTCTTGGTAGCTGCATATAAATGTGGTATATTTAAGTCTTAAATGAAAGTTTGTCACCAGTCTTAAGTTGGTGTAAAGATGGCCTGGAACTAAAGATCAAATTTGTGCACATGCTACTTCCATAAAAACCATTGTTGAGGAGCTAGGGTGTACATGCCATGATGAGTTTAAAATAATTGGTTAAGCATTCAATTTCCTCGTCAATTAGAAATCAGCCTTTATGTTTGTTCTGTTGGGTCACTGGATGCTGATGTGTCACAGAGCGGAGATGCTGTAGGGAGTGTCAAGCAACAACTGTCAAAAATATTCAAAGCATCCCTTCAAGCAACTTTTCCTAATGAGCAGGATGTTGAGCCACTTGTTTCAGTTTCCACTGCAAAGTTTGGTGATTATCAATGGTACGAGTTCCATTTTTTGTTAGCTTATGAGAATTTTTGTTTCTTTTGATTTTAAGTTGTCTTATAAACACGGTCAAGTTTCAATGTTTGTTTTATTGATGTCAGTTCACTTTTTTTTTTAACTTTTTTATAACACAATGTTACAGTTCAACGATCCATATGCCCCTGGTACTGAATCATGGATTTCTTTTTCATGTAGTAATAATGCAATGGGTATGTGGTCTAAAATAAAAGGAAAATCCACGGAATTCAGCAATCCAAATTCTATTGGACAGGCATGTATATTTTCTCACACTTAGTGGAGACTGTTCATTATTATATGATTGACCATATAGAATTCGTTGATCATTTAGTTAAACCGTATTCATATAATTTTTGGGGATTCCTTTTTGAGGACTCTGAGTATATAATTTTTTTCCAACACACAGTTTTATTGATCTTATAATGTTTATACCTTTTTATCTATGTATTCTGGCAGGCTCTAGTGAAAAATCTCCCTGCATCTGAAATTATAGAATCTACCTCTGTTGCAAAAGCTGGATTCATTAATATTATTCTGTCAAATGCTTGGATAGCTAAGGTAAAGAATTTTCGTTTCAGTTATTCGTAGGATTGGCCTTGTCATGCAACCATAATTTTTATCGGTGCATTGTTTTCTTTGTTCGTAGCATATAGAAAGAATGCTCTTGAATGGTATTGAAACTTGGGCGCCAATCATTCCGGTGAAGAGGGCAGTGGTTGATTTTTCATCGCCAAATATTGCAAAAGAAATGCATGTTGGGCATCTAAGATCAACGATTATTGGAGACACTCTAGCTCGGATGTTGGAGTTCTCAAATGTGGAAGTTCTGCGAAGGAATCATGTTGGTGACTGGGGTACTCAGGTACATGGACTTCATGAACGCTGCTGTATATTATGGCGTTAGACTGAGATATCTGTAGGCTTTCTGGTGCAATGCAATATTGGAAAATTAAATAAAATATGTTGTCAGTTGTTGCTTGATATTATTATCACATGATTCAAATACAAATTTTGGTTTGTCCTCTCTGATTCTAGTGATTTGCTTAAACATTCCATGGAGGTAGGCATTTTCAATATTCCATTCCCATGCTGTGTTTGTAGAAGATTATAACAGTGTAAGACATTGTGGCCTTTAGGTGCACTTAATGACTGCTTTCTGCTGGAAATGATGATTCCCCTGATTATTTAGAGGATAATGTACTTTGAAAAATTATAAAATGCTGATTTCTGTTTGAAACATGACTGTTGCAGTTTGGTATGCTGATTGAATACCTATTTGAGATGTCTCCTAATGGGGAAGACGCTGGGCAGCAAGCCATTGGCGACCTCCAGGTGGGTAACCACAGCGAGAAATTCCTCCTGGTTCCTCAGTAAATGAATGGACTGCTTTTGTTGGTTAATGTTCTGAATCCCATATCATAGTTGATTTTGTATACAATAAGACGGGCTACGAAAGGAATATTGGGTTCCAGTTTTTGAGAACTTCCTTTTACGATTGCATTATTTTTAAATACCTATTTTATTTTTCCCGTGGGCAATGGCCGTTGCTGCAGTCTTAGTCGTTTATGACGCTTGAAGTTTTTTGGTCGTTTTTATCCATTGTAATTGTGGAAAAATAGATAAGAAATGATAATTCTGACGTAATAATGGCCATGAATCATATTTGGGTCCTTACTCACTGCACTTTTCATCTTTTTAACATATCTTTCGTTCCTAATTCATCTTGTTTATCTGGATATAGGGGTTAGTACCATGTGAATAGCCAGTGAGAAATTCAGGTTGATAGATTAACAAATCAGAGCATTAGATTAAAGGTCACTATTTTGTCTTGTAACTTCAGATTTTAGGTTGTTCCTAGGTGGTTGGTAGTAGTTCCATCTCGGTGAAACTGGGGAACAACGAAGGAAAGGAAGAAGAAGAAGAAGAAGTGAAAGAAGAAATCATCCTTTACTGGTAACTCTAGCAGGAGCTTCTCTTCCTCTACGGTTGGGTCCATTGGGTATTGGGTCTGTTTTTTCTTTTTTTTGGTGGTGGTGGGGGGGGAGGGGGGTGTTGAGGTTCATATGAAGATGTGGGACAGGTTGGTTTACAATGTTTGATTTGTTCCTTAGGTGCCCATGTCAGATGCTTGACCCCAGTGAAGATCATAGATGTGGTCAGCATGATAAAAAAGTGCTAATTCGTAAAAACATCAAACTGCCGCAACCAGCACCAGAATCCGAAAACCCATGGTTTCATATGGTTCAGCACATCAGGACATAGATATTAATTGTGTTGTACATTTTCCGGTCTATGTTGGTACGAGATTGGAGCGGGTCAGGGAATAGCTTCAGGGATCTTGCAATAATGTCGTAAATAGGGAAAAACATTGTATCGTTCTATCCCATGAAGCTGCAAAGGATGATTAGCATAGGGGCGTCTGAAATTGGCTTTCATAAGTCTACTTTGACTGCAGGATTTCTACAAAGCCTCAAAGAAGAAATTTGATGAGGATGCTTCCTTCAAAGAAAAAGCACAAAAGGCAGTTGTTCGACTTCAGGTGATTTTTTTCTGATATGATATTAGATGTGATTCTTCTGCTGGGATGTGACACTCATATTTTCGAAATACGCTATTTAGATTTGAAAATGAAATTTAGATTAACTTTCTTGTGTCATCATCCTGTAATTTCGGTAAAATTCATTTCTAATCCTTAAAAATGTCTGCGTGGTACCTTTTGCTCTGCTGATATTCAGGGTGGAGAACTGAAGTACCGTAATGCATGGAAGGAGATCTGTGAGATCAGTCGTCGGGAATTCGCTCAGGTGTATCAGCGCCTGGGGGTTCATCTAGAGGAAAAGGTAATATGGTCTTCCGAGGAATGATTCTAGTGTGGTTGAAGGGACGGAGTTGTAGGGTCAAGATGGTACATGTTTACTCTTGAAATCGAATCTCTTTTCTTTGGGTTTCTTTGCTTTCCTTTAATCTTATGTCCTGAATCTTTTATGCATTTTAGCAACGCAATGGTTTCTTTCAAGATTGATGGTGAATTGAAAGTGCAGTCGTTGGGTTGATGTATTTTTCAAGTTTCTTGTCGCTACTTCAGTTTTGCAAATGATACTCTGTTTCATTTTTACTTGTTTGAAATCTAAACCGTGTTAAAATTTGTTGTGTGATTACCTATCGAAAGCATTGTACTGGCTAGGTAAAAATTGATCTTTATCTATTGTGGAAGTCACAATACTTCAAATTGCTCATGATTTATTTTCTAATCCAGTAATGATTACTTGATGACGGTGTAAGATTAGTAGGGGATTCATATTCATCTGTTTGCCGAAGGCTCACAGATTGACGTATTAGGACTACTGTAAAATCCATGTTGCTCCGTATGATCTGCTTCTTGAAAGTGTGAAGAACGAAAATAAACATCCGATTTTCGCGGATTGGTATACTCGAGATAATTCCGGTATGGATTGGCCGCTTTGGAATAAAATGGGTGCATGCGAATCCAAATGTGTTTATAGAGGGAAAGGGGGAGACTTTTATCTGTCTAGTGTTCTTTTCTAGCTGTCTTATTTTTGCCGGTCTGTATCTAGTTGAAGAGATCTCTCGTTCATTTTTTTGTTTACCTTAAACCACTGTATAAGGTGCTTGAACTTTGTCATTTTTTCATCTATGTTTTTCTTGTTGATTATTTTTTTTCATCTTCTAGTGTTCCGGTCAATTTAAAAAGTTGTAGCCTATTTTTCATAGGGGGAGAGCTTCTACAATCCATATATTCCGGATACCATTCGGGAATTAGACGACAAAGGGCTAATTGTGGAAAGTGATGGTGCCCGAGTTATATTTATTGAGGGGCAACAAATTCCATTGATTGTTGTGAAAAGTGATGGAGGATACGGCTATGCCTCAACTGATCTAACGGCAATCAGGTTTGTAATTTTTTTTCTGTGGATGATCGTCTCATTCATGTTGGATTATAACCTCATGTGCGTTTCTTTGACAAGAGTGAGATCGTCTCATTCGTGCTGGTGCTTCTGGTATTCAGGTACCGGCTCAGGGAGGAGAAGGCAGAGTGGATCATATACTTGACTGATGTCGGCCAGCAAAACCATTTTGACATGGTGTTCTGTGTATGCATTACGGACATATTTCCAATAGATGAGATGTTGACATGGCCTATTCTTTCTTCGATGTTTTGATGTAATGTTTCTCCTGCGTGCTCTATCTTGTCTCTTATTTTAAACTAAATCCAGGCTGCACGACGAGCTAGTTGGCTTCCTGAGTCTGTTGGCAGTTCATTCCCGAAAGCTAGCCATGTGGGCTTCGGCCTTGTTCTTGGTGCTGATGGCAAGAGATTCCGTACTCGCAGCTCTGAAGTTGTCCGTTTAGTGGATTTACTTGATGAAGCGAAGAATCGGTGCAGGAAGGAACTAGAGCAGCGTCTTGAGAATCACGGTAAGGTTCTGTGAATGGGTGTGATGATATGTGTTCAACTGTTGGTAGACTATTCGTAAAGCAATCTGTAGTCATGTAAATATTTCCAGCATCCAGCACCGCAGTTTCATCTAGAAAAGAAGGACTAGAACATCTGCTTGTTCTTTGATTAGGGAAACTTGGGGAGTGGACCGGCCAGGAGCTTGAGAAAACTGCGGAAGCGGTTGGCTATGGAGCTGTCAAGTAGTCCCTCGTCAACCTTCACTTTTTCCCCCCGGTCGTTTTTCTTGTTACTGCTAGCTCGACTTGCATTGCAGATCGAATTCATGAACAATATCTTAGAACTGAAAACATTGTCATTTGTAATAAGTGTGTGTGGGGGGGGGAAGATATTACTTAAATGACTTTATCTGGTAATGCCTTTTTTTGCAGAATAAGATTATTAAAAATCTACTTTATCCATTGTAAAGTGAAGTGTAGAATGGCATGTATGAGTTTAAAGGGTTGCAATAAGTGAAGTGAAAGTAATGGGTTCTTACTGCCAGCTGCTTTGTGGAACCCATTTTTGTGTCATTCTTACTATAATTGGTTTGGTTTCCTTCCAGTGTGTGTGTTGGGGGGGAAGGGGGTGGTGTAGTTTCTGAGGCATTGTATCTTGCATCCATAGGTGATTCATTCTCATGGCGTGTAAACCATGTGACAGGTACGCAGATCTGAAGAACAACCGGCTGACCAACTATACGTTCAGTTTTGACCAGATGCTTAACGATAAGGTTTGTATCCGGTTCTCTATTAGAATCCTTTCTTCTCTTTCCATTACCTAGACACATTGTGTTATAAGTTCCACTTCAACTCAGTAACAGAACATAGCTGCTATGTTAAGAACCCAGATCAAAGAACTACGAATAATTCATATTAGATCAAAAAACAATCTCTAGAACAGAAATACCAAAGATAAAACATAGTAAAAGAACCCGGAACAGATGGAGGGTCGCATACAACCCTCCAACCCTTTCTCCGTAGATGCACGAGATACTAACTCTGATTTTCCTCCCCCTTTTCTTCTTGATCTGCCCCTCTTTATATCCTCTCGTTTCCCTCTCTTATTTAAGTAGTTAGTATCCTGCCATAATTGCTCTTGCCGTAACCGCTCTTTGCCATAACTACTCCTTGTCATATTGTTCTTTGCCGTAACTATGCCTTCCGTCAATCATGCTAACTATTATTGACTTATTAGGCTTTGGGCCTTCTTCCTTCTAACATATATGCATGGAGCCTTATCAATACTCCCCCCCATGAGCTTCACCTTGTCCTCAAGGTGGAAGTCCGGAAATTACTGGTGAAGGGATGAAGCTAGTTCCCACGTAGCTTCAAAATCAAGGAAATCAGCCTATTTGACCAAAACTTCTATGGCAAAAGAGGAATTCCGAATGGCAAGGATATCTTGGGGGGTCACATTCCATTTCAAAGCATCAGTCAGTATGCCTGGAATGGGGTTGACAGTAAGCAAAATTCCGTAGTGCTTTGCGAAGTTGAGAAATGTGAAAAACTTGGTGAATAGTTATGGAGCTAGGAAGTTCCAATTTGTATGTCACCTGGCTAATGCGCTCCTGGATAGGGTAAGGGCCAAAAAATCTGGGACTCAATTTTTCATTAGCTTTCTTGGCTAATGATTTCATACGATAAGATCAGAGCCTGATATTGTAGTCGAAATAACACACGGTCTGGAGCTCTGATAGGCGCCCAGCACTCGTGGACGAAGAACTCAAACTTTATTTATTAAAAAAACTGTTTATAAGGAGAACGGGATCCAATATTTATACCAGATCCCCAGAAGGTTCTAGACGTAGTGATGTAACACGAAATGAAAGGTACATGAGGACATATATGTAAACATGTAAGGTATACATGTTATTAAGTACATCTCGACAATAGATATAAACCAAATCTCTCACTTAAAACTCTATGTCTCGTCGATGTTTGTCAACTTGTGCTTTCATCTTGGACTGTGCAGCCAATAGATTTTCTTTGAGAAGTTGAAGTGTATCATCCCTTTCTTTCAGATAAGTGTCGACTGCATCAATTGATGAGATAAGAGATCCATAACGTGTAAGTGTGGGAGGGTCCCGTCCATACACTGCTTTAAAAGGGGTCATCTTGATGTCAGAATGATGAGAAGTGTTGTAACAAGTTATTCCATAACTTAGGTTTATCATAAGTAAAGTATCGGAGATAATTCTCTAAGCTTTGGTTCACCACCTATGTTTGCCTATCTGTTTGTGGGTGATATGAAGAACTCATTTTCAATTTTGTGCCTTAAAGTTTGTTGAGTGCTTTTCAAAAAGCGTTGGTAAATACTGTCCCTCTATCAGTCACAATAGATCTTGGAATGCCATGCAGTTTGATGATTTTCTTTGCAAATATTTGGGCAATGTCTTTGGCTATGAATAGATGTCTAAGGGGTATAAAGTGACCAAATTTGCTAAGTCTGTCTACTATGACGTGAATGGAGTCATAGCCTTTAGATTTAGGTAGACCCTCTTTAAAATCCATGGAGAGGTCTTCCTAGATCATATTCGGAATAGACAGGGGCTGCAAAAAGTCCTATTGGTGACAAGGTCGAAATCTTATTCAATTGACAGATAGTACATTCATTAATATGTTATTTGATCCTTTTCTTCATGCCAGGCCAATAGACGTGTTGAGCAATTCGTCGGTAGGTTTTCAAAAATTCAACATGACCTCTCAATAGGCTATCATGAAATTCATGTAGTAATGTGGAGAGAAGAGTAGATGTAAGGGGAAACACCAGCTACCTTTGTAGAGAAGTGATCCTTGTTGAATTGAGTAATGTGGAAAAAAAGTTGAGCCTTCTATAAGTACGATTTTGATTTTAGATAGTCGTGAGTCATTTTCCACTTCTTTGTTGATTGTGATTGATTACATCTATTCCTTGTGTAATACACATGGTTGCCACCACTGTCTCACACAATTGTGGTGTTCTAGATAGTGCATCTGCAGCTGCATTCTTCTTGCCTTATATTGTATCTGAAAATTAAATCCCATTAGTTTAGTGACCCATTTGTGATATTTTGTGTGAATCTCCTTTTAGTCGAACATGAATTTCAAAGTATATTGGTCTGTTCGAATGATGAAAGGTTGGAGCATGAGATTAACTGCCATCACAATGACAATGAGTTCTCTCTCATAGATTGACTTTAGACGAGAGTGTTCCTTAAAAGTATGACTAAAATAAGCTACTGGTCGTCCTTCCTGCATCAATACTACACCTATGCCGTGTCTTGAAGCATCTATTTCAACTACGAATTTTTGAGAGAAATTAGGCAGGGCCAAAACTGGTGTGGAAGTCATCGCCACCTTCAGTTTATGCAAAGCGTCTTGAGCATCAAAGTCCCAATGAAAAGAATTTTTCTTGAGCAATCTATTCAAGGGCCATGATAAGGTGGCATAATATTTGACAAATCGGCGATAATAGCCAGTTAGTCCTAAGAATCCTCGTAATGCTTTCAAATGCTTAGGAGTAGGCTAGTCCCATATTACTGAAATTTTTCTTTGATCTGTAGATACTCTTTTTGTAGAAATCTAGTGGCCCAAATATTCCAATTGAGATTGCTTGAATTGACAATTTTTTTCATTGACATAAAGGGTATTAGTCGCAAGAATAAGGAAGACATTATCCAAATGTTCATCATGTTCTTTATGAGTTTTGCTATATATTAGGATATCATCAAAAAATACTAATACAAATTTCCTTAGACAAGGTCGAACTATATCATTCATTAAGTATTAAAATGTGGATGGGGCATTAGAGAAGCCCAAATGGCATAACCTTGAGTTCGTAGTGATCCTCATGGGTCTTGAAAGCGGTTTTCTGAATGTCTTCCTATTTCATACGGATTTGACAGTAACCAGACTTCAAATCTAGTTTAGAAAAAACTGACATTTCATGCAGCTCTTTCAGCAACTCATTGACAATAGGAATAGGGAACCTATTTGAAACTGTGGATTTATTTAAGGCCCTGTAATCAATACAAAATCACCAGCTGCCATCCTTTTTTTAACAAGCAATACAGGGCTAGCAAATAGACTTTTAGAGGGTTGAATGATGCATGTAGTACATAGCTCATGGACCAGCTGTTTAGTTTCATCCTTCTGAAATTGTGTGTACCTGTACGGTTGTAGATTAATAGGCTGAGTACCGGTAATAAATTGATGGCATGATCAATTGTTCTTTTTGGAGGAAGCCTTGACAAGGCTTCAAAGACTTGTGTGAACCATTTATGCAGTCTGACCGCTATCTCTGACTGTTCTGGTGTAATTCTACTGCACATATGTGGCTTCTTTTTAATTCACGTTTTGCTGCTTTGAAAGATATTCTTGTTTTGTTTAAACTTGCATCCCCACAAATGGTGTAGATCGTGTTATTGAGCATAAATTTCATGATTAATTGCCCATAGTGTGAATGTATCCACCCCAGTGTTTTAAGCTACTGCATTCCTAGTATGACATTTGTGCCACTAAGATTAAAGGGAAGGAAATCTTGAATAATGAGGAGATCTTAGATTTTGAGTAGAATGTTATGGCATATCCCATGACCTTAGACGGTATGCCCATTCCCAATCACAATACCATAGCTATGGAATTCGTTGACAGGTAAGGATAGCTCTTCCCTCAGCTTATTGCAGACGAAATTGTGGGTAGCACCAATGTCTATAAGAATGGTTACATGTTTATCTTGCATGATGTCTTTTACCTCCATAGTCCCATGCTGAGTCAATCTCATGACGGAATTTAATGAGACATGGGTTGTGAATAAAGTATCTTCCTCTTGTGAGCAAAGCTCTAGTGGAGCCCAATCTTCCTCTTGGAAGTCTTCTTGGGACTTCTCCTCCCCATGGACAATGAGTATATTAAGGTCCCGCCTGCATCTACGGCCTGGTCCAAACTTGTCATTACAATAGAAACAAAATCCTTTGTTTCTTCTTTCTTGTAGTCCAGCTTCTGTCAGTTGTATCTGCCTTCTATTTTCCTTGTTATTGCTCATATTTTGTAGAGTATATGTGGACATCCCACCTTTATTTGAGGCACTAGTTATGGTCACTTGGGTTTTCTTTAAATTATATTGCTCATTTCTGAAACTAGATATCAAAGGAGGCCTTTGTTGGTGCAGAGTATAAGCAGCTATGAGATGTTTGGGTGGTCGTGGTTGTTCCTACTTCCATACTTGCCATAGAGTATGGATATGAGCTTCAGCTTGTACTGAAGCATCCATAATTTCACGTAACCCAATAGGCTTGGACATAGATAATTCTGATTGGATCTCAAGCTTGAGTCTTTTCAGATATATATGTTCCAATATTTCTGTTGGTATGTTCAGAAGATAAGTTGAGAGTCATTCAAACTCTGCCCTATATTCTAATACGGAACTCTCTTGTTTCAGGTTCAAAAAATTCTGATACGTGTTGTTAGCTATTGATGAACCAAATCGACCACTAAGTTGGATTTTAAAATCATACCAGTCATGGAATGGAAAATGATCTTCCATTCACAGATACCAATCCAGGGCATCACCCTCCATGTTCAGCATTATTGTTTCTAAACGATCGTATTCTGGTGTTTGGTTAATACGAAAATACCTTTTAGCCTATTGTAACCTTCCATCTAGATTATCTCTAGTGAAATTTGGAACGTCAGTCCGGCGGTTGGGCTTGTAATTGCCCTCCCTTTGCTCTGAATTTTGAAGTGAATGTGGTTTTGGTTGTCTCTGAGACTGCTCTAGTGGAGGTTCATGTGGTAGGTGTGTCATCAAGGTTGCTAGTTCTTGGGTGAGTTGTTGTAGTATTTCTTTTATACTCCCACTGTCTTCCTTAAGAGCTTCAAGATCAACTTCCAAAGATTCCATCCTCAAAATAGTAAGCCCTTTAATCATACAGGGATAGCTTAATTTGGCTCTGATACTAGTGATAAGAACCCAGATCAAAGAACTACGAATAATTCGTATTAGATGAAAGAAACAATCTCTAGAACAGAAATACCGAAGATAAAACACAGTAAAAGAACCCAGAATAGATGGAGGGCCGCATACAACCCTAGAACCCGGAATAGATGGAGGGTCGCATACAACCATCCAAACCTTTCTCGTAGATGCATGAGATACTAACTCTGATTTTCCTCCCTCTTTCTTTCTGATCCACCCCTCTTTATATCCTCTCCTTTCCCTCTCTCATTTAGGCAGTTAGTCTCCTGCCATAACTGCTCTTACTATAACTGCTATTTGCCATAACTGCTCCTTGTCATATTGTTCTTTGTCCTAACTGTGCCTTCCCTCAATCATGTTAACCGTTATTGACTTATTAGGCTTTGGGCCTTGTGTTTTATCTGGGTAAAAAAGTCAAGGTGAGACCGAGGATTGGAAGGATTTTTGGTCACCGACGCCACTGACGGTTGATGGAGTTGTCTCTGGCACCCTCTATCAAGAGGATTCCCCACTATTCCTCAATCGAAATCAGATCCATTCACCACCCCGTTACATTTTCTCATTAGCATTTTTTTATATCTTGTTTGTCAGTTTTTTTGGAATCAAATTGCATGGGTCGAGGTCATTATTATATCATTCTTTCTATGGACAGGGAAACACGGCCGTTTATCTCTTGTATGCTCATGCCCGGATCTGCTCGATCATCAGAAAATCCAATAGGGATCTGGAGGAGCTCAAAAAGGTTCTGTTCTTTACGTGGTTATTTTCTCAAAATAGAATCACTCGTGTCTTCGTATGCTAAATTTAGAAATTAGAGTATTTATTTTTCTGGCATCATAATAACCCGGGGGGGAGCTTCATTTTTGGCATCTATAGGGGGGAGGGATCTCATTAAGCCATGCAGATGAACGCATCCTGGGCCTTCATTTGGTCCGGTTCGCAGAGGTATGTGGAGCTTTGCTCACCCTAAACCCTACTCTGATCTCTTGTTCTAACTCAGTCTAACCTACGCTCTCTTGTTTGTCTTTATTTCGGTTGACCTTGCCTACCCACCTCCGGCTATATATATATATATATTAGTGCTTCCTGTGGGTCTTCCTGGATCGATGTTTCCATCTCCGGTCATGCAATAAAAATAGCTGTAATTCAGGGGGAATATTGTGGGCTAAGGGTTTCTCCCTTCTTCCACAGGTCGTCGAGGAGGCGTGCTTGAATCTCCTTCCGAATGTGTTGTGCGAGTACCTCTACAATCTCTCCGAAACCTTCACCAGATTCTACACCAGCTGCCAGGTATGGCCGTGCTCTGCTAGAGAGAGAGAGAGAGAGAGAGAGAGAGAGAGAGAGAGAGAGAGAGAGAGACGGTTTTAGTGGTGCTCCTATTATGGGTATTGAGCTCTGTCTGTGCGATCTGGCAGGTGATTGGGTCCGCAGAGGAGAGCAGCAGGCTGCTGCTGTGCGAGGCCACGGCTGTGGTCATGAGGCAGTGCTTCGAGCTGCTGGGCATCGAGCCTGTCTACAAGATATAGAAGCCCCCATTTCCATCCCGAGATCATCCCTCTCTTCTCTCTCTCTCTCTCTCTCTTCCCCACCTCGATGTGCCCTAAATTTATACGCCTTTTTGGTTGCCCATCGCCCATTTTTCTTCTTGCCATCACCTCATTTTGGAGGTTCTTACATTTTATTGGCTTCAATTATATGGCCACCTGTCGGGTATTAATGGGCCAGGATCCCCTGAGACGATTCTATAATGGGCTTGCCGAATGGGCCGACAGGGGCCCAGTGAAGAAGACAATCTGGAAGCTGGGGCATCCGACACAACTCTTTGGGGAAGGGTGTTTCGAGGCCCAGAAGCCTAATATCATAGTGGGCCGGGCTCCCCTGAGAATATCTCATAATGGGCTTAACAGTTTAGACCCATAATGGGCCAGTGAAGGAGACGATCTCGAAGCCGGGCCATTCGACAAGACTCGGTGAAAGGGTGTCCGAGGGCGACAAGTACTCGGCTAGGTTGATGGGAGGGTGCTCTCTGGATCTTTCTGTCAGAGATTTATATGGCCTGGGCTGGGGTAGGTCGTCGGGTTTGTGGGCTCAAGCAGTATGGTGATGGGCCTGTGAAGCCCAAAAACGTAGCAGAGTAGAGCACAGTTCTCCAGGAGAGACCCTCGCCGGAGGAGGTGGGAGGTTCTGAGCTCTGGCAGAGAGAGAGAGAGAATCCAGAAAGGGGAGAGCCGTCCCCATGTTGAACTGTTCCTATTCCCTCTGCAGCTTCTTTATGGGACCAGATCCCCCCACGAGAGCCCCTCTCCACAGAGCCGCCATGAGCCCCCCTTCTCTCTCTCTCTCTCTCTCTCTCTCCGTCTCTCTCCCAAGAAGCGGAGAAAGAAACGAACGGCAGCTTTCCCCTGGGTGGGTGCGGGTGTTGGGTTTGAATGACAGGAAGGGAGGTGAGAAGGAAGGAGACGATGGCATCATCCCTGTGGCACGTGGAAAGGCATCAGGGTGGGCGCATCCAATTCCCGACCTCCTTGTCTCCCCCCTCTCTCTCTCTCTCTCTCTCTCTCTCTCTCTTTCTCTCTTTCTATCTATAAGGAAAGGCATTGGGGGGGGGGGGGGATAAGAAGAGGCTCTAGGGGTTTCTTTCAGGTGCCCCATCGGTCCTGGAGTAGTGTGATAATTGTTGCAGGTAGAACTTGGGGAACTGACTGTGGTTTATTAAAAACAAGAGGCGCATGAATAAGTTATGTGCTCCGCTGTCTGGAAATAGGCAGTGTTAGGGGATTTTCTTTGTATATTTTGAACGGTGGGCAAGGGTGCAGTAGTTTTAAGATCAACGGGTTGCGAACCAGTTGGACTTCATCTCTCTCTCTCTCTCTCTCGCTCTTAATGACAGTAAATGGGAACTATCTAGCGGAGCAGGTGCTCAGAAGTTTCGCCCGCCCAGGTTCTCTTGATGCAGAGAATAAAGCTGCCGTTAAAGAGGTTCTCTCTGTCGCAGAAATCCGAAGGGAAGATAGCTCCTTTCCGTTATCGTCGGGAAGTTCAAACCAAAACCCGAGTACACTCTCTCTCTCGTTCGCTCTCTCTCTCTCTCTCCGAGCAGAGTTGAAGGAGAGCTTCATGGCGGAGACGGACGTGTATATCCATCTCGTTCTCAGAGACATGTGCCACCATCATCGATAACGTGCGAACAGGAAAGAATAGAAAACTCTCCAAGTAGAGTCCAAGACGAGGAGGATGGCGACGCCATAGACTGTGAGAAGAGTACTAGGGGAGTCGAAGAAGCTGACTTCAAGTAAAAATAGGGTGACCAGAAGGGGAGAGAAGAGATCATCCCCAAGAAGAATTAGGGTTTCGGTCCTGACAAGCCCTTCATCGAACGAAACTCACCTGAGCGGAGGAATTATTCACAAGAGTGAGATAGAAGGTAGCTTCGTCAACAAAATCATGACGGTTTCAGTCCATGAATATTTTCAGGGGAGATGCTCATTTAGAGAGAGAAAATAAATCGACAAGGGTAGTAGAGAAGGTCTCTTCAACAGAAAATTTGTTAGGGTTTCATCCCAACAAGCCTCCATGTCACAATCTCACTTAATGGAAAACAAATCTAATGTTTTTTTTGGGTTCGGAAGAGGAAATTATCATCATGAAACACCAGGGTTTAATCCCCCTATAGAACTCCACAGGAGAATATCGGGCAAATGATGAGATTAAGATGGTGAAGAGGAAATTGTCGTCAAGGGATAGTAGGATTGCCGTCCCTTCAGACCAGCGTAATAGGAATCAGTCACATGCATGAGGAGAAGAAAACCCAACGGCAGCTCCCTCGTTTCCATTCTCTTATCTCCGATTATGAAGATTCAGGTGAAATAATATCCTCGTAACATTTAATGAAAACATATATGGAATGAAAACAAAAACCATATGAACAGTGAGCAATAGTAATGGGGTTGGGGGGATGATACGGCAGTGATGAAAGAGATACAGTAGACTGGCTCTACCCAGTTAGGGTTTCCTTCTACAGTCAGCAACGCCGGCAGCCTTCTTTTCCTTTCCTTTGCCCTCGTTTGTTCTCTTTTCCACTCTTTTACTAGTCCCCTTCTTTTCCTCTTTCCAACTTGGGTCACTCCACAGTTTTGCTTCACCTCATGCAGCAATGTAGACGCAGATAACCCCATTTGCCTATTGATTTCAAGAATCAGACAAGAAGGAGATGATCTCCCTTTGACCTAGCCATGGTGGTCGGGGTTATCTGGGTATGACCAGTAGGAGTTCTTCAGCCACTCTGTGGTCTCCTGAGCGTTGGGAATCGATATTTCCTGAAATACATAATAATATATAACTTAGCATCATCAAGGAGCATGGAAAGAATACAGATGAGGATCTTTTCCACTCCGTGCTCAATGTTTGATATGTGATTGACTAAATTATGTATGGAAAGCGAGTATCTTTGTTTATTTTTTGCCTAAATCCTTTACCTTTTTCTTTTTGGATTTTATAAAGAAAAGAAAACAACAAGCCTCTACTTTAGGTCTTTCTCTCTCATAATGAGAAAGGCTTGTCTGTTCTTTTCCTAAGTGAAATACATAAGAGAAGGTTCTGTTTGTGCAGGCGCTGAAATTGAGGAGGCCTGGACGCAGTCAGCCTATCAAGGAAAAGATGATCTACACACATCATTTTTCACTTTTTAAATCAGTAAAATAATTATAATTATAAGATGTCCAATATTTCTTCTTATATGTAAGGGGACAAGCCGGCCAGATGATCCCGAAAAAATTGCCTGACCGGGTCCTTATTCAGGTCAACTCTCAGGTTCAATAGGGATCCGGCCGGAAGCCCGGAGCCCAACCCGGCTGAATCTCTCTCTCTCTCTCTCTCTCTTCTTTAGCTATGGCCGGGGCCGGAGTTATACAGGCCAACTGAGACCTCATAAGAGGGCATCTTGTACCATGGCATCCAGATCCCATCTTTCCCTCTCCTTTGAAACCCCCATCCTGACCGCTTTTCTTGAGCTAGGTCTAGTGTTCTTGATTCATCTAATCTTTTCTTCCTTCACTGAAAGTAGTTGTTGTCTCTACATGCACCTAGACCAGAGAAAGGCTTGCAATTTCTAGCATGTCCCCATTATTTCATTGATGTAAAAATTATGAGAGTCTATTACTATTTCTACTGCAACATATAGTTTTTCCTTCTTGATTTAACAAAGTAGCTAGCATGAATCATGGGTCCGAGTGCAGCATAGAAGGCAGCAAGAGAGATGGGGATATTGCATTATCAAACTAATTCATTCAACTAGACTGTAAAAGGGATATAATTAGCCGGACACCTCCTCGAAATGTGGCTGACTAGAGCATTCAGATGACAATGATCAGAGGTTATCACCGTTTTTTCATTAATATCTTAATTTATAATTCAAGGTGCTTTATTTTTCCCTCTTTCATGTCGAAATATTTGGTGATTTTCAAAGATGGGTTTGAGTTGGAACAGCAGAGGAAACACCAAAATATATTGAATTTGCAGGAAACTGAAGTTCAACGTTGGTTGAGATAGTTTGAGTAGAAGTTCAACGTACTCCTTTGATGTCCGTCGGGGTGCAACCCATTATCAGTTCTTCCAATCCGGAGGTTGACCTTTCCACCAGTTTATGCTGCTGCTAGCGAGAAAGAGAGAGAGAGAGAGATTAGAGGGAGAAGAATTAGGTCAACGCGATGATCTTATGTACAAATGTAATACTACCTGGAACTTGTCGTTGGGGAGGAGCATCCTCGAGACGTTGTATGGATCGTCGAGAACGAGAGAGGTGTGATGGAGGGGCATCGGAGAGAGGATGGCGGAGATGGCGTTGCATGGCCGGCTGACGTGGAAGGCGGCGGCGGGGGCGACCGCCTGTCGGTGCTGCTCATGGACGGCGCGGCGGCGGCGCTCGTCCTCCTCGTGATCGTCGCACGTGCCTGCCGTTGTCTCCCTCGCCCTGGGTGATGGACCCTCGTCTACCCCCCCCTGCGCACAACGTGAGACGTCATGAGTTGCAGAGGCTCAAGAAACGTTATTCTTTGAGAGAGAGGGAGAGGGGGAGAGAGAGAGAGAGAGAGAGAGCGATTTTCCAAGTTCCTTAAGTTCATGGGCGATCATGATAATGACCAGCCAGACAACGAAAAGAAATCTCCTACCGATGAGGCCAGTAACCCTAACCTCGTCGAAGCTCCTCCTGAAAGGCGAGAAGTTGAAATTATCCGCCTTCAGATGCTGGATATCCATGGCACCGTACCTCGATATCACACCCCCCGCGGTGGCCATCTCCTCTCTCTGGCAGACAGCGGCCTTCCCGCTGCCGCTGCCACTCTCTCTCCGGCTATTGTTCTCCGCCGCCGCCTCCACCGCCGCCGCCATCCTCTCGGCCAAGTTGCACTGCCGCGGCTGGGTCTGGTAGAAGATCTTGGACACCACCAACTCTCCTTCTCTCTCCTCCTCCAGCTGCCCCAGGTGGTACTGGTGCATGACCCAGTTGGTCTTCTCCGCCTTCCGGTTTTTGCCGAAATTGGTATAGAGGACCAAGATCTTCTTGCACCCCTTCTGCCTCCCGTTGACCATCACCGGCCTCGTCTTGCCGGTCTTGTGCCACCGTGTCTCGCCCCCCTGGAGGTCGCACTCCGTCTGGATCTTCCGCCGCTTCCTCGTCCCCGTCGTGTAGGCCTTCGACGGCCGGTGGAAGAAGTGCTTGCTCAGGCCGTCCCTCGTGACGCCTACGGATTGTTAAAGAATCAATCCAAAATCAATGGATAGTCTATGAATGATGTAGTCTCGTTCGTTTACTCGCAGAGTTTAATTTATTGTTTCCATGATTTTTATAGTATTTAACTCGATTCATCTGGGTTTAGAGAGAGAGAGAGAGAGAGAGAGAGAGAGAGAGAGAGAGAGAGAGAGAGAGAGAGAGAGAGAGAGAGAGAGAGAGAGAGAGGTCTGACCAGGGAGTTTCTCGGGATGGGTGTAGCAGATTCCGTCTTCTCCTTCAATTGTAGGTATGAACTCGTCAATGAGAGGATGAGATTTGGACTCCTCAGACTTCACCTTCGCCTCGAGGTGCTCTATCAGTTCCTGGTCTGTCGGGTCGAATTTAACTCCGGCGGGCAGACCTACCCAGTCCTACGATTCCCACAGAAACCATATCAGAAACCCTAGAAATACTCAGATTAGGGGTCTAGTTTGATGGGAGAGATGAAGCTCATGCATTCCTCTCGTCGCTTACAGGCTTCCTCTCGAGATTATGGCCGCAGCTAGGGCACTGCTTGGATGCACACATTCTGTGCTCGCCGAGCTTCGCATCGATGAGGTTGGAGCTGCTGATTGAGCTCACCTGGCTCCTATTCATGGCTGCTTCGTGATCAGTCTCCGGAGGGCCTCCTCTTCATCACTGCATGAGTACTGAAGAATGATGAGAAGGAAGAGAAGAAGGAGAGAGGAGAAGCAAGAGGAGGACGAGAAGAAGAAGATTAATCAGGAGCAAGGAGGAGGAGGAAGAGCAGGAGGAGAAGAAGGGGAAGAAGGAGAGCCAGAAGAAGAAGGATAAGAAGGAGAAGAAGAAGAAGACGAAGAGGAAGGAGGAGGAGGAGGAGGAGAATAAGAAGACGAATGATGAGGAGGATAAGTAGAGATTAATTTTGCAAAGAAACGAGGCTGAATATATACCCAGGAAGATCAGACAATTAACGTAGGACCACGTAACGCAGACGAACAAATCGAGTGGACTACGATGAAAGGAATCGTAATTCGGATGCTGGGGGATTCAAGAAGACGAAGCGTACGAACGAGACGGAAGGGATAGGGTTGAAGAGGCGAGGCACGAGAGAGAATGGGAGAGAGGAGGGGAAGAGTGAGGGTGAGCGATAACACTGACTTCGGCCGTGGGAGGAAGAAGACCAGAATTCCATCTGCCTTTAACTGAAGCCGATGAGAAAAAGGAAAAGGGGCTTCACACAGCCACGCTTTAAGCCTAGCCTGAATTAAGACAGTGCATGTAACCCGTTCGGGGGAGCGAGTGAGCGAGCAAGAGAGAGAGAGAGAGGAGAGAGGAGAGAGAGAGATTACGGAGAGTAAGAGCCCATTTATTTCAATAAAGCCAGATGAGTCTCCCACCTTTGGATTTGTTTTTATGTTTTTGACCGCCAAAGCAAAAGCAGAGAAACGGACTCCACTGGTTGTTACGGAGAGATCTTCCTCGGAAAGCCCCTCGGCTAGACGACCCCTCCTATTCCTTCAAGACGAAGGCCATTAGCCTCTCCGCGTGAAGAACTTCAGAGGATTCATAATCGTCGCGCCTGGAGATGATGGAGCAGGTTCAGCCGAACGTCAGATTTCTCGGAAACGAAGGCCAGACGGATTCATAAACTCCCATTGGGGCCTCGAAGATTCGGTCCTCGATTACGATCTTAAGACCCGGAAATCACCCATACGGAAAGGAGGAGGAAGGAAATCAAGGAGAAAGGATGTAAGAACTCACATGAGTTTCAGATGGTGTGACGAAACGATGGGTCTTTTGTCACGAGGAGTTTTGACAGCGAGAGCGAGAGAGAGAGAGCGAGAGAGAGAGAGAGAGAGAGAGAGAGAGAGAGAGAGAGAGAGAGAGAGAGAGAGAGAGAGAGAGAGAGAGAGAGAGAGAGAGAGAGAGAGAGAGAGAGAGGGAGGATGAGGAAGAGGAGCTGGAGGATTCCGGAGTTGCTTGAGATGCAAGGCAACAGGGCTGTACACACGATGGGCTCTCTCCCATCTGAGCACTAAGGCATTAAACAAACGATGACGAAACGGATCAAAGCTTCAGCCAGAAGCTTCGGTCTCGCGCGTACAGTTTACAGTAACCCATTTAAGCAGACCCATTCAAGTCGTCAAACCTGTTTCTCTCTCATCGCTCTCAATGGGAGGTTCGGCATGAGCACGCGTAGCTCTTCGACCTACTCGGAGGTAGCCATGGGGAAAAACAAGAAGCGAAATACCAGAAGGGGAGATCTCCGGTCTCCCTCTAATGGCGGCGGCGGAGAGCGCGTGGGTCCCACCCGCTGGATGCCCGCCGCAGGAGAAGACAGCTCAGGGCGAGGGTGGAGTGCCTTGCGGGCAATCCTCTTTCAAACTGCGTATTCTGCTCCGGCGAGTTGGGTGAGACCGCCGTATGAAGAGGATAGAGAGAGAGAGAGAGAGAGAGAGAGAGAGGAGAGAGAGAGAGAGAAGGAATAGAGAGAGAATGACCCGTGTGCCCAATTCAAACCCGTTCCTTCCCCGACACTCCATTCACGAATCTTCCCCTTCTTTCTCGCCGCCTAATTGCCTGAGACGGCAGCGGCGTGAAGCGCCACCCGGCGGGAACCTATCCTCCGCCGGTCTCCGCAGCGAGACCCACGTGAGAGGACGCCGGAGCGCCGCCGGCTACGGCCATTCTCGTGTCGCCTGCCACGTGTCGCCGGCGTCTCGTCCTGCCGGAATAAGGCCGACCTGCCCTGAGCCGTCTTCCTCCGGCGAGAAGGACGCTGCTTTACGCCATGCAGGTCCCGACCCCCCCCCCCCCCGCAAAACGATAAACACACCCAATTAGGCTGCCCTAGACGGTTACCCAAAAACGTCTAGTCACACGCAGCGGACGTTGACTAGTCAAACGACACTGTTAGTAGGCCATTGATCAACGGGCTGATTGGCCCAGTGGGCTATATATTGACACGTGGCTCTGTTGAAAAGTCAAACCTCTGTTAATGGGCCATAGATCAGTGATCAACGGGCTGGATTGGCCCAATTGGCTCCTCTGTAGGCGGTTACCGAAAAAGGTCTATGCCCAACGGGATGGACTGGCCCAATGGGCCACCCGTAGACAGTTACTGAAAATGTATAGTCACACGTAGCGGCCGTTGACTAGTCACTGTTAATAGGCCTACAGTATATTCCCAACGGGCTATGCTGACCCAATGGGCTAAAAGGGTGGCGGCCCGATTAGAGTCCATCGTGGGGATGGAAAAACCCTTGTTTGTCCCCCAGCATCTCTCCCTCGCGCCATTTCCCGCCTCCTACCTTCCCGCGCCGCCCGTTCTGAAAGTTTTTGGGGTTTCTTCGAAACCTAGGTGCCTTCGATCAAGGCGTCAGTTGTGTGGCCAGACCAGGAATCGAGGGCCATGGCGCTCAAGCGGAGAGAGGAAGAACCTTCGGGGGACAAGAAGAAGAAGAAACGCGTCGGTTTCAGTGCCATTGGTAGTGTATCTGTTAATCGGGGTCTGTTATACCCCAAGATCTCTTCGGTTGCCTTTTGCCTCTTGTTTTCTCACCTTGTCCGAGTGTTGGAGGTGAAGTAGGTAGTGTTTTTCCCGGATGTTTTCTGGTTCAGTTGTTTACATTCAAAAGAAGCAACAGTTCACTTCAGGCGCGAGTAGCATGGGAAGGAACTACACTTTTTAGTTTTTAAAATTCGGTTGCCTGTGCCTACTTTCCATCTACACCTTTTCCGTGTTTGTAAGTTTTCACTTCGTCCTTTGATCAAGTGCTAGCATGGACATTGTTTATTGCTCAAGAAAAGCTTAGGACAAGATTATTTGTCGGTTAAGATGTGTAGTCTTGCCTGGAATACTTTTGGCGAAATCGATATTGCACCCTGTTGGGGAGAGGGCGAAAACGAAGAAGATGAACATACAGGTAACCGGGAAAAGAGCATGAAAAGACAGTAGTTCTCTGGCAGCGCATGTTCCAATCAATGAGAAGAAGCTGAGATATTATATTTACACTGATTCCTCATTACGAAGAAGCTGAGACATCTTGAGTATTTTGCTATTTCTATTAACATGTTTTGTATGGCTTCTAGGATTTTAGCAATGTAATTGTGCAGCTTGTGGCCATAAGCTTGAAACTACTATAATCCTTATCCAATCTTGTCTACTGATTTAATATTCATGTTTCTCGACGTCCTTTTAAACCATCAAGCAGCATGAAGACGAATCGTGCCCCAATTGTTGCCATCAATATTATGGAGCATTTATTTTTAATTTCGGCGCATATTTCTGACGGGTGGTACATTGTCCCCTTTCAGATGATCTGTTCATTCTTTTCGTGATAATTTGACGTTGCCTTCCTGTGTTTGTGTCTTACCTTGGGTAGATTCTTTTCGAAGGGAAATGATTGATATCCACATTTTTCCTAACATTTTTAGTATCCAATATGTTGCCTGTCCAGTTGTGATATTCAATGTGATTTGTCGCTCTCTGGCAATCAAGATTAAAGAGGGTATTTGAGAATTATGCTTGGGAATTCAATGATTGCATAACCTGACCACTGATGTCATGAATCTGGGCTACATCTGTTATTTCAACTGTCTGAACATCATTGCTTACTGCTTGGACACTGCTGTTTTTTTGCCTTATTCTTTAAAGCTTCATAGGAGAGGGATTTGTCATTGCATGTTTGTCTGGTTTGCTGATTGATGCATCCATCACAGGTTCATTTTTTCAGGTTTACTTTGGTTAGGTGGCTGACAAATTTATTTTTCTGCAGATTCTGGAATTGAAGCTAATGAGTGTATCAAAATATTCCTTGGTAATTACTTTCCTTTGTTTCTATTACTTAACGGCCAGAACTTCTTCCAACATTTGTATGTAGGTAGTGATTTTTGGACTTTACTTCTACCTCTATTAACCATTTCAGCATAAATGACATGGAGTCACAGTAGCAAATCAGGACTATATATCAGTATTTGGGATTTTGAAAAATCTGGCATAAAATGAAGAAGAGTTTTAGTGTCATTAAAGGTCGTAAAATTATTGATTGTCCTTTTATGAGTGTTTTGCATCCTTTTTTATCATTATAATACATTAATTATAACCCTTTCTCTCATTCATTAATTTGTTGTAAAAATGGCTGCAACGCGTTCATCTACTGTCTTTATCTCGTATAATTTGTTTTTCATTTATTATAGTTAGGTCCGAAGAAGAAGTGGGTGCATCTAGCCATAACACTGTTGATCCAGTTGACCTTAATCAGTTTTTTGGTGAAGATGGAAAGATATATGGATACAAAGGACTGAAGGTAATCTCAACTAAGGATATGAAGTCTTAAATCTTCTACTATTGACCGTAGTTCCTTTGTTAATGAAAATGCTCTTGGTTGTATACTAGCTTTCTCATCAAAACCGATGGAAAATTAATATTCATATCGATTGTGATAATTGACAACACCACGCTTTTTTTTTTCTTGGGCTATGAGATACTAATTGTCCTTACCTTTTCTTGTCCATTGGATAGCCTTAAATTCATAAATTGATGGTGTGTTGGCTTCGGAAATTTTTTTAATGCTGTTGCTATTGTGGTGTATTGCAATGATGCTCTAATGATTAGTACTTTGGTACTGGCTTCATTTCTGATGTTTGTATCTGCTTATGATGACTGTTTCAGAAGGATTCATATTGATTGTGATAATTATCAGCATCTATCATACATATTTGCTTTTATTAAGAAATGTTATTCGCTCTTTTATTTTTCTCGTTCTGGGGAGAAGATCAAATTTACCTGTTCTGGGTTTGCTTCTTTGGAAGATGTAATATGAAAAAAATGGGTTCTATCACAGCATCAGCTAAGTTCACTGGTTGGAGATAAGCGGACTTGAACCACTGACAAACCACTGCCTCTCAGGCCTCCCCAACTGATTCTACGACCAATGATAGACAAGAACCCCCCCACACCCCCTCCCCCCCCCAACGGAACATTACTTGCAACTTTCATCGTAGTGTACTCTCTTATTAGTTTTATACGATTAAGTATTAATTGCGTTCTCATAATGACGATATTATTGTTACAATGTGTGACAATAGTCATAGCATCGTGATTGAGTTGCTCATCTGGGGTCCAGATTCTGGTCGTAGAATTGTAGTATACTTGCGGTGATCATAGGTAAAGGCGCCATCTAGGCCCTTGTGGTCCCTCTTTTGTTGTCATTTCTTGTCTAGGACCAGATAAACAGTCATGACAAGCTTTCTCAGTTCTAATCAGACCATCATCAAATGGAATAGTTAATTTTTTCAGAATTGCTTTTGAATCTTCGTTGCTAGCGTTATGGCTGAAGCATAGGTTATGTGCTCAAGCCTCCAACCACCTCAGGGGTTAAATTGTGAGGGGTGATTCACAGGCTCCCTACACCTTGGGGTTTAGTAGCACTTGCTTGGATATTCCTTGGCATTTTAAAGATTTGTCTCTTCTATTTTCCTGACTTACCGGTTTTTTGTGTCATTTCTCTGCAGATCAATGTTTGGTTGAGTATCATCTCATTTCATGCATGTGCTGAGATTACATTTGAGACCTCAGTGGATGTAAGTACTTGCCCTTTCATTGACGCGGTCGTATATTCCTCATTTTACCGAGTTAATTTTGTTTTTTCTCTTTCTTTGGTCACAGAATATATGGTCGGTAATCCAAGGGTACCGAAAAGTGGTTGCTACAATGGCTTGACAAAATTGAATTAAAATTGGATGTAGCTAATTAACACAAACTTAATGAGGGCTGTGGACTATTCCTGTTTTTAAATTTTTGTGAATAGCCTCCTAATTTTGTTCTCATGTCATTTGCCTTTTGAATTCAGATGTTGAGTTTGATTAAACCTACCCCACAGAAATTTAAACCAAGGATTATTTTTTTTCTTAGGGAGGAAAAGGAATAACAGATTTGGAACCTTGTCTCCAGGTAATAACCTACTTAGTTGCTATGCTTCGTTTGATATTTAATGTGAAGGCATACTGAAGTACTAATGGTTAGCAGAAGTTATTCGGTGAATCCTTGCTCGAGATGAAGGAGTTTCTTCAATCCTTTTCGTCAGAATGTCAGTACATTAGGTATGATTTTGTCAGACTTACTGTACATTATGTTCATCGCATTTTATGGAAGGATTCATTCTATTGTTTGACGATTTCAGAAATGTTGTTTCAAATGGCACGGTTGTACTCTGTAAAGCTGGTGAAGAAGATGATACAGGCTCCACAATTGAGGTAAAGAGACATGCTCTATGTCTGTCAATGAAAAACAAAGATTCACCTGAGGAAAATATACAAGGGTTCTCCATAACTGTGAATCATTGCTGATACAAGGCATTCAAATGAGTGTGCGTTTTACGTAGATGTCATTAATGACTCTTTTTCTCACTCGTGATGCTAAACATGTGACAGTCATACTGATTCCATTTTTATAACCTTTCCTTTATAAGTGCACGGGAATCAATCTGCAAGCTGTAGGAATTCTTTTCTTATTACAGATACTAGGTATCAGTGCTAGCATCTTGTTCACAGGTTTTTTTTTTTCTGGCGACGGAAACACTTGATTCAGTTTTGAAATGTTCATATCTATCTTCACCTGCTTGATCCCAGAAAAATGAGTGCAATGCCCTTTTTGGTGTCGCTAAATAACTATGGACTAAATTAGTCTGCTTCTTCTTCTTCTATTTTATTGGGTGTTATTCCATTGCCCTCAAATGGCCCATTGCGTTTCAGTTAAAATACTCGTTATTGCTTGGAAATTTATCTGCGCTTGGTGGATGGATATTACATTATCCGTGCAGGTTATTCGAATGGGTCTAAATAACCTTCCTGTTGGAACTCTGTACAGTCGGTTGGTGCCACTGGTTCTTCTTTTTGTTGAAGGTACTAACTTTTTGCATTTTAATTTGGAACTATTTATCTCATCCCAACTAACTTTCTTGTATTCTTCAACGGCGTATTAATTTATCATAACTAGTTGTCATGGCGCAGGTGGCAGGTCCGTTGACATTACTGATCCGGGGTGGGACATCTATTTTGTGGTGAAGAAGACGTCCGATCAAACAGGGGACACTCTTATTGAATTACTTGGCTTTGCCACAGTTTACCGGTTTTATCATTATCCTGACAGTACACGACTACGAATAAGCCAGGTTTTTCCTCCAGCTTCGTCTGTGAATATTGATAATTCTCATTCGCATTGTGTTCTTCTTTTTAGTATCTGTGTGGATGATTTTGTTGGCCGGCCCATGTCCGTCAATTGGGTTGGGTCATCTTTTCTATGCGGATCTATCCGCTGACTTCCAATTGATGCTTCACGCTTCATCATTCAAATATGTTGCATTACGTTGGCGTCTGGCTCTGTATGTTCCTCATTTATATATGATTCTATGCAAGACCATGCTTCTTTCCGGTGAAAGCATCAAGGATTCCCTACATTTTTTTTCCTCATTTAGATATCCATTCATTTTTTTATTTCCCGAATGACGTGAAATTCAGGAACTGCAGTCTCTTTCATCTATTTTAATTCTAAGTAAATTGATAGGTATCATGTGCGTTTATCTTGTATGGGCGGCCGCAACATGCGGCGTTCTACTTCAATTCGTGATTTTGATTGATATTTCTACAATTTTATATGATAAAAGGGACATTAATCTCGTTCTTTCCTCTGTGAGGCTGGCGTGTGGCCAATCTCATTGGAGCGGTGAATGAACTGATGCTTCCTTCTCTTGTCAGATACTGGTGCTGCCTCCTTATCAAGGCCAAGGCCATGGCCGCCACCTCATTGAGTCCGTGAACTCTATCGCCATATCGGAGAACCTCCACGACGTGACAGCCGAAGAGCCCTCTGACTACCTCCAACACCTCCGCTTGTGCATGGACTCGCTACGCCTCCTCACCTTCAGCCCGGTGAGGACTGCTGTCACCTCAGCTGCCGCTCATCTCCAGGAAGTCAACCCCCCCAAGAAAGCCAGCAAAGCCCAGCTAGCTCCCCCCGCCCACTTGGCAGAAGATGTCCGGGACAAGCTGAAGATCGGCAGGAAGCAGCTTCTCAGGTGCTGGGAAGTCCTTCTCTACTTGAGCGTTGACCCGAAAGACAGCAAGTCTTTGGAGAGCTTCCGGAGCTGGGTCTCTGACCGGGTGAGGGACGAGATTCTGGGCAAGGACTTTGGCGGCAAGGAGAAGCAGCTCGTGGAGGTGCCCAACGACTACAATCCGGAGATGAGCTTTGTAGTGTTCATGTCTCAGGATGGCTCGGAGGGCAGTGGAAGAGGGCAGGAGCAAGACCAGGAGGAGCTGCTGAATAAGGTGGTAGACGAGGAGATGGAGGAGATTGCAGAGAGTGCTAAAAGGGTTTCTTCTCTGCGGGAGACCCAGGAGGTACTTCATATTTTAGGTTAAATCTAGGAATGTATCATCTCTCTGTTCTAGGTTAGATATGGGCTCTCCACATTGGTAGATGGATGGGTCTCTGGCTCTATGGCAAGATGTTATGTGCGGAATGTGTCTCAGAGAATATAATGCTCATTCCAGGGAAGAGTGGTGGATGTGTGCATGCCTTTGTGGCCAATCAATCAATCAATCAATCAATCAATCAATCATGGGATTGCATGCTTTGCTAGCTCGTGAATGTGATCATCTTAAGACGACCAGGGTAGCATCATGTGGTCAAGTTTTCACACATATTTGCCCATTCGATGTTACACAGTAGCAATTTTCATCTTCATTCGGCATGGGTTCAGATTTTAGGCACACATTCTTATTTTTTTACCATAACTGGAAACAAATGTAGCACAGTTCTTGTCGGGTGTTTCTAGATTTGGATAAGAAACATCAGGTTTGGAGTAGAAAAATAGGATTTCGCCCCCATTAGTTATGGATTTAGCTCTTGTCCGTAGCACATTTTTTTACCCAAAGTAGAAACAAATGTACCACAGTTCTTGTCTGTTGATTCTAGATTTGGATGAGAAACATCATGTTTGAATCAAAAAAATATCATTTCGCCGCCATCGGTGGTATATTTGATTATTGATCACAATATAATTATAAATTAACGTTATTCTACGATAATGTGCTGAAAAATTGAAGACATGAGAGGGGGGGAGAGGCAAAAGCTCCATAATTAGTAAATAGAGAGAGTATGTATGCATGCATGCATGCATGCATTTCGACCTTTTTCAGTGTGTAATATTCTTTTCTTGAAAAATATTAATAATTTCTTAATAAAGTATAGTTTAATGGAGGACATAAATTTGAGAGGTTTATTAGGATATATATCTAAATAAAATTTCCCACCCGAGTACAAATAGCACGTAAAAAAAGGTCTCCTCCACTCGTCGCTTTACTTCTCATATAGTAGTTGAAAAGTACAATTCTGTCATATATGGATCGTCTCTGGGTTTATTTGCAAATGTTCCCCATCTTACGGCCGCCGTCCATCTGTGCTGCCATTTCGCGTTTGACGGCATCGAAGTCGTGGGTGGATCCGTTTCAGTCTCCAGGAGTCCCCTAGAAACATACACGCCCTTTCCCCGAGCGGAATCGGGAGCCTGGTGGGGTGCTAGGGTTCGTCCTCGGAGAAATCTTTGGGTGCTTCCCGATCGGACTCTGCCATCGCGACGTAGTCTCCGGTGGGCCTTACCTTTCAGCTCAGATCGCGTGTTAGAAGCGTGCGGCGTAATCAACTATGGCATTGGCGCTGGTGAGTTGATCTGCATCATCTATCCACCTGCCTGTTTGTGCATTCCCTCCATTCCGTGGGAGCTCGGCGGGTTTCGTTGGCGACCCCTTTCGTCTTGCCTATGGTAGCTGTATTGAAAGTATTACGTTTCGCGTTGTGAGTCTATTGGTTGGGGAAATCATGTTTTGCCTTTTCCTTCATCAGAGACGCTCAATTAACAGGAGAAACATAGGGTTCGCGGTTGCCCGACTTGCGAGCACGAGCGTTGCCAAGAGGTCTTCGGGTGGCTTTTTTGGATGGCTCACCGGGGAAAGGTCAAATCCGCTTCCCCCTCTTGGTTCTCCTCTTCCCGGTGTCTCTCTGCCTCCCCCTTTGCCAGATTACGTGGAACCCGGAAAGACCAAAATCACAACTCTTCCCAATGGCGTGAAGATCGCATCCGAAACATCAGCAGTAAGGCTTAGTTTTCTTGTTTTTGTAATATATTGTACAGTGCAGGCACCAAATTTATTAAGCTAGCTTATGCGTGGAATTATCTTGACAGAGCCCTGCTGCCTCAATAGGATTGTATGTTGACTGTGGTTCAGTCTATGAATCGCCATTCTCATTCGGGGCCACACACTTGTTGGAAAGGATGGCATTTAAGAGTACGACGAACAGGAGCCATTTACGCATTGTACGTGAAGTGGAAGCAATTGGAGGAAATGTCACAGCATCTGCTTCTCGAGAGCAGATGAGCTATTCTTTTGATGCTTTGAGGACATATCTGCCCCAGATGGTTGAAGTGCTTGTTGATTGTGTCAGGAATCCTGTTTTCCTGGATTGGGAAGTTAATGAGCAGGTAGTCCATCTCATTAAATTCGACTTTTTGTTCTTGGTGCTATAATTTTTGTGATGAGGGCAACTTTTCTTCTTTCCTTTGCAGTTACAGAAAGTAAAGGGGGAAATAGCAGAAATTTCCAACAACCCGCAGGGTCTGCTTTTGGAAGCTATTCATTCTGCGGGCTACACTGGTGCCCTTGCAAATCCACTGATGGCTTCTGAATCTTCCATACACAGACTCGATAGCACAGTCCTTGAAGAATTTGTTGCTGTATGCTAGCAATCCGTTTCCCATTCTCAGAAGATATTTTTTATTTCTCCTTTTCGTGCATCTTTATTCTGTATTATCTCTTTGAAGATCTCACTCTTGTCTGCTTCGTGATATTCAGGAGAATTACACTGCTCCCCGCATGGTTCTTGCAGCATCAGGAGTTGAACATGAGGATCTTGTATCATACGCTGAACCTCTTTTGTCCGACCTTCCAAAAGTTCCTCCTCCTGAGGTGCCAAAGTCTGCTTATCTTGGAGGAGATTATCGGTGTCAAGCAGATTCAGAGGTGAATGATGAGAATGCACATGCCATCTTCATCTTTTTGACTTTTTTCACGTATTTATGTAGTTCATTTTTATACAGAAGACACATGTTGCCCTCGCTTTTGAAGTTCCAGGTGGGTGGTTGAAAGACAAAGATGCTATGACATTGACTGTACTGCAGGTATTTGATTCGTACTTTTAGAAGCATAAAGCGTCCCAGATATTAATGTTGAAATCATATCATAGAGCAATTTTTTATTTTCCCATATAAATGAAATCAATTTCATTCTTATTTTCCAGATGCTTATGGGAGGAGGTGGTTCCTTCTCTGCTGGGGGCCCCGGAAAAGGAATGTACTCTAGGCTATGTAAGAATATTTGTTGTTTTAAGATTTTCTACTTAAGGGTTGTGTACATCCACATCAACCGAGATTAATTTTGATGCTTATGCATCTTATTTTAGTCTCTATGAATACATTTTCGTAAAATCTCTTCTGATATCTTTCCAAAACGACTTAATCCAACAGATCTCCGTGTTTTGAATGAATTTCAAGAAGTTCACTCCTTCTCTGCGTTCAACAGTATCTACAACAATACTGGGATATTTGGAATTCATGCAACTACTGTGAGTCCTCTTCTCTCACTTGGAAGATATATAAATTGCTAACACAATGCTTCTGTTCACAGTAATTTTTTATGTGCTGTATCCTTCTTTATACTTCCTAGTTGGTTGCATGTGTGTTTCTTTTCTCTACGATACTCTACCCTTGCATTCTCTGCTTACAACGTGGTTTAAGTGTGTATATGTATTTTTCTATGATTGTGTTCGACCTCTGTTTGTGTAAGTTATGTTCTCAAGGATATCAACAAGGATAGACAAAATATTCTGTTCTCAACAAGTGGTTGGTCCAGGTTAACCCATGTACACATCCTGAGGGAAACAAGCACATTTGTTGCTCAAGATTTTCATGCACCAATGGACATTGAGTTCTCGCTTGGGCTGGTCTCGTTCTCTTGATAAAAAGCAATTTCCCTGTGTAGATAGAGGAAGTCACATGACTAGTGAGAAGTTGTAATCCTCTTACTGTGGTTACACATGTCGAATGTTCGTCATCAACCCATTAAGAGGGTGGCCCGAGATAGGAGGGAGCCCTCCACTTTTACCTGCTCCTGGAAAGAAGTCCAATACAAACTCTCTAATGATCCAGATAAATTCGGACGGGGCGAAAATGGGGATCATGTTTTATACTTTTCACTTTTCGTTGCCCAGTTTGTGTTGAGTTACTTAATGTGTAAGGAATTGATGCTCTTATGTATGGCTCTTTGATCCTCCGGGCTGTAGCGAATGAATGCTATAACATTCCCTTGGTGGTTGGTGGGCCAACATTGGACTGGTTGTTGGCTGTAGTTCAAAGCATCGTATGAAACATGACATTTTTTGAAAGAAGATCCTAGTTTGACCTACGTGATGCTTCTGAATTACTCGTTTGGGCGTTGTGTTAGGATCAAATTTCACTTTTCACCTCTTTTTTTTTTTTTTTGCACTTTTTGTACTGACCGCACTTTATACAAATGTCAACCTGGAAAGGATGCCCTCGTTTTTAAACATGGGCTTAGGCCTTCTTTTGCGGCAGTGCTCCTGTGTCCAGTTAATTTGTAGGTTGTGAATTTGTGGGTTTGCTAGTATTCATTTCAGTTTCTCTTGTATGAACAGATGATGTGCATTCTTACTTCTGATCTAAATCTTGTCTCGTTACCAGGGACCTGGTTTTGTGTCAAAAGCTGTTGATTTGGCTGCAAGAGAACTCCTTTCAGTGGCGACGCCGGGGCAAGGTTTGTTGATTTGCCTTTATTGTAAATAATATTATTTGGCAACCTTATGGTGTCAACTGAGATACGATCTTCATTTTTTGCAGTTAGCCAGTTGGAGTTGGATCGTGCCAAACAGTCAACGAAATCTGCAGTTTTGATGAATCTTGAATCAAGAGTATCCATCTTAATACTCACCGATCTTTTGGTCTCTACGTGGGCGTATTTTCCTCCTCTAACACTCTTTTCTCACAGATGGTGGCTGCAGAGGACATTGGGCGGCAGATTCTTACGTATGGAGAGAGGTTTGTCTAATTTCCATTATGGCTGTGTTTGACTTTTTTTTTTCCCCCTCCATTTTTGAAGAGTCTTCAAACGTATGATTTCAAGAAATTACATGGATAATACGAAGTTTTTGATCTCATCCCTCCGTGATATACTTTTTTTAAGAGTGGGATATCTTTAAGCTGGCAGAGTCCATGAAGCCCATTCTCTCTCTCTCTCTCTCTCTCTCTCTCTCTCTCTCTCTCTCTCTCTCTCTCTCTCTCTAGAGGCATTTTCTTGAGCAGCCTCGGTGGGTTTCTCTCCGCTGTTGATCTTGTCCTGTTCATCAAGATCCAGTCTTCTTTTCACAGAAAAAATTGCTCATTTTGTTATCCCAGGAAGCCCATCGAGCACTTTCTCAAAGCCGTCGAGGAAGTGAGTCTCAAGGACATCACCTCCATGTCAGAGAAGCTGATCTCTTCGCCGCTTACGATGGCATCTTGGGGAGACGGTAACCTTCAGTGTGCCCATAGTTACTGACCATTATGTGCGCTTAATCTAAGATCACAGACTCATCCAGTTTCTTCTGAATTTTCTCGCAGTGATTCATGTTCCAAGTTACGATGCTGTCAGCCAGAAATTCCGTGCTTAGTGACCTCCCCTTCTTTCTCACTCTAAAGCATTGGGCTTGAATCAACCCTTTTGCCTCTCTCTCTCGCTCCCCAGGCATTTTCTAGGTGCCCATTGGAGCACCGGCTGGTGGGTTTCAAAGAGTGGAATAAGCTGTTCGACAAAAGGGCTGTAGGAGGTCTCTACAGATCCTCTTCTGGCCCGAAGGAAATTCGTCATACATTAAATTTATTTCTCATGAGGTCGGACTCGCCCTTGTTTCCTCTTTCATAAAAATCTGCAGCCTCGTTGTTGTGTTTTCTGAAGATCCTCCTCATCTTCCAAACCAAGAGGCTGTTTCGGTCTGAAGAATTTCGGTCTGACTTTCCTGTGCTCGGGGTTTCAGAATCAGACTTGGAATGAAAGATGAACCTTGCCCAGTTCTCTCACTTACGCCTTCGTAGAGGTTTTCAAATGGGCTTCACTAGACGGTTTTTGGGTTAGTCTTGGGAAAGACAGATGAACCTTGTCCAGTGCCCAGTTCTCTCTCTCTCTCTCTCTCTCTCTCTCTCTCTCTCTCTCTCTCTCTCTCTCTCTCTCTCTCTCTTTCTTTTATGCCTTTATAGAGATTTTCAAATGGGCTCCACTAGATGGTTTTTGGGTTCGTCTTGGGAAAGGCAGATGAACCTTGTCCAGTGCTGCCCAGCTCTCTCTCTCTCTCTCTCTTATATGCCTTACAGAGATTTCCAAATGGGCTCCACTAGATAGTTTTTGGGTTAGTCTTGGGACCTTTTAACAGGATTTTTGGACTTTTGTGAGGTCTCAGCTTAGCGCGACCTGCCGATACTCCTGCGCTCCTATCTTATGTCCGAGGTACATCGCACCATAGTACTTGTAGAATGCGGTGAATTAATAGACCAAAGTAGAATGAATTGAAATCTCTTCAAGAAGAAATAAGATATCTTTAAATAGTATCAACGTATCAGCTTAAGGAAGTCAACCACACAGTAGAGGCTATGGAAAAATGTAATCATCATCCTTAAGAGCAAACAGGGTGCGGTCCAATAATTGAAGAAAATGAATAAATGCAACAACATCAATGTCGGGTAAATGAAGGCATCTCTACTAGCCGGAAATAATTGGCTTTGACTTTTTCTCTCCTTAAGTCAATGCTCAATAGCAGCAGCACAGAAAGGGTTGGAAAATATTTGCCTGGTCGTCTCCCTGGAGTTCTTCATCTGTGGACCTCTTTGATGAAAGCGACCTCTCCTGCTGAAGATGGCGAGAGAAGAGATCTATCTTGATCGGCATCGTCGCTCTCCGTTGGTTCACGCGCAGTGATCATCGACATAGATTCCGACCCGTCTTCTGGATATGGAAAGAGATGTGAGAGAAACGCCCCCTCCCAAGAGATGGTTCTCTCTTTGGGTGAGATGCTATAGATTAAGGGAGGCTGTCAATGAGCCTACCTGAATAGACATGATACTCAGGCGTCTGCTTCACGACTGGTAGCTGAAGGCTTTCAGGTAGCAGGCAACTGCATACTTCCCCTGCAATACACCGCTCACTTTATACCTCTGTAATTTAAATACCCAAGCTGAATAAAACAGAAATTTCCTCGCAGAATTTGAAAGACTGGCTTAAAAAGGAAGGAGCTGAGGGAAATGTACCTAGATGAGCAAGGCGATTGACCCAACCAGGGATTCTTTTCCCTGTCAGTCTCGAACAGATATCATCAGTAAAATGATTGCAATTTTTGAAGATAAGGTGGTATGTATCTCCATGATAGTCTGAAACTATATGCTCCATGAATGCACGGAATTCAGAACGGATCATCTTTGTATACCCAAGAAAAATGGAGCATCTGTATATAAAGCCAGGGCAATTCCTTGGTTCCACTTCAAACACTCCACTTAGGGGCAGATCATGCGCACCGAACCCATACTCAAAACCATGAACTGTTGCGAATCACAAGATGATAAATTTTCAGTACTCTTTTACCAGATTTTGATGATAACATCAATAAGCAATCGCGGATCTTAACTTAATTGGTTTCAGTAGAGAATGTAAACCATAAACAAAATCAAATTAGGAGCCGTCAGTGACGGAAACTGATGTAATCCACCTCATCTGAAATTCAGATGTTCCCAGAAGATTTACGACATCTATTCAGATTACTACCTCCCTCTGTCGATTCAGGTCCAATATTCTCAAACCTACTGCCATACTGTTGTGATGAGCAAACCTATGACTGAAAATGACATCCCGTCTGGCTTAAAGACTGGGTTTATAGGGATCGAGAATCCACAAGTCAAGGAGATTATCTATTCTAAACAATGCACCAGGCAACTAAATAGTTCCCTTGGCATGGGTTGTGACCTATGGGAGACAGGTCCTAGCCAGAAGACCTGTCCCATCAGACGACATATGAGATCAAGGGCTATAGCAATCTCCCCTAAAAAGTAGCAGAGTCCAAGTTCTGACCAATTTACGTTCAAGGATGTCGAAATATGGCCAGGCTGTTCCCCTGTTGCCAAAAGGACAATGCACAGTCACAAGAAAAGTTTCAAACCTTAATTCCCCATCAACAGCACTTTAAGGATCTAGGAGGCCACAAACGTGTTTTTCTCCACCTATGTCAAGCTGATAAATGCCGAATTAATGGAAGCAAGTTCGAGGTCACTCGCAGCGCATTCCATGACCAAAATCACCTCTCGCTAAAATGCATGATCAGAGTTTCTGTTTCCATGTCTTCAAGGCCATTTTTTTCAGATAGAGAAGAACGCAAAAAAATCTCCAGAAAAAAAATGTATGTCGTCATCATCCCATTGCCAACATATTCCCATGCAGAAGCTAAGAATCACGATTACAACTTATAAACCTAAAAGAATTTTAGGCAGCTGATCATGATATTTTGTTTAAAATATGGATATGCGTTGAGGTCAATGAGAACTAGTTGGAGAAAGAAAACCAGTTCAGTCACCTAGGAAAATTAGATAGGACAGTCGAAGGCAGAGTGCGTCCCAAGGGGATGCAAAATCTACAGAATGTTGGCATTTTAAGAATCTATACAGATGATCTAGGCGTCAAAATGTAGAAACTCCTCAGAATTCCTCAGTACTGCGTCAGTTAATATCAGAAGCTCGCTAATACCGCGTACACCGAAATTTCCCAAAATGGTTTAGGATCTCCACCAGGAACGATGTCTCAACTGAAGAGGAATGAAATCAAAATGGATAGACGGGCACATTTCTAGCGGTTTCAACTCACTCACCTTCGATTCCGGAGTGGAAAATCCCTAACCCGCACCAGTACGAGTAGTTATTCCAGGTTGTCAGATCGTACACGTTCAAGATGACCGGAATCTCGCAGTGCCCCCCCTCCGAGGTCGACGGCACATTCAAAGGTCTCGAAGAGAACCAAGACCCCATCAATCTGGTTCCCCAATCGCCACACTCCCCCGATAATGGCCTCTCCAGACAGTTCTTCCCCCCGGGTGGGTATGGGAAAAGATCTGGCGAGAGCGAGCGAGCGAGCGAGCGAGAGAGAGAGAGAGAGAGATTGAGAGAGAGAAGGACGCATGATTGCGATGAGGGTACAAGATAATGACCACTATGACCACGAGAAACGACAGAATCAGGCCGGGACCTGGACAGACAAAATGGGCGGCTGCTTGTCACTGTGTTGACTAGTTGATGTCCATCTCTGCCCGCGGAGAAGTCGAACACTATGCTGTGCCCTCCTCGCACTCCCAAACGGGTCCAACCCGACCCGTTTCGGAAGGCGGTATACTCACCTCCCAGTGGCAATTGGAATCCGGGAGGTTCCCGCCAATGTTGTGACTGCCACGCGTCATCTGAACGAGCGCTGGGACCTTCGCTGTAAGAATCTCCAGAGATTCTTATTCCCCCCGCTTTCTCTCTCTTCGACTCGTCGGCTTCCGCTGTTTCATCGTCTCCCCCATTTCGCCGTCGCCGGAGAGCCGGAACCAGCGGAGAGATCTCGAGACGTGCCGTCGCCGCCGTGATCTCCGTTCAGATCTCGAATGAGGCTCACTGATGGAGTGAAGTTAGGAGGTAGTCGGTGCCGTTAATGTCGTTTGTCGTTTTGTCTGCCTCCTCCTCCCTCTATATAATGGGTCCCCCTCCAAGAAGTTCAGCAGCGAATCAGTCTCTTCTCCCCCACGACCGGCAGGGAACCCTCTCCGTTCTCCTCGATGGGATCCTTGCCACATAGAGCAGCCGCCACGGCAATCTTCTGCGCGGACTGCGATTCCGACGGTTCGAGTGAGAAACGTCTGCTGAATACCGGGGGCTCTCCCCCTCCCTCCCTCAAGGTCGCAGTGAGCTCTCCCCAGAGCGGCGACCTGAAGTTTAGATCCCGGAGAGGGATGGAGTCCAAGGGGAAACCCTTCTCGAAGCTTGTCACAGGGGACAACGGATACGTGCTCGAAGATGTACCGCACTTAATGGATTACATTGCAGATCTCCATGTAAGTTTTGGATGCAATTTTCTCATGATCCTTCCTGCGCTAGTCGATTCTGTTTTGCTTTCGTTTTTGGCGCAGTTTCTCGGTATGCTGCTTGCTAGATGGCTTAGCTTTGAACCGAGATGTGGAATCGTGTGTGCATTCCAATGGCTGTTTCTTGTATCTTAATTCATTGAAATAGATGTTGTCATCCTTCGAAACCTTCGTCGTATTGCACCCGTCATTGATATTTATCTAGTTCTAATAGGGGCCATCGTTACTTTCTTTTTTGTCCGCCGTTTGCTCTTTGTGGTTCAGTTTCGATGTTGAACCTAACAGCATAGCTTGACCAAGAGAGACAGTATTTCAGTGTTTTTTCCTGCTTTCGTGGCAATTGTCCATCACGAATGCCCCGTTATTTTTTTAATCCTTTATTAACACCAAGACTTCCGTTCTGCTAAATTTCCTTGAGGAATTCTACTTATTTACATTTTGTTCCGCAGGCCCATCCAAACCCATTGCAAAGTAATCCATCCTATTCAGTTGTGAAGTAAGGCTATTTCTATTGCTTAATTCTTTCAGCTTTGTTCAACAAACTTGCGCTGACTTATTCTTAGCAATTACTTCATGCTTCAATGACTAACTGGTTAAGTCGTGCGTTTGACAGGCAGTACTTCGTCAATGATGACGATAGCGTCGCTCAGAAGGTAGATACTTATGCTAATTTTTATACGTCTATAATCGGGGAATCAAATTTGGATTAATACCAACTTTATAGTAATTTTCTGCTTATATTTTCCGGGTACATATACTGTACTTTTACACCCTTAATATCCACACCAAGGATTTTTGGACCCTTACATAAAAATCGTAACTTTCATGTCACTGAACATTTGAAATTACGCTTTTGGAGATTGATTTCTGATTGGCTGTTTAATGAAAAAAAAAATTCAATGCCGAAACTTATGGCGGGAAACGCTGAAGTCATGAGCATCTGTGTATTGATTTATTGTGCGTTGTTATCCATTGATTTGTTGTGCTCTGCACCTTTCTTTACAGATTGTGGTTCACATATCCAGCCCGAGAGGGACTCACTTCAGGCGTGCTGGTCCACGGCAGAAGGTGCATTTCTAGTATTTTGGTGCTGGAAAACGTATTTTTCTTGTAAACTTATTCCTTTGTTCTTTCTATTAGGTGTACTTCGAATCAGATGAAGTTCATGCTTGCATTGTCACATGTGGTGGCCTGTGCCCTGGACTTAACACCGTGATCAGGGAAATAGTTTGTGGACTATCCTACATGTACGGCGTGCACAAAGTTCTGGGAATAGAGGTGAGCAGTTCGTTTTGGTCCAGTGTACCACACATTACTTTTATAAAATTTTCATGTTCATCCGGAAGTTGGGAAATTTACGTTAGCAGAGCCATTATATTGCCTGTCCTTGAGGATATGACTTTCTAAGCCGTTTATTGGGTAACCTCTAAGGGTTTAGAACGCAGTTAGTCTTTTGAAAATGGCCAAATGATGAAACTTCCAAGCACCTGATACATTTAATCCTTCCAAAATTAGATGAAAAACAGAGATGAAATATAAGTTACAGTTTACTCAAGAGAAAGATATAAGAAAAGTGTGAAAGATTTTTACCAGATTTTGATGCTACGTTTCTATTTAAAATCATCAACATCATTTCATTACGATTCATCACATGTAATTATCCTCCCTGATGTTGACCAAGAAAGAATCGACAGAAGGGTGGCTTATGGTACGTGATCTTTGCACCAAAAAAGTCTTCAAATTAGTTAGTTTCTGGGTTCTAAATGTCCAAGTGAAAAATTAATTTATTTAAATATACTCTAGGTTTCTTTGCGATATGGGCCAGGAGCCCTTCCCAGAAGTATTACTAAACCGCAGTGTGACGAATAATATGTTGTATGCCACAGAAATATTTACGAGTTCTTCGTATCTTTTGGGTGAATCAGAATATTAGAAATTCAATTGACTCTGTGTTTTCTTCGTTTTCTTCTTATTATTACTAAATAATTGAGATAAATGGGCAGAATGGTGCCTTCTGGTTTGCCTTCGCACCATCTTCGCTATGTATGCGATATATAATTTTCTTGTCGATGGGCTACCGTCCAAGTCACGGCCTTGGTTAACAGGCTAGCATTATGAAGGTTCTATGCTTTGTCATCCTTGGCTCTCATTTCGTTTCCCTTTTTGAATTAGTCAATAAAAAAGAGATATGTCATGTCCCCCAGCACAATGACTGACACTGTACCTAAAGAAGAAAAAGGTACAGGTTGGATTAGGTCGAAGTCAACTTGTTTTGACTGGGTATGTGGGCTATGGTTATGGAACCGGTATTGAAATTCTATGTGTATTGTGTTAAACTAGAGAACTGTAGCTCTTACAGCAGCAGCAGCAGCAGCAGCAGCAGCTTTGCTTTCCAATTTCATTGTATGTAAAATGCTTTGACGATTCTTTATCATTTTTAATGTTCTTCTTTACTATTTTCCATCTTAGTGAAGAAATCAGATGTTAAAAGTCGTGTACGATACTTATAGGATTTATGGCACGTGTAGGGAGGATACAGGGGCTTTTATGCGCGCAACACCATTACGTTAACACCTAAATCTGTCAATGATATCCACAAACGAGGGGGCACAGTCCTTGGCACGTCACGAGGTGGCCATGATACCATGAAGATAGTGGATAGTATTCAAGATCGTGGGATAAACCAGGTAAATGTAGTGTGAACAATATACCATTTTCCCCATTTTCTCTTATTCATGAGAAAAATAATTTACATATTTTTATTTATTCCGCCTTTCAGGTCTATATAATTGGAGGTGATGGGACACAGAAAGGGGCATCAGTAATCTTCGAGGTAGCCATGCTTACAAGGGACTTTTAAAAAAAGAAAAATTGAAAGAAAAATGTCGTTGGAAGATAGAAATGACCTCTGTTCCAAGCCTCTGTGTTTATTTATTTTTGTTTATTTATTTTATTTTTCTCTGGCCACACAGGAAATTGAAAGACGTGGCCTGAAGGTTTCTGTTGTTGGAATCCCCAAGACCATTGATAATGACATCACGGTACTTGAAAGAATACTTATGATACTTACTATCCATGGGAACTACTTGTACTTAATCAGTATCTTGCAGTCTATTTCCATTTCATTACTTTTTTTCATTCACTTTTACAGGTTATTGACAAGTCCTTTGGTTTTGATACCGCCGTTGAAGAGGCCCAGCGAGCCATTAATGCCGCACATGTTGAAGCTGAAAGTACCGAGAATGGGATAGGTGTTGTGAAACTGATGGGCCGCGACAGTGGTGAGTTTCGTATCTCATCTGTCTGACTTATTGTTAGCATCGTGATCATCACATAGTTCTCTCGCTGACATCTTTGCCGAAACCTACCTTCAGCCTCAATATGAGTCAACCCCCCTCTTGGTTTTTCTTGGTTGACATGGGTTTTGACAATTTTTTATAATCTTATTATCTATAACTTTCGAACCTTTTGAATTCTTTTTTCTGCAATTAGAAAATGGAGTGTGGATTTTTGGTTTTCTAGAGAGAGAAAGAGAGAATGCAGAGAGATTTGACTTTAATTTCTCGCCCCCTCTTTTTTTTTGTCTCCAGGGTTTATTGCAATGTATGCTACTCTTGCCAGCCGAGACGTGGTATGCTTTTCGTTATTTATCTCCGGCCAATCAACCAGATTAATAATATAATAAGAAGAAAAACTCGTGCTTTCCGCAGGACTGCTGCTTGATTCCAGAATCACCCTTTTACTTGGAAGGGCCGGGAGGGCTTTTCGAGTTCATAGAGAGACGGATCAAGGAAAACGGCCACATGGTCCTCGTTGTGGCGGAGGGCGCAGGCCAGGATCTCGTATCTGAGAGCATGCGGTCAACGGATGTGAAGGATCCTTCTGGGAATAAGCTCCTCCATGACGTCGGACTCTGGCTTTCCCACAAGATAAAGGTCAACTCGAACCCATCCCCTCCCCAGTGATCTACATCAGTTGACTTTTTTTCTATTCAATTTCTTTTATATAATACTCCCTCTCTGCAGGAACACTTCGCTAAGAAGCCCAATATCTTCATAAACCTGAAATACATAGGTTCACACCCCCCGCTTTTTATTATTATTATTAAAAATATATATCATTAAATGAGGGGGTAATTCTGTGAATAATTCTGCCGCAGATCCAACGTACATGGTCCGGGCGGTTCCAGGCAACGCATCCGACAACGTGTACTGCACGCTGCTGGCTCACAGCGCCATCCACGGCGCGATGGCGGGCTACACGGGCTTCACCGTGGGGCCCGTAAATGGGAGGCACGCTTACATACCCTTCTACGTAAGTTCTTTTCTTTTTCCGTTCAATAGCCGAAAGTTTGGCTACGGGCGTCTCACAGCATGGGCCTAGCCACCGCAGGCCCATACTAGCCCACCAATCAGTTCCCTTAATAACGGCCCACAGTGAATTTATTTTATTTTATTTTATTTTTTAACTGATTTGGCAGAGGGTGACCGAGGGTCAGAAGAAGGTGGTGATCACCGATAGGATGTGGGCCAGGTTGCTCTCCTCCACGAATCAGCCGAGCTTCCTCATTCCCTAGAACGCGGAGGATCTGGAGGCCGGTCAACGGCAGGGTTATGTGATGTATAGATGCCCCCGAGGTCTCCTCACTCGCCGGTGCACATTGGTTACCACCACCGCCCATTTTTTTGCAACATATGGGGTGGCGGTTTCAAGGTGTTTGTTCTTTACAAAAATGGCGCCCCATTGGTATGAGTCGGGGGTTCCTCAGGGGTCTGGTGCTCTGAAGAGCCTGTTGATGACTGCCGTAAGGTTACCGCACGCCAGGATATCGATGTCTAGGTGGAGGCCCGAGAGTGACTTCTCCGCCGAAGTGGGGACCACACATTTTTTGTACCCTAATTTGGCGACGGCCGTCACCCTCTTGTCCATTCTCGGTACCTTTCCAAGAACAACGGAGGTCAACCATGGTGTCTGTAGCAAGAGAGAGAGAGAGAGAGAGAGAGAGAGAGTGTATACTTACTGTGCGGAGCTCGCCACCGAGGCCGACCTCCCCGATAAATGCGACGTCATTGGGGAGGGGGAACTCCAAGAAGCTGGACCAAAAGGAAGGGGTTGGAAGTTTATCAGAAACGTAGTGTCCACATTGAGCTTGAGAGGGTAAGGGCTCAAAACAAAGAGCCTAGATGCGTTTTTTGTTCTCATCTACTGCGCCCTTCCCTTCTGGGAAAGGGGTGGGTGGGTGGTGCTACGTGGCATGTTGACCCACTGTTTCGATCTTACTCAAAGGTCAAATTGGAAGAACAAGTTAGCCCAGCTCACTGCAGGGTGTTGACTTTGGTGAGTGAGTAAACACTCCCTAGGCCATCCACAGAATCTTACTTACCGATGAGCATGCCTACATCTACATCAGTTTCAGCTGGAGATCCACTTAAAAAGCCTACAAAAAGATGTAGCCCAGGTCATGGAGGAGGGTTTCTATTATATTACCATCCGATCTAGGCAAGGACCTTCATTCATCAGATATTTGCCCAGAATGGCTAATGCCACCATTGGTCAACTGGGTCTTAAGACTACGGCTAGGGCTGTATTTGTCTGCCTGTTTAGTTGACCTTAGTTGAGGCCTTGACCAATTGGTCTACTCGGGATAGATTCCCCATGAAATCTATTAGTCAAACTATAGATGAAGAGCATCGATTTACTCCCGAAATCGTTGACTTCCAGAGGAGCAGCTCAGCGAGCAGTAGTAGAACTAACGGTTAGGATTATACCAGTTCAATGAGAATAGGACCACCATCGAGGGCGTTCGATGATGATTCAGTAAAGTAAGGGAAGCAGGAAAATATTTACAAATATTATAAAGAGAAAGAAAACTATATGCAAAGTACCTGCTGCAAATTGCTGCTGCCAATGCAAGATCTCCTGCAGTGTCCGTCAACTTAAATCCGCTGACAACATTTATAAAAATCGACTGGAGACGAGAACAATGATTAGAGTTCGATGCTCCCCCGATGAAATAATAATAATAATAATAATAATAATAATAATAAAAGGATGCACCAATCGAGCAAAGTATTTCAAAACAAATGGAGAAGTTTCAGCCACCAAGTAACAGTCATAAGAACCAGACGTGTCATAATGGTATGTTTGCTCCAGGATGTGATTGCATAAGGTAACACACCTGCTGGTCACAGTTCTAGCTTTCAAGGAGGCTCGCCAGCAGTCAGCTATCAGATGGTGAACAACGTTTTGGATTTGGTGGCATATTAAGTGATGCGTATAGAGAGCGCATGAATTCGATAATTCAGATGGAAGTAATTCCAATACACCAAGCTTTTAAAAATGCAGACATTTTTTCCTTTTAAAGACTAGTAAAAATTGACATCAGAAGCATAAAAACGTGATGTTCTTCTTTTCAGAAAAAGAAAACTATCAGCGAAGCAGATTGTCAAGATATCTGCAGGTACCTTCGAGTTTGAAGTGCTAGACAATGTCTGCACCTCCATCTGTGCACAGTTCTAGAGATCAGGAACTGAGCACTGAATGCCAGGAAGAAAACCCTTCGACATATATGCAATGTAGATAGTTTAAGATATAAGACTAAACTCTATTTTCTAAATAAATAAATAAATAAATAAAAGGCCTCACACAACAAGAATCAGTAATATTACAACACGCTGAAAATGAAAGAATTGTGGAGGAAAAAAAAACTTACAGTGTTCTCGAGTTTCAGACCTGCCTGCCTCATTAGAACCTAGGAAATTGAACCATTCCAAGAGTCAATTATCGAATGGGGAGGGTTTCCGAATCAGAGGAACGGCTTTAGAAGATCCATAATGCTATGTTCAGTGGCAAATTATCCGATCCCTTACAAATAGCAAACGATACAAAATTGTATCATTAAACTGATTTTCGGAATTATCATGATACTTATGCTGCTAGCAACAGTAGCCATTTTTTTTATTTTTTACAAAACTAAGTATTGAGCACAATATACGATTAAAAAGGACTTGTCAGAAATCAATGTTGCATTCCGTCGATTAGAAATGCAACTTCATAGGGATTTAATTATCCATAAGAATATTCTGTCAGGAACAACTAGAAGAACGCAAACAAGAAACCAGCCTGTGCCAATCTCAACATGTAAAATTTAGAATATCCTATGTTTTAAGGTCTCAACTTCAGGGTTTAACACTGCTACTAAAATGATGATGAAGATGACGATGGTCATGATACCATGGGGTACACCCTTTCTCTGCTTTGAGCAAATAATCATTTGAAACCCCAATGCATAGTTGTTGTAAATTAAGGAAAGAAAGGTCATTTCGTTGACTAAATCTCCCAAAAGGTCTGAGAGGAAACAAATGCTCACAGAAATAATCATGTCAGCTCTGTTAGCTGAGATCCCATTGATATGTCTCACAACTGTTGATCCAGATGCACAGAGAGCCTGCAGAGAATTACTGAATGCGTCACACAATTTCATGGAGCAAAAGAGAACTGGTAGGAAAATTGATGAAATGAAGGTAAAATTCAAGTGGCGTTGACAATTCATAAGAGGAGTTACAAATTTTTTCATGAAATATTTAGGAAAATACAAGGCTAAGAGAATGTCTTCTAAGGGAGATGTAGAAAACTAGCTCCTTGCTATCATTGGTTGGAAATTTCGGGTGCCCACACTCACATCAAGGCATCATTCAGTTACTACCATAACGGAAAATGACCAACTGAAGAACTAGCACACATAAACACAAATCTACTTTTAAGCAAGGGCAATTAGAAATAAGTTATAAAGACTTGTTCAATATCATCGCCTACGCGGGGCAAAGACCTCCAAGGGTCTGACGAGACTTGGCAAACCGGAATACTTGAGACAGAAATGTGATGGATTGACTCAAGAGTCACCCGAAACAAATAACTAAATATCTCTTTTATGCTCATTTCAAAGCAAAACTCAATGTTTCATGTTAAATACCTGTGATTTTAGAAAATTAAAGTTTCACATCACATGTTTAATGTGCCATCCTCATTTTTTGTGGGGGATTAAATATTTTGTACATAAAATGTAAAAAAAATATATGTTTTACTCGCCTTGTGATTTGTGAAATAAATAATTAATACAAGAAATCCAAAAATCACACGAATTTTTTTATCAAAATGGAACCACTCAGAGTATAAAATAGTAAATGACACAACATAATACCGTAAAAGGCCATCTACAACAATGCCTCTGACACCCACTGTGTGTGTGTGTGTGTGTGTGTGTGTGAGAGAGAGAGAGAGAGAGAGAGAGAGAGAGAGAGATTCCTTTATCAAATATCTCTTATCAAGTGAAACAACTAATGAGGATTTTCTCTTAATGAAGTTTCTATTTTTAGAAATCAGAGGTAGGCTGTATGCATGTATTACTAAGAGAAAACGTAACGCTAAGTATAAAAGTAATTTCATAAAATTCGATTCCTTTGGCTTATAATCACCAGATGCCCTGGTGAAACAATAATTAACAAGTCAAATCTCGCAACCAAAATTATTGCTACCAAAGAATTAACGGATAAAATTCAACACCACAAGCTCTTCAAAAACAATACCAGTGTCGTGTGGTTTTAAAAAATACAAGTTATTTGCACTTTAGTAGGTTTCATAAGTAAAACTTCATGGAAGTGGGACAAACGAAGGAAATACCTGAATCTCTAGAAGAAAAGTTCTAGACCCATCTACTATGACAGAAACTGCAAGTCCGGCTAGAACTTCCGAACCAGGGTGATTCTCGCTGAGAAACAGCTCACTTGGATTTAAGACAGCTTGTAGGCCAGATTCCGACATTTCAAATACACCAAGCTAAAGTAAAAAAGGATGATTCAATGAGTCATTACTATGAATCAGCAAGCATGCCATATTAAAATGAAAGCGAGAACAGCTTCAAGAAGGGTTTAAGGCGTGAATCGGTCGTATACAATGAAAAATCCTTTCACTGAGCAAGATGACCATGAACATCCACACGAAGCAACATTCAATATCTCTGAACGGAGATCATAAGGTGGTATTAATTTTTAAAAAAAAGTAGATATGTAAACTTTGATTTGTTAAGTAAATGATAAGCGGCAACTACCTACCAACATTGCAAATTCATAATACATGGCTTAATCCCCAGACACGTTTCACATGTAGATCATTTTTGACCTACGAAGCTCAGCTTATGAAATCTAAACCAGTACAGAAGAAACTTCTCTCAAACAGACATAATAAAAATCAAACACATATTACAGTTACCCATTCCACACTTTTCGGCTATCTTGGAGTACATTCACAGTGGGACAGACCTCAGACAGAACAGGACATTGAATTGGTGGAAGCTTTTAGTCATATCCACGAGACCTAGAGTATGTACAAACTGATAGAAAAATTAAGCTATTATGTTCCTGTCCGTGGAGTTGCATGTCACTGTATGGATGAATGGATTTTTAAAAGAAAGCATTCCACATCACATTAAACTGTGAGAAGAGCTTGACAGCATCCCTGAAGGTAGAGACAAATCAATAATTAAGGTAAACTATGGTGCTGGGCAATAACATGGAATATTCGATCTCTTACCTAGGGATACTGATCACTACACAAGCCTTACATTGAAAAGATTAGAGAAAGATTGTGTTGAAGTTGAAAGAAGAGTCATAAGCTGCAATAATGATTACTCCTGAAATGGAAGCTTACATCAGGCATGGATGTACTGTCCATCTTCCAATTTTCTATTTACAGAGATTCAGGATCCGAACTAAAGTGGTAAAGCACTTGAAAGGAACACCACTAGATTTATTTGCCTGGACAGACGATCTGAGACGCCAACTTTTAATGAAAAATCTGAATATCCCTTCACCATCGCTATTTTCAAGGTCTTTCATGCATGGGAAGAGCAAGTAGGGTGGTATCCAAGGTTAATAAAGAATTTTATGGAGGCGAAAAAGAGATCTGTCAACTAGGAGATCTACAAGGCTGTCTACGTGATTGGTCATTACCATTGTTAGAGAGGAACATGTAGAGTTAAAAATGGGAGAAAAGAAGAAGATTACTTAAGACAGCATTATGCATCATCACAAATGAATGTGTTTGTACCATAAGTGGAAACCACATCAACTGGAGGTGAGAATATTGATATGGAGGTTCCCCAAAGAGAGACTCTCTACACGTAATCAACAAGCAAAATTTAGAGGTAGTATAAACAATACTAGATGCTTAGCACACCCGTGCTTTTATTAAAGCTATACCTTATTCTTCAATCTCTCTTCACTAGCAAAGTCGACTAAGTGATCTCAGTCTAAGAATCAAAGCAATCCATTTCCGTGTCTCAACATCTTTTTAATGCTAGGCTTTTGAGTCAGGCTACTACTGGTCTTTTTTTACCTCTAGAACTCTCAAAGAGAGATCTACTCTTTTTACATTAGTCTATTACGATGTACGAGGACATTGTTAGACTACCAGAGTAACCAGATGACTTCACAAGTATGATAACTTGATTTGTAAGAGAGAAGATGTAAGTTCTTCACATTCTGGAATATTTCACAAAGAAATGGCAACACTTGAGTTTTTTGTATTGACCATGCATTATAATGCATGGTCAATACAAAGAATTCGCAACTTATTGTGCTTCTCAAAGAATCATTCATCGTACATCATGCGCACATACTCATACAATAATGTTACAGATGGAAGTTCCTAAACATTTATGGGATGATGTCGTTCTCACCTTTAGTTATCTCATTATTCGTTCAATTTTCATGGTCTCAAATGAAATTTTTCCATATTTATTCATCCATGTTTCCTTCACCACTAAGCCTTTGGTTGTGTTTTTTTTCATTCGTGTGCTAGGAATGGGGGAGGATAAACTTTCCCATTGTTTTGCCAAGTGTATTTTACTTGGATACCTAACAACATAAAAAAGGACCACTCTTTTGACCCTACAGCTTTGAGACAATGTTTAAGTGGCAATGTTATCTTTGAGATCACACCTTGTTTCGCCCCGAATGTAGAGATATTGCTATTGACCTTTATATTATTAAGTAGCTACCTTTTGATGAACCTTTAACCAACTCTTGCAAGAGTTTTACGATTCCTCTGTATGTGCATCATTAGTAATCGTATTCACATGCTCCAGCTCATACCTCCATCATTCTATCTCATTTAGGTCGATCTTTGTTAACCTCCACTAGTCCAAAATTGCCTTCTGCTATCTGGAAAGGTCCTCAGTTTCTACTTATCATTCCATCTATTATTTAATCTCCTTCAAAAAATCTTGGCCGGTCTTACTACTAGTTTGGTTTGCCTTCAACATCTATTTCTATACCCAGAATGTACAAAGAAGCCATACAACATCATGCTTAGAAGGATTATCATCCAAAATTGATGCAGACATTATGCATCACATAAAAACGGAGGAGAGAAAACTAAGATTTCAGGCTTGAACGCAAGAAAATTTTCCTTTTTCATTAGTTTAGAGGCTCTAGTTGGAGGACATGTATCAAGGTTTCTTTATTGCTGATAATGCAACCTATAATGAATAAAGGAAGTCCGACAGCTTTCAAAATCACAACCGAGCATCGAACCCCTTCATAAATGCAGTGACACAGTAAAGCATAGGCAAAACAAGCTTAGGAAATTAAAAAGCTTCCGGTGATAAATAAACCTCATCTGTTGATCCGAAACGATTCTTCACAGATCGCAGCAACCGATAAGATGAACACCTCTCTCCCTACAACATTCGCAAACCATTAAAGCTGATGTTAGAAATCAATAACGGGTCAGGAAATTTTAAGCAACTACAGTTTGGAATGAAAAAAAAAATACTCGTGATACATAGCCTAAAGTGCTAAATCATCATATCAAAAAAAATAAATTGGAATTCGACTTCAGTTTGAAGCATAATATATATTCCATGACAACGTAGCTGTTTTTAAAGCCTAATGAAATCATAGACATTTTCAGTCCATGTAACTGATAAATCAAGTAAAGAATACGATGCCTCAATCTGGTAGAGTTGAAGCATTCGCACAACGTATTAAAAACTGTATTCACACAATGTATAACCCAAGGAAGATTAATATACTGAGATATCCCTAAGTGAATACCTTATGTTATGTAAATTGTCAGCCCATTGTAAGAGGATCATGTTTTAAATCTCAAAATAGGTAAAAATTCTAGCAATAATGCGATCATATCAAAAAATGTGAAGCACCAGTTCTGACCTCCAAGTATAAAACAACATCCACAATGTGCTCCAATATACGAGGTCCTGCTATGTCGCCAGTTTTTGTCACATGCCCAATCTAAAGAAAACGAAAAGATATATAAGACTCAAACATAGACCTCAAAAAACTATAATCTGAGCACAGGACAACATCTGGGATAACATATAAAACCACCAAGGCAAGAAAGTGTGATTTCTACAAAAGGCTCGGGTGCTGCGTTGAAGCTAATTACATTCAGACATTAATATTACGTAAGTAAAAGGGTTGAATATCTAATATGACATACACAAGATTTTCGAAGTCCGATCACGTTGAAAAACCTAAAATGCATTAAAATGGGCCATGATGACAGCATACCAAAAGAACAGGTATACTTGTTTGTTTTGCAAAACGTAGCAATGCTGAGGTACACTCCTTCACCTGTAAAGCACAAATGGAAGAAACATTACAGACAGTTAGCCAATAGATTGAAGATAATCAGTTCATCATTAACCAAAAAAAAGTCAGATTTTCCATTAAAAAATATGAATTATTCTTTAAAAAAAATTGGAGTAACCGAGATAAAGGAGATTGATTTTCCAGAGACTTTTCTAGAGTTATTTTTCAAACATAATCTACTCCAGAAGTTCTGGACAGATATTATACTCACACTAGATTACATTTGACACAACAATACCTGAAAAGTAGACTACATCTTACATTGACAAACGTGAGATTTCCTATTGTGATATAAACACGTGCACCTTTTGCAAACATGTACTTCCTATTGTTGAAATTTTTCCCTAACGTATACAATACATGCATTCGTTGGGTCAAATTACTCCTCGGGCATTTACCCGTACAAGTTGCACAGCATAGGTTGTGTGCCACACGATGGGCAAACAACACCCATTTACATTTGATGCGACATGTAAAGCAGTGGATCAGTTTGAGGTTTTCAGAATTTCTAGAAACCATGCCCAGGTGCCACAGCCCAAGCAAACGCATTATTGGGCCGCTCAACTAGGTACCCTAGATGCCTTGGGCATCTAGACTGCCTCACTGCCCAGCTGATACCTTGAAAATAAGTCGCATTAAATCAGTAGTAATTTCTGGGGGATTATTTTCAACTAACATGACGGATTTTTTCCCTAAGTTCAGTAGTTTGCAAGGTTATCATAATATGAGTAAAAACCAACCTTATAAATATATCATAATATGGCATGCAGCACCCAACTCCAGATCAATGGGCTATATTTTCAAGATCTTCCTTCACCTTTCCACCACTTTCAAAATTCATCAAGAATACATCATTGTGAATAATAAAGTCATATCAATGCCATTGATTTCCAAAACACGTTATTCATAAAGGGAAAACCTGAACGATACAAATAAAAAATTTGGAATATACAATTCCACTTTTATTATCTAGAACACCAAGCTATGGCTGTCAAACATCCACGTTGGACATATATGTCGGATAAACCACAAACTTCAAAGTAAGTCGCATATGTACATACATCTTTAAGTATATATGTTATACTAAAGTCGTATCAGCTCCAACCTATTTTGACGAAGGTTGTTAAATTCTGAAAGATATTCAAATCTGGTGTTATACAAGTCTCCAATATGTTGGTAAGATTTTCCTTTTAGACTAAATATTTTTATTTTTTCCCAAATTTAATTAAAAACAACTGCTGTTGATCATTTTTCGTCAACCTGCAAAATAATTTTCATTTGATCATTTTTCAAAGATTGAATATTGATACCGATGAGATTTTCCATATTAGGTTGTGCAGAACTTCATTTCAGTCTATAAATTCCTCGTCTAACTCTAAAAAAGAACACCCTTTATGAGAAAAACTAAAACTCAGAGCGTATGAGCAAAACCTGCATGATATTTCCAGCACTACCAGTAACTCCCCTCAAGTAGACTGTTTGTATAGAATCAATAACCAGAACCCTGGGAGAGAATCCACGAATTTTTTCCAGTATGTCCTGAAACAGAGAGCAACAACTGATGGTGCCAGCCTCGGAGATTATTTATATCACACATACTACGATTTTTTTCAAAAGAGCATGAAAACAAAATTAAGTACTGGGGAAACGTAAACAGGATTCATACATAAGTTACTGTGCAAAACACAGTTATATTGTAGCTTCAAAGCCAGTCTCAACCAACCAAAGTAGTGTAAATGGCAAGTAAAAATGAGGCTGGGATCTGTAATTGGATGAGCCTGATCCAGATCAACCAAGTTGACCATGTTTGGGGAACAAGTGCCTAATCCATGACCCATATTCCGGGAGGAAGCAAAAAGGCGGGATGATTTTTTTCCTTTTGTTTTCTCGTTTTTTTCCTATCGTTGCTATGCTGCTGACTTCTCTGTCTGTGTTGAGCTTCCTCAGTTAACAGATCGCTCTTCTGCGGCTGCAAGAAGGCAGGACACTTCAACTTCTGAAAGACATGACTGACTGCGAATTAGATAATACTTGGGAAACGAGTGTTAATTTCAATTTCAGGGGAGATCAGGAAAAGTCTTAAAATCAGATCAACGGCAACTGATTATGTTCTAAATCAGTTGATCGAATTGGCCTATGCTTGCTGCCATCACATGAAATATGGCCTTAAACCACCCATTCTGCAAACAATGAGTAAATGTACTCCTTGTTCTGAAACAATAAGCAAACAATGTTACTAACAACACTGCCCAGTGCCTAATGTTCTCAAACAATTTTAGTATTATCTGGAGTGATGTGGTTGAGGAACCTTCATTCCGTTCCCTCTCGGTGATCCACATGGGAACCGAAGAAAATTCCGCCAGCAAGAGGGGGCAACACTTTTCCACACCGACTTCAGTCTGCTGATAATCAGCCATGTTTACTTTGATATGAACTGCATAAAATATCAAGCCAGAAATTCCAAAATATCAAAATTAATCCAATATGGACTGATATATTCGTTCTACATATCACTAGTTGGTATATATTTCCCCAATTAAAGGGTTGATGAAGATCTTATCCTAAGAAAATAAAAGAAAAACTAAATAAGGCCCTGCCCGTTTTGGTTAATCTGATTATCCCATTGACACCACTGGATATGTTGTCTCGGTAGCAGATTAATACATCTATATACATTTATATATACATCTGTTTTATAGAAAAGAACGAGCAATGTTCATCTCACACAAAAATACCATCCATATTTTAAAATCCGAGTACTCTTATTTTCATACATGGCCATTACTTAAGATGATGAATGTAAATATTCATTGAAGAACCTATCAAATTATTTTCACGCTGAAAAGAGAATCGGCCATTTAAACTGTTACAGTACATAATGAACGTTTAGTGCCGGATAAAAATAAAACCACAAATAAAATCAACACTGGCAATGTCAAGAATATTTGGCACTTATATCCTGCAGCACCCATCTGTGTCCTGCACGTAATTCACTGAATCAGCCGTTGCATTAAATGGGCAGCAATAGGCCATAGACCTTAATATGATGCATCAGAGAACAGTAAGTGGTCACCAGATAGTACTATAAGAAAAAAGTAGGCAGTGGCATTTAAAAGCCAAAGACTAGTGATACCTCAATGTCAGTGCTTGAATACAAATACAGTCCAGGAGCATGAATTCGCATACGATCAGCTCTATTACCAATTTGATCAATGCTCTGCCACATTAAAAAGAGAAAACTTCTTTCAATTGTATATCGTTCATTTTACTTGTATAATCAATCCTGATATGACTCACATTGCTGGAAAAATCTGCTTAGTTTCAAATGTCTTAAAAAATACGCCTATTCTGTTACACAAACTTTCCTGTCGTGTGCATAGGCAAAGCATATGCAAAACGAAAATAGTGCAAATTCCAAGAACATTAAATTCCCAGTTAAAAAATATTTTTCTGAATATGCATCAATTAAAATTTCTAAGAATATATGAGATACATTAGAAAGACATCACAAGTAAACGTGGCATGCATTGGAGCCAGAAAAGGCACAGGAAGCACATTCAAGTTTCATACTTCATTCCCAGAATATTTAATTCCCAGCGATAAAAAAATGTTATAAATTCTGAAGAATATACAAGCCTTTAACTTTACAACTATACTCTCATAGAATACCTGAACGCATCAGACCAAGAAATAGCATACCAACTCAATCAATAACTGACCTCCTCGCCAGAAACATAAATAACTCGAGCAGGGCCTTCTGAGCCAAGTCCTTCGGCTAGAATACCAGCAATCTTCACATTCCAGTTCCAAAAAGTGCGTAGTTATAAATGAGGGTTCATGAATTGAGATCATAGAAAACATAACAAACAGTCGAGATCAGGTACAAGGTTTCACTATTATATCGATAAGCATCCACTAAAATGCAGAAAGAGAATCAAAAGTATTTTGAATATTAGGTATACCTGCAATAATAAAGTACTCTTCCCAACGCCAGGATCACCACCAAATAAAACCAAGGAACCTACAAAATCCAAAAAATAGGTATTGCTATTATAGTCATGTGCTTATGCTTGGAAGTCATGCATAGAAGTGTCAATGGCTGGCCCATCTGGATCGTACCTTGTCAAGCCCACCCCAAGACTACTTTAAAAGGCCCAAACCCATCCTAAGTTGAGAGAAAAGTCCAAAAAATAGGCCTCAAGCCAAACGCCTATGAAGTCCAAACCCCAACCAGAGGGGCTGACGGTTTTCACATATATATATCTGACGGTTTTCACAGACAACCAGAGGGGCTGGTGAACGGAATGCAGGAGGCAAGAGAGCTGACGCAGAAAATGTTGCCACTTATGGAAGGGGCTGATGGTAGAATGGGTTAGGACAAAAGAAAATGGATGGGGGCTCGCATCAGGGCTTACACAGCCAAACGTAAATAGGGCTAGCAAAGAGTTGGTAACACTCACCAGGGGAAGGGGTGACAGCACAGGTACAGTCTAACATGATAGGAGGAGGCGATTATCAGACTAAAGAAATGCAAGCAGGAGGAATGGAGAAGAAAAAAGGACATGATTGGCAAGATAAGGAAAAAGAAAGGGGGAAAAAGAAGGGGGGTTGTGTTGCAATTTAGGGGAAGGATTTCCCTAATCAACATAGAAAGTACCTTAACCTTCTGGAAAGTCATGGATATCCTCTTTCGAAATTGCCGGTTTATAAGATGTAGTACTCAAGACAAAGGATGAAGCAACATCAATTCTGACACAATTGCCACCATGACCACTATTTTTCATAGCCCCGACCATTTAGATCCGCATGCGTTGTACCCTAATTATGCTTTTGTAGTTGTGAAATAACTTGCCATGAAAATCTTTTTAACGCCCATTATTTAGACAGATAAACCCACATATATGGTTTGAAACAGAACTCACTATTATTATTCTGTCTCTTTTGGTTTCCCTCCTTATGGCTAAAGGTCCATGAGACTCTACTAGAAAGTCCACGGACGTCATTTTGTTATGCTTTCTACTAGGCAAATCTTTTTTGTTGCATGTTGGCAAACATGATGTGTCCGAGGATGGAAGGGAAGATCAAAGAATACGATAAGAGAGAACTAGTCATATAAAAGAGTATTCATATTTTGAAACTCCTCAGTAGTGATTGGCATGGATCCCTTCCCCAGGATTTGCTTCTCGTCCTCACCCAAGAAACAAACAAGGAGATGGGTTCTTTTATATAAAATGTATACTAGAGGCTCCTATTTATTATATAGACTTTCGAAATTGAAGATGCATCCATTTCACGTTACAAACTTGATTTTGGCTCGATCCATCTGGGTTGGCCTCAAACCAGACCAGATCTGGAGTAGATGACCTCAACTACTGAGCTGATATTGCATACCACTGTATATTGTGTCCATGTGCCGTTAGGTATGGTGACTCTGAGGGGATCAGGGAGCATGTTCCACAGAATAAGCACTTTTTCAACTTAATGGGCACCTGATCGTGTACCCATGGGGAGAAATAATCCTTCTTTTTAACTTGAAAAAAAGGGATTTCCCAGAAATCAGATGATCACATGAATCGTCAGGCCTCTAATTGCCATCTCACTTTGCAGTCAGAGAAATAAAAACTGAGAACGAGAAGAAGAAAAAGTCCTGTGGGGTGTGGAGAAAGAAAAAGATGAGCGGTTGCACATAAAAACTTCAAAAAAAGAAAAAAGAAAACAAACAGAAAAGAGGAAACCTTGCCACAACTCGCTACCATGAGGTACTGCAGGGGAGAATAGGTCCATGTGAATAAACATCAACAGATTGAGGAGAGGTGTTACTTTTTTAAGCTTACGGTAAGATATGTATTGTCGTCCCCACAACCCCTAAGTTGTCCAAATATATTTTCTTATATATTTAACCATATTGAGTTTCTTCTGCTGAATTAGACAATTTGGCTGCCAGATAAAAACTGAATCTGAAGAGATTGACCAATTCGAGACTCAACTCCGCACTACCAATCTTGGCAGGGAACATGAAATGGAGTCTGAGATATCTTTCGATGTCCAACATTCTATTAACCTAAGCAAATAGAAAAGTGTCCACAAATAAAATGTCCAAAGAATACAACCAATAAAAAAACCAATATAAAGACTAAAATGATCAGCCAACAACAAATCAGGCAAGATGAGCCCCATGGCTACGCCTAGCATATTGATATACACTTATCTATCTTTAAGTTTGATGCTCAAAAAGCAGATTTCATCTACGTAACTCATATTCCAAGCAGAAACCTAAAAAGAAACACCAATTAAATTCAGACTCAAAATATCTAAGAAACAAGTAAAACATTATTACAAAGAAAACATGCCCAGTTGAAATGGATTATTCACACAACTGCACACGCGAGAAACACTATTTGATAGGAATAAATATACCTGGCACAAGACCACCACCAAGAACCCTTGCAACCTCCATTCCAAAGTGTCCAGGCCTAGAAATTCAACCAAAATTGGTAACCACGAAATCTGAGGTACGACTACCATAACCATCAGTTAAACACAGATTAAAATGTACCTCAAAATAAAGATGCCAAAGAAAACAGAAAGAGCATGAGTGCTGTGGCATTCCATGATTGACAGTTTTTACAAAAGGAAGTATGCCTGAAGACCATACAGTAGAGGAAACAATACTTGTAATTATAAGTTCCTCATGTCATGTTTTAAGGATTTGTGATTTTCATTTATATAACAGGCGAAACATGTAACATAACGCATCGTGAATTTTACCCCGTCAAGTCATAGCTCTTTAGCACTATTTACAGACATCATTTTACTAGGGTCAATTTGGATAGATATCATATATTAGGATTCTGATGAGGTTCACGATCCTAAAACGAATTGGGCAAGAATAGTGACATTGTCAACCTAAAGCCATGACTCAGCTTCAGTAGCACATTTGAAAGGATTTTGAAAATGAAAGGGATTGCGTAAAATTTACAACAACTTCAAAAGGGGAGATGACGTTAGTTCTCACACGTTTTCTCTGTTTAGCATAAATATCATAATTCCTGGACGCAATCGGCTCCAAATATATGATTTTTTTATCATAGAAGATATCGAGAAAATAACTTTAAAATGTTAAAATATTACATCATTGCCAGGAAGAATATAGAAGACCAAATAGAGACCTTTAAACATAAAAAACTATGCACGAATCAATAAAACAAGCACATCCTTTGAAACACCAAACTTGGTTTTACTCCACATTTTCTTTGGTCTCCTTGCCCTTCCAGAGGCATCCAATTTTGTGATATTACCTCTCCTTACTTGGATACAGTGTGCCATTCGTAGCACATGTATGTTTCACATTGATCAGTTCTATCCAATCATGTCTACCTAGAACCAACGACAAATTTATCTTTTAACTCCAAATTTTATTAGAGCCTTTAACAGTCCGTCTTCCCACAATAACCCCTTACTATTGTCATCTCATTCTCATGGGAATGGTTTATGATCTAAAACCCTGTGCAGGACTGTTGGTCATAGCCGTTTCCCGGAACTTAAACCTAACCAAACTCAGCCAAATAAAGTCCTCAGGGAATATTCTTAAGGAATAAATCTAATTATTTACTTAACGATCAGAATCAGGCATCCTTCCAAGAATATACCACTGGTACGAATTCTCTGAGATATTTTGCCACCATTTGGCAAGAATTTGAACAATAAGCGCTTTGAATTTAAGGTTAAATACTTTGACAACTGGGTGTTTCAGTCCTTTTCAGAGGGCCCCTCATCAGCACAGAAGAAGATCATTGTGACAAGTTAGGACCATGGCGTGCTGGAAACCTCCCCTAGCACGTACATATACTTTAAAAAGCAGTTACACATGATGAAGTTAGTCTGACAAGGAAAGTCAAAAAGAAAAACTCAGATGGGAATCCTCACAGTGGACAAGCTATGACTATGGTACCAACAGAAGCACCTGAATTGAACTCCTTAAGCCTTGGTCTTATGCAATTCTATGCTATCTAAAGATCATTATGCTGGTCAAATCCTAGGGCATTGACAACTAATAGCATGGCGACTGATGCATCACAGATCAATGGCACCGCAGAAAAGAGAGATTGAAGATCAATCTGACTGTGGGATAGAAGAAACTCACTGGCTCTGCCAAATGTGAGGTGCTTAAATCTCAGTTAGCCCAAAAAGAGCTACTTAGAAGCTTGTTCTATCTAGATGTTAATGCATATGGTAACCATAGAAGAGTCCTCTGTCTATACCTTTTTGTATGCAGGGAATAAGGTGAGTACTAAGAATCGCTGGAAACGAGAAATGAGCAAAAAGTACAGCCCAAAAAGCCCGAGCAAGTGAAATTCAGACAGCTTATATGTTCTAGATCCTACATTTCAGGCGATTTTGTTGTCTTTAACTCTCCCTAGGAGATCTTTTCTTTTTTGCTTTTTCTATTAGCATATCATATTTTTTAGGTGATCCGCGACTAATTTTTGTCTGTTTCAATGAGGATGAAATGTAGAAGATGGTTTTTTCGACAAAAACATTCTCTCTCTCTCTCTCTCTCTCTCTCTCTCTCTCTCTCTCTCTCTCTCTCTCTCTCTCTCTCTCTCTCTCCCTCTCTCTCTCTCTCCCTCTCACTCACTCTCTCTCTCTCCCTCTCACTCACTCTCTCTCACTCACTCACACACGCACACACACTTCATGTCTTTCGAGGATCACATCAATCATGCATTGTGGTTCAAGGATTCTGACATATAGATAGATAGGTAGAGAGAGAGAGAGAGCATATTGATCCTGAAAAGCAAAAGAAATAAAAAAGAAAATAATTATTGTGAAATATAGACGGGCATCTTATCTCTAAAGCCTGTCACAGCTTCTGACATTTTTACGAATAGCAACGAATATGGGATTTTTTTTTCTGATATTTTAAAGAGTGTCGGTACGCGGGCGCACAGATATATTGCATCATCAGATAAAAAAATCGACCGCCCAACCCTTCTTATATTGAGAGTGTGATGAACGAGGACTTACAGAGGAATGCGCCATTCCAGCTGGTTCATCCCTTTCTTCACCTCCTCCAGGCTCTGGGGGACCAAATCCCCCGGACCCTGCGGCAGCCATGATCGAGTAACTGCTTCAGACACCTCGAACCCAACAGACCCCCTGCTCTCGTACTCCGAGAACTGCCTCACTGTGTTCACGGCCTGGCATGAAGGGCAAGTTCCCCACCACTGCCCCGGTGTTGCTCCACAACTCTCACAGACCCACGAAACCTTCGCCTTTCCCGACTTCTTCCTGGCAGTAATGGGAGCCCAAGCCGACGCCGAACCCAAACTGGAAGCAGCCCGCGAGTTGTTGTCTCGCTTTCCACCCTCCGTTTCCGGTTTCCTGACCCTCGGAGTCGGATTCTTCGCGCCCTCGCCGGCGCCTTCCCCTCCCACCCGCGTCACCAGACTCCCCTGCAGAGGATCGTAGAGAGTCCATACTTTGCGAGCTTCCCCATGATCGTCCCCCTCCGGAGGGACCGCCGGCTCATCGTCGGAGCGCCGGCCGGCACGGTTGACGGCTCCCCAGCCTGCTGAATATCGGCGGGAGGACCTCCACGGGCCCGTCGTCTTCCCGGCGACTGGGCGGGGGGAGACAGACCCAAAACGGACGTTGGTGGAACCAGGAAGCACCCTGTTGAGCAGGAGCCTACCAGCTGAGAGCATCCTAGGGGAACTGGGAAGGTGAGAGCAGGTCGTTTGCATCAAAGAGGGAGGAAGAACACAGAGAGAGAGAGAGAGAGAGAGAGAGAGAGAGAGAGAGAGAGAGAACAAGCGCGCGGGAGCTACGAGGCTCGTCCTTCTCCCAGCCTGGACATTTACAGTAACCAAAAAATTCAAACACATGAAAACACGGGACAACGCTGATTAAATCATAAACCGTCAAAACATAAGAGATTAGCAGAAGTGCACCAACAACATATGAAACTCTGGGCATATCTTTTCTACCTGAGACTAGCGTACGGATCAAGAGTCGCATGCAAATGATCAGCCACATGCAGAGTTACTCACCTTTGGTTTAGTCTCAATAGATCGGTCAACTGGGTCGTCTCACTTCCTTCCCCAACAGAAAATGAATTCCAAGACTTCAAGAAATCACGTATCGGTGTTATTTTTTATCCCGCTTTTCTTGTGAGGATGTAGAAAAATTATTATTAGCCTTTTTTTCTATAATAAAAGTTTTTTTCATCTAATCGGAAATGCCCCGAATGGAATCGAAAGAATTGGCAACTCATGCGACTGAAGTAAATAAAAGTTATCAACCAATTGGTTCTTTGACAGATATTTCTTTTCTCTTTATTTATCACTATTGCATCTGTTTACTGATAATATCTACTGTAATTCCGCACTCTGCCAGATAGCTAAAAGGTGGAAGCCCTCTCATGCCCTGTCAAAATAACGAAAAAAACAAAATGATTGATATTTATATTTTATTGTAAATCAATAATATAGTTTATGTCAAAAATCTTCAACTTCAATTTTTCAAAATCGTCGACGAAAAAGTTATCTCTTCATAAGTGTACAACGTTTAAATGATTTGCTTCAAAATTCTTTTTCCATCTTTTTTTGTCAACTATTAAATAATTGATGTATCTAAACAAGGTATCTTTTTGAATTTTCATGATTGATATGATCTATCATAATATCAAAGTCCAAGGACAACACATTTTGCCAAAAAGAACCAAAGCCAAATCCTACTATCTTGGTTTATCTTTTGAAATGTGATGTATCAAATTACCAAGCGCATCTTGTTTAATAACTTTGAAATAAATTACAAAAGTAAATTTCAAGGATGAATCAAATATTTGGCAAAGAGTAAGCCATTAATACAGCAAAAACCTTGTATCCCAATGAAAGGCGATTTATTGTGGGACTCAACAATTTAGATCAATTGCATGTTACATACTAGAATTATAAAAAGAAAACAATATGAATTTGACCATATAGATTGATCTTGATTGATATCATATTAATTTCTTGCTGTGATTCTATTGTACAATATGAGATAACCTTCAACTATTAGTCTCACCTCCCCTATCCCTAGCAATTTAGTAAAAGAGCCTCTTAGCTGTACTTTAGAGAATAAATAAATATAAAACAAGGAATAAGTCAAAGTTAAATAAACCTTCATTAAGATAGCCCATGAAATCAAATAGAGGGGATGAGTGTAAAGATGAGCAAACATCTATTCACTGTTGATGACGTCACCACATAGCTGAAGGAAGTTGTGATTTGACAAAATTCAGTAGAATCCAAGGAAGAGGGAGATGACTTCAACCCAAACAGTTAGAAATCGAAGTAACAGCTGAAAACATTCAAAATGATTGATTTCTTTATTTATTATGACCTCGAATATCCCATGAAATCACTTTCTTGAGGACAAAAGATGTCATAATTTAGGTTGTTTCGAATTCGCAGGATTCCAATTCTGAACTATGTATTCCATCCAAGAGCCCAGAAAGTCAGGCGGGGACACCTTGCCTACCTACCCTTCATGATAGGCTCCCAGGATGCCTGCCATCAAAGGACGAGGCCAAAAGAGGCACCAAGCGCACAACTTGAGACGGGGGATAGTCTGCAAGTGACGGCTGAGCCAGGCCCACGAGTACAATGGGCCGGATGATGCTGCCACCCGGCCTCTATTCAGACCAGCACTGACGGCATTTTCCAGACTTTTCTCCACACTTAGTGGGGACCATAGACACTAGAATGGGAGCTCTCCAAAAGATTTTTCAGATGACTGAAATTTCATTATTATTATTTACTGCTAGGCTTCGTAATTGGGCAAAAAGAAGCAGAGAGGAAAACCACGGGCGAGGAAGAGCGCAAAATAGTCAATTCCAAACCATCCGAATGACGAACAAACCCACATTAAAAAATTATATATATATATATATATATATATATATATATAGTTGCTAGCGGACAACCGATTCCGCTGAAGGCCCAGAACCTGCTTAGTGGGCCCCACCATGGAATATATATATATATTCCGTTGACCCGTGGTTTTTCTTTAATTTTTCACGATCGTCTAAGGTTATGGAGCCAGGGCAGGGCCGCAACGTAAAGCCCCAAAAGGCGTGGGCCTCGTCAACAAAACGGAGACGGTCAGGACAGCCTGTACCCCATTCTTTAGGCTTGCAAGGGACGAACGGACTTGGGCTGGAGTAGACAAGGCCTAGATGCTGAGACTCCAAGTTTCAGGCACATCATCAAGAATTGCCAAAAAAGGGAAAGAAAAACCGTTACCTGAAGAAACCCAGCAATTAGAGGCTTCACATGATCACTGCAAGTACTCAAAATCTTCATTAATTCCGGCCTGCAAGTTCCACATTAGACGACGTCAGATAACATAGACTATCTTCCAAGAGTGGCGACTTTCATATCCAGATATATAGCACAGTGACATATGAGATAAAAGGATGATAATAACGTGGCATCATCTTCTAATCAGCACGATGAAATGGTTTGAACTGGACATATATTCATATAAAGAAGAAAATATAGCACCTTTTGACTCAACCACATGGGTGAAGATAATGAAACAGGGTTACTCTGAACTCATCAAATTACAAATTACAATATATTTTATTTTATTTTATTTTTTCCATCTTGGCTTCTTTCTCTACCATAATTTCATGAGCATGGGCTTACTCATAGTTCCAATTAAGAATCAAATAAAATGATTAAAATGGAATTATTACCTCCCTGTATAAGTGCACCAACTGTTCCTTGGCCTGGGGAAAGCTTGTTGAGCACCAATGCTGCAATGTAAATATGTTGTCTGGGAGGAGATTTACAAAATCAGCAAGAGCCAATGGTAGAAAGGAGAGAGGGCAGGTGAAGGGAGATTATGGTGGACCACCGACCGGTCCATCTGTTGGCAGCAGAATGAGCAACCTCAATTGCGTTCCCTGTTGAACGGCCAAGAAAATCATTACACTACTGTTTGTAAATATGAAAGAAGCACATAAATATCCGTTATCCAGAAATTAAATGAGAAGACAAATTAATTAATGCCATTTGAAATTTTCAATTAAAAAAAAAAAGAAGAAGAAGAGGGAATGCATTGAGGCCAATTGTAAAGAGGAGAGAAGTGGTGGGGTTCCTACTCATTGCTTCGATTGTAGCTGGATCATTGTCTGCATAGCAGCTTAGTTGCTCCTAAAATACAATACAAAAAATGATTAGTATCTATTCAGACAACAGCAAACTTGCTCCGAACTGAGGTTTGTCGAGCACGAATACAACCAGTTCGAGTGATTTCTTGAAGAGTCGATCTATGTAGGGGTTGGTGGGAGGGAGGCATTGTTGATATGGTCAGAAAATATCTGGTGACAAGTATCTAGATAGAGGTTGAAGAGGAGAAGATCTAAACTGAATCACAAAAGAGGGGAAGCGATATAAACCTTGAGCCGTTTATGTTGCATTTCAACCGTCTTCAGCTCATCTAAGGCAGTCACTCGCTCGTCCTGTAAAAGAAATACAAGCATATTCATGGACCTCGAAAATGCCAATAATCTGATTCAAGGATAAGAAGGGTGGGTCAGCTATTCTATAAGTAAGTCTCACAGATTCTTCCCTGCCTCTCTTCAAACTATCACGCTGTTCAACTAGCTCTTTCAATCTCTTTGTACGGTTTGCGAGGTCAGACTCAAGTTTCCTGTATGTGTTCTTTAGCTGTTTCAAATAAAGCACCCCAGTCGAAACTAAGAACATCGTTAAAAACAGAAGGCATATGTCTCCTATCTAATAACATTATCGTTGGAAAGTGTTTTGACTCGTCACCTGATTGCTAGCACAACTTGGAAGACTCCAAAAGTATACCTGCAAATGGACATATATGGGCATGGATTCAATTTTCAAGCATAAGCAATCATTCTCATTGAATGCTTAGATAACTGAACTGAAAGTTCATAGTTCAAAAACTCGTTCGAAGAGATAAACTCACAGAGGTGCCTATTTTGTCTTTCAAGACAAGGTCATCGTCAACTAGGCTTTGAACAACATCCTTTACAGACTGGCTGATGACACCCCTTTTTGGGCCCAGTTTTTCTAGCTCCTTCAGCTAAAATACGGAAGCATTTAGAGAAACAAAAATAATGCACAAAGAAAACAAGACATTAACGGAAAAAGGAGCTTAAAGGCATTAATAATTCTCTACAAGAAAATGAGGCCGAATTTATTTTTTCTTTACGATTCTCTTCAATATCAACCAATTCAGGTTATTGTCCATGTTTCCTGCACTCTCCTAAATTTCTAAACTTATATATGACACCACATTTCCCTTAGCAGCGTGTGAGCTTGTGCTCATTTCTGCACTAGATGTTTTACCCTATTAGATTTGGAAAAAATTGACCATGCTGATCCCTGGAGATTAGAGAAACTTTACGAACATACTCCAAACTAATATTCCACCGTTGGCAGGGCCTGGGAGGACATGCACTTGTGAACATATTTCAAAATCCTACTTTTAGCTATTTGGCACAGCACGGAACTACAACATTAGACAATGTGCCGGATAGAATGAGCAAATAATATAAATAAATATGTGCAATATTGATACTAATAGAAAACAAATAAAGATCTGCCAAGCTGTCAAACTCAAAACCAATTGGTAGAGAACTTTTATGTATTTCAGTCCCATGAATTGTCAAATCTTTTGGATTAATGTGGTGCATTTCCAATTAGATGAAAAAAACTCGAGAAAAAGGGCTAATAAGAAGTACTTTTCTACATCCGTACGAGAATAATAAAATAACATAACGCTGAAATGTGATTTCTTGAAGTTTTAGGATTCTTTTCTGTTGGGGAAGGGAGTGAGACGATCCATTTGACCGAGCTATAAACTCACGGATTTGTAATATCAACCAGGAAGACCTGCTACTAAGACTAAACTAAAGATAAATATCTCTGCATGGGACTCTTGATCCATATGAAAATCCGTACGCTGCGGGATTTAGGTAGCAAAGTATGATCACGAAAGATAGACTACCAAGGAGCTTAAAAATATAAATTTTCTAACCTAAACGTGGCAGGAATGAGCTAACACCAATGCTCCTCAATTATCCAAGTGACAGGCTTGAGAACAGAGGGGAAAACCTGGAATGAATTTCTACTGTGGAAAATAAATTTCTAGAATCGTTTTATTCCACTACCAAGCAAGAATCTGGAAGAAATTTTTAATAAAAACTAAAAAAAGACACATGTTTTCCAAAATTAAAGCTATACAACAAATTACTATTTTGAGCGTTCTTGGTAATGTAATATATAACAAGTCCAATAAGACAAATAAACCATTTTTTTCTCGCTTACAAAGACATAATACTCACAAGATAGAAGTTTTTTGAGTCGTAAAATATTTGAAGAATCTGCTCCCGCTTCTCATCCAAAGAAAGGCCCCTCTTCTTTGACTGAAACATGTAAGCAACCATTGCATTGAAAGAAAATACATGGCGCAACATATAGATAAATAAACTATCTGATTCATTAAACGGTAGAAGTGTCGGGTCAAAAATGTAAAAGTCATAAATCTTCTTACAGGCACCACGGGATGATAATCAATGGGGAGACATTTTGCCGATACATTAGATAGTTAACGTCTCTGATAACATGACTACGTACAAAACTTATCCCTTGTTAATGAATCATCCAGACAAGGCGTCATTCACTTGTCTCAAGCATACTCTTGCCCCATCATCCCGTTCCCGTTCCCGTTCCCGTTTACGTTCACATATGTCAATCTCTAGTCTGAATACTTGGGGTCTCACCGCTGCAGACTTGCTCTGCAGATGTTACAATTTTAAGTTTCCCTCACTTAAAGATTAACAGGTTTCCTGTTACGAAGAGCTAAATCTGCGTCATATATTCTTCAAAAAGTATGAAAAACTAGATGAGCGCATGGCAGAGATTCCGTCGAATTGGGATGGAGAGATGAATCTGCCTTGTTCCGCAGACACAACAGAAAACATTGCCCAAACGCGATACTGAATTGAAAATCTATCTTAGCAACAATCATCTAAGGATGACGACGATGACATGTGGTCCTCTGACGCTAAAACGATGATACCCTAAGGAGTTAAAAGCACCACAGGTACCTAGGTCGCGATAACCATTAACAGACTGAAGAGAGGATCTGATGAGCGAGACCATGACGATTCAAGCTTGTAATTGCAACGAAACGCAGACAAGAATCTACCATTGGGAGCTACGCGGGGTTCACGGCTGTGTTCACGGGTTCGCGAGCGAGAAGGCGACGGCTCCTCTCTTTGGCGGGAACTCCAGCCGAAAACAGACTACACGTTTCACGTCGGTGGGATTTGAATCCTTATATATTCACATAATAAATACCGGTAAAAAGACATTATTTTTATGTTTTCTCTTGACTGTCCGATACTGTCCGATCTGAAAAAGCTTAAGATCAGCGGCTCAGATCGCATCTCCCTCCTCCAATCAGATAAGACCATACATAAAATAAAGGGGTTTTGTACGAGGTCAGAGACCGGGTGGCGGAATCGTCAATGAATCGGATTCTGCTCTGGGCCGGGCACACCGGCCCACTATGAACACGTCGTCCCGAGCCCCGTGACGACTCGGTTCAGTAGGACCCGGACGATTCCACGGGTCATACTTCAACAAATTGGCAATCAAAAATATTACCAATAAGAAATAAATAGGCCGGTGGATTCGATCTTATCCGGTTAAAAATTTTATTTAAAAATATCTGACTAGAATAATAAAGTCCGTACATCTGCTCCCCTCCCACCCTCCATGTGAGACACTTCTCCGAGTCTTTACGTCGTCTGAGACGTGCCGCCGGCGCCTCCCACGGGCGCCTTCACGTGCAGATGTCTGCCGGCCCAAACCGGACAGCGCAGGGAAGTGTCGGTGGCAGGGATAGCCATCGCATGGGATCTACAATATTAATATTTATTTATAATATTATTTTTTCGTGTGACTATTTGAAAATGGAAATAACTCGGATCGATTGACGAATGAGATTGTCGACGGATCGTGCGAGGTCAACGTCATCATCCAGCCAGGGTTGACTTCTGATTCGTATGCAAACCGGGCTAGATGGATTCAGGGTAGCTTAAAATTAGTTTTAGAAAGTAAACTATTTTCGTGAAAAATTAATATTTCGGGTATTAATAAACAGGAGCAAGTTGCGGCGAACGTGGACTTTAGTGAAAGAAAAGTAAGCTCCCCCCGAGAAGAGATAAGAACGGCGGCAGTGGTCGGGTCAAACCGTGTGTCGTTATCGAAAGATGTACCGTACACGTGGCGGAACGCGAGATGTCGGCAGGATTCGGGACGCGAATCCCACTTCCCCGAGGGAGGTGGATCAACGACCCGGATTAAGAAAGGCTGAGGCCAGCGCGGGGCGCCCACGTCAACCGCTGAGCTGGACAGAGAGAATGGCGGGAAGAAAATGCGAAGGCATCGAATGGTCGAGAAGTTGCATTCTTGGAAACCGATTTGCACAGTTGGCAAGCAAGAGGATTACAGTTGACGGATTCGAATGGGGAAATGATACAAGGAGAAACGGTCAAGACGAGATCCGAAACACGGATCCGGCAGACCGGTCACATCTGCTGTACAAAAAATACAGGAAATCAAGTCAGTTGATCGGGGAGGAAAGGAGGATGCACAGATCGGACGGTCAGAACTCGGTAATGGCGTTATTCGCCGCTTTGACTTGGAGGAGCGAACTCGGGGCGGCGGCGGACTCACATCACCAGATCAGAAACCCAGCCGACGTCGGGGGCCATGGCCGCCGCTGCCCTGGCCTCCTCTTCTTCCTCATGGGCCCGCCCCATGGAGAACTCCCTGCTCAGCTTCTCGTAGATCTTCACCCTCAGGTCCCTACCGGACTCCACCCTCTCCGTCGGCTCCGCCCACTCGTCGAAAAGCCCACCGGGGCTCGCCGCCGTGGGGGTTGTCGGCAAGCTGCAGAAACCGGGCCTTACATTCACCACTCCGCGAGGGGATCCCACGCCGGAGACCTGCTGAAGGCCCCAGGAAGAGGGGACGGACTTTGCCTTGCTCAGCTGCAATCGCCGGAGGGATGCAAGGACGCCGTTGATGGGCGAAGAACCCAGGGGAACCGGGGACCGGCGGAGGGAATGACCGCTGGGAGAGAGCGGCGGGGAATCCGACGGCGGCGACGTCGGCGGCGACATCAGAGTCGATGTGGGGGACGACGCGAGCCCCTTGGAGAAGTAGCCATCCAATACCGACGACGCCGGCGCGCTCTGCTGCTGCTGCGCCTGGGGGACGACGCGCAGCTGCTCCGGCGTGTGGGCGAAGAAGCAGACGCGGCGTCGGCAGTTGACGCCGTCCTTGCAGACCTGTGTGCGGTACCTGGAGGGATGGAGCCAGCACTCGAACACCCCGTGGGCGTACTCGCAGGCGTCACCCCTCTTGCAGACGCCCTTGCGGAAGTCGGGGCAGGCGACGCCGGAGTAGTGGAACTTGCGGGGGTCCCTGCGCCTGGCCTTCTCCCCCGGGTGGGCGTAGGGGCACTCAGTCCAATCGTGGGACCGGCCGCGCACGCAGCGCCGCACCTTGAACTCGTACATGCGGAACTCGTCGCAGGAGTAGGCGTCCACCGGCGAGTCCATAAGGTCGTCCTCCTCCGCCTCCTCCCCCTGCTCCTCCTCCCTCCGTCGCATCTCCTCGGAGGCGTACGGCTCGTTGGAGGGGAGGAACCGCTGCAGAGCCGCCAGCGCCGCCTCGCTGAGGAGGAAGGAGGACAAGTCCCCTCCATTACCCCCTGCGACCCCGCTCACGGGGATCGAGTAGGACATCCCGGTCACCGGGTCGTCGCACATCTGCCATGGAGGAACCTGAAACATTGCCGAGGGACGTGGCCCTTCTCCCAGAATCATCGTCTCTCTCTCCCTCTCCCTCCTACCAGCTTTCCTCTCACCCCCTCCTCCTTGCTCTCTTCGCACCAGATTCCTCTTCTTAGTAGAAGCCTACCCACCCACAGGCTGCCTTGCGGGAGACAGCAATATAAAGGGCCAAGATGACCATAGTCGGGTCAAGCTAACCACGGTTGGGACTAATCAATTCCGCTCGAAGCGAAAACCACGACGTGGCACGAGCACAGTAGCGGTGACCGGACCGGCCGGATGCCTCCGCAGAGGGAGATCCCCCGAGACTGAGGTGGGCCCCTGACGCCAAGAGGTGTTTATACCGGCAGTCTGACATGCCTCGCTTTAGGGACGCGAATCGAATTCCCGTGGGAGGCGGTTTGCAGATATTTCCGGCGACCGCGTCACCCGGTGAGAAGGGGAGGAACGAGTTCGGCGATCCGTGGGCCGAGTCGCGAGTTAAATCGGCCCCCCGAGAATCGCTCCATTACCTTCCACGTGATTTGGACCACCCCCCACATGACGCAGCAACTCAGCTGCTGCCACGTCTGCGCCTCGCCAGCTTTCCTCGGTCGTTGGACGAGCTACTTGCAGTTCACGAGAAGCTTTAAAGATAAGCACGCCTTCTAGGCTTTGCGGGGGAGCGGCGCCCGACACGCGGAGCGATCCTGCGGCATCCTTGCCATGTGTTAGATAATCGGGGCGCCGCTTCCGTTCTGCCTCGTGAGGCGCGCTACCGGACGGATATCGGTTCGGAGCTAATCAAATCCGGTGCAGCGGAATTCCGACCAAAGGATACGTCGGATTCCACGGTGATCTCCTCGATTTCCGCACATCACCTCCTCTCTGACAGCTGGACGGTGTTCGTCAGAAGCCGACCAATCCTCAAGTCGCCCTCTCTCCCGTCATCCTTAGCGGTTTCCCTCCCCATGTGGGCCCCAGCCCAATTTTTTAAATATAAATCCTTCCGTCGTCGGACCCGAGCTCTCGGGGAGGGGTGGATTTCCGGAGACTGCGACTCGCCAACGGGCCCACAGATTTCTCTCTCTCTCCGGATAAACTGGGTCGGTGAGCCCGGGGATGGGCCCCACTGTACAGGACGCATCCCGAATATCTTGGCCCCACGGGCCTCCGCGTATAGTTCGGGCCACACAGTGCTCTGGGCCCGCGAGCATGGGCGGCCTACTCGTCCAAATCCATATGTTCTTCGAAAACCATATGAAATCCAGGTCTCATATTCATTCCCTCCCTAACCTATGTTATTCCCTAGGCTTTTATTAGATGGGCGTAGATTTCCCGCCTGTCACCTCGTGCTTACCCGTTATGATCGACTGGGCCTAATATGGAATTGTGGCCCATGGAGGTGCGGGCGAGCAACGTGTCCGGCCTGTTAGATGGGGCGGGGGGTGGGATTCGTGGGATTCCGGTGGGCGTGGAGGGTCAGGGGGGCCGGCCCATTTTATATTATGTACGGGCCCGAGCATCTCCTGTGGGCGGCTCGCGGGCGATCTTATCCAGTGAGCCTCGTCAGTTCATTCTTCGAACTCGTCCTCATCCCGATGGGACACTTTAAAATACTAATTTTAAATGGTGTACAGAAGGTGGGCGCAGCTTAATTTGGACGTCACCTACGTCTGCTTTAGTCCCATATCGGAAGAAAAAAAGCTTAAGGGTGCTTCGATTGGCTATAAGAACGAGTAACAGGCGAGCTGTCAACTCATACCTTTCTCGGCCTTTTGGCTAAGATCAAGTGTAGTATCTGTTCTTATCAGTTTAATATCTGATACGTGGGCCATCGGCCCACATGATATTAAATTAATTTCTCGTGGGGGAGGGCCCACCACAGTGGCTTGCCACTGGGGCCCTCGCGCGTCGTCCTTGCGTTGCACTACCGCTCGGGCCCGGCGAACCTCTCACCAATTCAAAGACAAGATTTTTACGCTACGCGAAGGCACTACTTATCCCCGAACTGTGGAAGAAAAGAAAGCCATTTCTCAAGATCTGTGTAAGTACGGGGGCGGGGATCGAATATGTTTCAGAGAGTATTAGGGTTCTAAGGAGATCTGCTTACCGGATGCTTACCTACTCTCCGGCAATGGCCATGGTCTTCCGAAAGAAGGCTCGCCGGATGGTCTGCCCTTCCTCTGTCTTGTGCCGAGCGTCTGAGGTGGTATGAGAAGACAGACAGAGATATGGAGAGACGCACAGAGACAGAGAAGCTTTGAAGGGCGCAACGGTAGATAATATAGAAAACGAGTGGGATGTGGACGTAGTGAGGACTCGGTGGGATCCATTAATGGGCCAGCTCCGTTTCCACTTGTACCCTCCGTCTGTCCGTCCATGGGATCCCCGGCAGCGGGGTAGATCCTGCTCCGCCACGCGACAGCTTCCTCGACGGAGAGGGGAGAAGACGATAACGACGAGGTACAGAAAGAGGAAGCAACCCGTCCCGAGCTTTGTCCTCACGGAGGAGGCAGCCGCCCAGCTGAAGCCCGCCCCCGAAGAACCGCGTTATTTCCACTCACGAGCATAGCGAGAGAGAGAGAGAGAGAGATGGGGCTCCGTTAGAATCGCGGAGGGAATGGATTTCGGAGAATCGCGCAGCCAGCCGCCTCCCGGAGCGGCAGAAGTCGACGGAAGCAATTCTGCCGAATCCCTTCCAAAGGGCTAAAAATTCATCTCGGGAGTAGAAAATTAGAACAACATCTTCTTACGTGGACCCATAATTTTTATATTTTATTTATACCCATATTTTCTCCAGAATGTGCGGTTGGGTTAAGTAACCGTGGTTATAACTTCATGAGGTGTCTTGGAGGATCAGACGATAATACCCTCAGACCCCCGGTCCCTTTAACACTTGAAAATTTTCTATAGAAGAAAGCAGGGGAAAAGTGCTCATCATCTTATCAGGCCCATTAAAGGCCCATTTAGTTGGGATCGGTAGATTTCTTTGATGGGTTGAGTCCATTTCCATTTACCGTCTGTCCATGGGCTCTAAAAGCCGGCGCCTATATTAAGACCATTTAGATGTGTTTATTACCGTGCGTACATGGGCCGTGCCAACGTACTCACTGAATTCTCCTCTGAAGGCCCATTAAAAGGCCGACAACTACGACACGGTCGAGATATAACGGGATTCCTAAATGGGCCTGCTCCATTCTCTCTTCGGCAGCCCGTTAATGTGCCCAAATAGGGGATTATGGGCCGAATAAGACCACTAAGTGGCTCTATGAATTGGGATACTATTCACCAAGTTACGTGGACGTCTATTATTGGTAGGGCGATCATGGGGCCCTCAAAGTCAACTAAGACATGTACCATCATAAACCCGACTTCTGAGGGACTCGCTCAGAGGCTGGGGCAGCAAGAGATGGAGAGAAGATTTGAATGTCTCCCTGTGCATTGAACAGGCCGTCATCCTTGAGAAACATAGAAATAATTAATGAAGGAAGGATAGCTGATTACCGAAGCAGAGGAGGAGAAGAGCTGCAGAGGAAGACAGTTCAGAGGAATCTTTGATTGTCTTCTTTTATTTGCTCACAGGAAGCTCCCGCACGGAGAGGGAGGGGTTGGGCAGCCCCCTGCTAGGCCAGAAAATCTTCTGGCTGCGGCACCTTTCGCGGTGGCAGCGCCGCGGCGGCGCTGTATGTGGAGCTGCGAAGATCGAAGGTGCCCAATTCCGGTGCCTCCTCGTGGAAGCTGCCCAGAAGATTTCCGAACTGGGCCTCCGAGAAGAGAAGGGCGGTGAAGCTCCCCGTCGTGTTCAGCATGAGACGGTCGATATCGGCGGCGGAGGCATGGAGAGAGGAGACGGGCTCCATGTTCAGGACGTCAAGCGGCGGCGGCGCTGGGACGGCGGCCGGAAAGGTGGCCGCGTGGTGGGCGGAGCGCTTGTTATGCGAGGAGGCGGTGGCGGCGCTGCGCTTGGTGTTCTTGCGGGAGGCGCCGCCGACGGGGATGTTGCGGAGGGAGCCGCCCCTGGTCCAGTAGCGGCGGCAGGCCTTGCAGAAATGGCGGGGCTGCGCGAAGTTGTAATTGTTATAGTAGCAGAACTTGGTGTTGGTGGACTCACAGCGCGGGCACCTAAGGTTCCTCTCCTCCGCTGGCACACGCGGTGGTACCTCCATGTTTGACTTCAGCACAGCCGCAGCCGCCGCCGCCGCCGCCGTTGGATTCTGGATCTTCTCTCCTGTCTCTCCTCTCTCTCTCTCTCTCTCTCTCTCTCTCTCTCTCTCTCTCTCTCTCTTTCTCTTGCTGTCCAAATTCCCGGCGAGCGCTTCTCCCGACAGTGAGTGAGAGAGAGAGAGAGATCTACGAGGACGATAAGCTGGTTCTCTAGTCCACAAGAGAGGAGACTATTACACGAAAGGCGTAGAGTTAAACGGGATCTAGTTCTCTCAAGTTCTAAGAGGATTCCACGAGAAAGAGCAGCTGGAAGAACAACCCGAGAGAGAGAAAGAGAGAGAGAGATCTACGAGGACGATAACCTGGTTCTCGAATCCACAAGGGAGGAGATTGTCACTCACATAAAGGCCGGAGATTTAAACGGGATCTCTTTCTCTCAGTCTCTGCGAGGATCCCACGAGAAAGAGGAGCTGCAGCTGGAAGAACAGCCGAACCCCCCCAAGCGATTGCACCAGGAGGACGGAGGGCCGACTGACTGACACGGTTTACGGCGCCCCTGAAACCCAGTTCTTCCCGGCGAGGAGGGGGCCTAATGATGAGACCACGGTGGGCGGCGGGGGGTTGATTGCTTACGAAGCAAGCTAACGCCGGCCACCGCACGCTCCCCGTGCCAACCCCACCACCGGCTGGCGCTAGCTCTGGCCCCGGCGCCGCGTGGCGGCGGACCTCTGCCATCCTCCTGGCAATGGCCGTGCCCCGCCGCCCATCTGGCGGTTCTCGAGGCGGGGAATCGTCGCCAATGGGGGCCCCTCCCTCCCTTCCTCAATCCGGGCCAGCAGAATGTGCACGATGAGCATACCACCTGTGAGTGAATCGTGGAGACGAAAACCTAAAACCTAAACGAGGCATTAATGATGTGTGTGAGCCACTCTTTAGGTGAGGGTGAGAGGTTTATTAGACTGCACCTGGAATGGGTCACCACCGTTTATTAGTACGCGTTTGAGGCTGGAGGGCGAATCTCTGCCAGCCAGGAATGGAATGGGAAGAGAGTCTTCCTCATTTGAAAGGGCCTTACCTTTCCTGATAGATTTTTGGACCTCTCACCCTTCTATGGAGCACAAGAGCTCTACCTCTTGCATGCACGCAAGCTCCATCTTTGGCATTCAAAGACAATTATTGTCGACTTGATGGGATGCCACCCTCTCTATAACGTATTATTAAATCCTCTCATTCAAGTTGTGTTGGTATGCTTAGTTTATCCAAGTTATTAAATCCTAGCGGGTGTTTATTCATACATCGCATTGAAACTCGGATGGTTGACCATGAAGGAAGAACTCGTGGTTCACAAGATCACATAAACTTAGATAAGTATTAAGATTATCTTTATTTAAATATAATAATTTAATTTATCTGAGCTAAAGAAATTAACGTGCATGAGGTAGAAGGTGTTAAGTGCTAAAGATGAAAATATATTGACTTCAGATAAATTGTCGAAAGGAGATTGCATAATGCCATTGGGTGAAGAGTTGCACTAATCGAGTGAGAAAGAAATCAGGAGTCCCTCTAAGAGTTGGGTTCATGGACATGACCTTGATTGGGTGGTGTCCAAGTGGGTTGAGTGGAATGAAGACCTCCTAACAAGTAACATGTCTATACTTACAATATGATCACACTTTATAGATAATTCAAGAGGAAATGGACATGAAAGTGAAAAGTCAACGGAATGTGCATTAAAAATTCAAATGGTGGAAACCTTATCATGAATTGGTGATTTAATGCAAATAAGATACATTACCTTGTTGAAAACTTGTACCCACTTTATGCAAACTCATTTTATGGTCAACTCCGTCCTATGAATTGCAACATAATAAAAAAAATGTAGTAGGATAAGAGTAGCATTTTTATAGATCATGGAGCCAGGGGGTGAGTTGATTTAAGTTACATAAAAGTATATGTTTATGAGCTCGATAATTCAAATCAGGATGTAGAAAATGTTGGATATAGGATGGTGCTACATTCGGTTCGAACGCCGAAGCATCTTAACCCCTACATGACGCAAATAAACCATTTTTTCTCTCCAAAAAGATGCAAGAAACCATGATTCAGGTAAGACATGAACCAATTGAGAAGACGCACTGATGAGGAAAATAGTCTGGAGGTCTGGAGGAATTATTCAATCCATCCGGGTATGTGAAAATTTTCTCTTTTTCATTCAATCACTGAAATCTCACCAGTAGACGGCGAGGTCGCACCAGATGCTGCTCGAGTCCCCAAAAAAATGCCTGGGAAGACGGAGCAGTCCACATTGCTGCCACGGACGGCGAAGGCCGGCTCTAACCCGGGGAAGCTTCCCAGAATACATCCAAGGTGGCCATGAGGGGGGGAGCAGGGCTATGAAGCTCCACTACAGATTCAGCATCAGATGGTAGATATCGGAGGTGGATGCGCAGAGAGAGGCAGCTCCGAGATCGGGGTGGAGTGGAAGCTGCGGCTGCGGGGGACCAGCGGGTATCGAGTCCGGCTGGTTGTTGGAGTATATTGCCTTGGAAGAGGCAGCGCCAGCGCTGCGATTGTTCTTCTTCCGGAAGCCAGAACCAATTGGGATGCGCCGGAGGGACCCGCCCCTGTTCCAGAGGCGGTCGCGGCTCTTGCAGAGGGTGGCGGCCCACGGTGATGCCATGGCTGTTATGGTAGCAGAACTTGGCGTTAGTCGACTCGCATGGGTGACACCACAGGTTCTGCACCGAAGCGTTTCTCCGGCGAAAGCGAGAAGGGGGAAGAGGGTGGGGGAGGTGAGGATTTAAACCCGCTTGACTTGGGATATCAGACATCAAAAGACGGGAAATGAGAGAGATCAGAAAACGCTAATACGATCCAAAGAGAGAGTCCACACGAGTCCCCGACGAGGGGGGGGGGAGGCGGGGTTGGGGTGTTCATTGCTTATGACGTAAGCTAACACGCTCTCCAACCCACTGCCACTGTGTGGGTCTGACGCCGCGTGGCGGCTGGCCTCCCGTGAGCCGAGCAACGTCCCTGACCCACCGCCCATCCGGCGGCTCTCGAGGAGAAGAATCGTAGCTTCTAAGGTTGTAATGCCGGGGCGCCGGCAAGGGGCAACCGTCAACCCAGCACGGAGCTTCTAGACCGAACCATTGACGATCTCCAAGCCAAGAGATCTAATGGCTATCGTAAAACACAACGCCCCCCCGCGGATGCATCCGGGAGAAGGTCGTCTAGTTCGTGATTATTGTAAATAGGGAATGTGGTTTCTAAGGATGCACTTGGCGTAGTAGGTTGGCGGCATCGAAGTTAGCGACTTTTATTGCTCACGATGAGGTGCACCCACTTGCATTAATGCCAAGAGTTCTGATTAAGAGGGTAAATCTCTGATGGTCAATCCTGGAGAGAGAGTTGTGTAGATAAACAGTGAGAGACCGAGTAAATTTTTTGTCATCGCTACATCGGAAAATGTCAATGTAGGCAAAAGTGGCAAAGTAGACACCTTTGGGCAAGTCATATGCTTTGCTAGGCAGCATATGGGGTCCACCAAGTTCTCTCGACAAGTTGATATGATGAACTAGCTTTCATGGTTGAAGGCATGGTTGAGATTTGGGTATGTACTTCCTCTTCCCCTCCTTGATATGCTTAAGTTGTATATGGCACCATAAAATTTGTTTAGGGAAAAAATATGGGCCCTCTCTCTTTCTCTTTACCCCTTACTCCCTACCATTCAAAATAGACCAATATTATCTTGAGCGTATGATAACTCACTCTTCATATAGGCCATGGAACAAGTTTGAAAACAACTTTTTTGTTGATTGCATTACAATCATTTTTGTTAAATAGAAAATCAAAGATCTAGATACTTAATTTGCATCATTTAAAGACAACCCAATTAGATATACCACATTGCGAGATATAGTTCCACTATTTTTATATTGAAACACAAATGTTTGATAATAAATGAAGAACTGTAGACTTGGTCATACTTCATACGTTTATACAATAATTATTAATTACCATGCATAGATGAAGTTTGTATTGATTATGAGGACCAAAGTGAATATTTATGATGCCAAACTTTCTAGCTGGTGGTTGAAGACATCAGAATTGACATTGTGGTGACGAGACAATGGCATGAAGCAAAGAGACAACATTGTTGAAAATAAATCTTTATTCATTCAATACCACATAATATTATAGTTTTTTATATTCTCAAATATTTTATAATGATCACACGATGTATACTTTTTGACTTTATGTCTAACATTGGTAAGGACTAGATAAGTAAATCTCCATTGTATTCAGGTTGTCTTAAGCAGGCACATTGAGTATCTTAGCTTATGTTAGATGTTTAATTAGCACTTATTGGAAGGCATGAAAAATATTTCAACTATAATTATTTAAGAAAAAATTATGGACGAGTAAGTTGAAGTTATTAATTAAACCATGAAAGTTTTCTTTTGTCGTCTCGTGTTTGATCAAATTGTATTATTTGAATGAATTTATTTATATTTTAGTGATAAAGGTGTATATTATTTATCTAGTTCCAAAAAAATACCAAATCATGAGGTTCTCGTTTGAGGAGACTACAATGATCTAAACTGGAGTACATGGTCAGTTATTTAAGAATGTCAATAACGTAGAAAATAACGCTCGGATTTTAATCGTAGAATAAATGAATGTCTGGTAATGTAAAGTCCTGACGACGACAGGGTGCTGATGAATAGTCACCAGGTAGTCTCATTGCCTAGGTTCGCCGGTTGTCCTGTGATAATATTTCTTCGAGGCCAATCAAGGGGAGAGGGGCGGAGGACCTCGTCGCCATCCTCCTTCCCACACCGCTTAGTGTACGTGAAGGGAACTTCACGAAGACCGCCTCATGATGGTTTAACCGAAGGGGAAAACTCCTCAAAGAGACCCTCCCCCTTCCTCGCTCCACGAAGCATCAAAGAGCCATTATTCGTAAAAAGCAACTAACAGAGAGATAAGCTAGTACAAAAGGGGGAGAAGAGGCGATGACAAAAGTATTCCGGAAAATTTGCAGATCCATGGTGTTCATTACATCCAAGCAAATGAAAATCCTTCGCTCTCCTAAGATGGGCAAAACAAGAGAGATAGCGGTACGGCTGTCCGTTCCGTTTTATTCAGCAGAATCCTAGTTCCCTCTGGCATTCATCCATTGGAAGCTTCCCCATGTAGACGGCAGAGGTCGCGTCAGCCGCTGCTGGGGTTCCCTGAAAGCTTTTATGGCGTTGGCGGCGGCGGGGGTGTCGACGCACCTCCATTGGGGAACCTCAGAAGATCAAGGGTGGTACATCCCACACTGCTTACACCACGAGGGGCGATGAAGCCCGGCTCCTCCTGGAAGTTACCCATAACGTTGCGGAAGATGGCATCCGAGGAGAGAAGGGCGGTGAAGCTCCCCGTCATATTCAGCATCAGGTGGTCGATTTCGGTCGTCGATGCGTACAGCGAGGAGATGGACTCGGTGTTAGGGTGGTAGAGTGGCGGCTGTGGCTGCGGGATGGCGGTGGGGATTATGGCTGGGTGGTTGTTGGAGCGCTTGGCGGCGCCACCGCCGCGCTTCGTGTTCTTCCGGGACCGCCCCCCGATGGGGATGTTCCGGAGGGAGCCGCCTTGGGTCCAGTGGCGGCCACAGCCCTTGCAGAGGTACCGGGGCTGGGTGATACTGTGGTTATTAAAGTAGCAGAACTTGGTGTTGGTAGACTCGCACCGGGGACACTGCAGCTTCTGCTCCGCCACCACCACAGCCGCCGCCGCCGCCGCCGTTGGATGCTGCATCTTCTCTCCTCCCCCTCTTTCCTTCCTCCGAGGCGTCGATTCCTCCAGAGGCGTTACTCTCTCCTGCCTTAGAGAGAGACAGAGAGAGGGAGAGAGAGGAAGAGAACAGTGTGAGAAGAACGCTCGCTCAGCGGCATCATATAGAGAACGGGGGGGTGTAATAAAAGGAGAAAATAGGGATTCTTTGTCATCCTCGACGACAGCTCCACGAGGAAGAGCAGCTTGAATATCCATGCAATTGCACCGGGATGAGGATTGCCTGACACGGGTTAAAGCCTGCGTTAAAACCGCTGTTCCGCCTGAGCTGGTTCAGATGGGGGGGTTTAATGACCAGTCCACACAAACCTTCGGCGAGGGAGTCGCGGCATTGCGTTCGAGGGAAGATAACGCTGGCCGCCGCACGCTTCCCGCACCACCCCCCACCGAGCTGAGCCGCGGACGCGTGGTGGCGCGCACCCACTGTCCGCCGAGCGCCCGCTGTGACCCGACCCTGCCCATCTGGCGGTTCTCGAGGCGCGGAATTGCGGCTTGTGGCTCCTAACGGGGGCCTTAGCACAACACGGCCAAGGGAATTATAGTCAACGAAGGCATACTAGTTGAGTCTTAAGCACAAGATAAACTAAACCATTCATTGTTGTTGAGTGGGGGAGATGGTTTATTGTGATTATGATAGTTGAGGGGGAGTGGTTTCTTAAGTTGTACTCACGTCGTAGGTTATCTCTGAGGTTGTCGTCATCGAAGAAACCTCAAAGAATTAGTGCTCAAGATGTGGTGCAACGACCCACATTAATGTTAAGATTTGTGATTTGAAGGTGAATCCATGATGCCAAAAATGGAAGGAGAGCCTTTGGATAAGCAGCGTGATACGTGAGATATGACATTAGTAACTGTCGGCGACACCAGTGTGAAGATGACACATTGGCTCTCTAGGCATGCAATTTGAAAATTGGGTCCCACATGGAAGAAAAATTGTCAAGCAGAATTATTATGTGAAAGAGTAATCATGTCCTTTTTGAATCGTGAAAGTGTAAAGAAAAAATAAATGATATCATAAGAATTTACAACTCAAAGTAGATGATGATATCTTATACAAGTAACTGAACCAATCACTCAAATTTATCTTCATAAGAATTTCCCCAAGGTTATTGGAATAAGACATAGAACCAACAAGTTGTGCAAACGTAGTAGTGGAGGTAAATGCAATGATGGTGAATTGATTTTAGAAGTTATATCTTGATGATAATAAATATGATGTTTAATATATTAGTTCTGAAGAGGTTGTAATAGGAACCAAAAAAAGGGGAGCTGAAATGATATTCCTTATGTCACTCTTGAATTCGTTGTTGTCTTCTCAAATTATAGAAGTTAGAATTTATAGCAATTCAGTTCATTTTACCTACTCCACTCTTTAAGGGACATGTTCTTATGTTTCATTAAACTACTAAAGTGGTACAAATGTTGACCAAAGTTGTAGTTTATATCCACTAATTTTCATGGCTTCAACCAACAAAGATAGCATTTAGAAATGGTTCTTTTAGATTCACAACTCCAAAGGGCCACCAAGATCAATACTTGACTAATTATTTATAAATTCATAGCTTTGAGTTGACTAATATTAGAATTATTCAATTATAAATCAAGAAAAAAAATAATATATTATTTTTTCAATTTGACATATGACTCATATGGAATGAATTACTTAGCCTAAATAGGTGGAAACAACATATAGAAGAGTTTTGAATAGTTGATGTGGTGTAGAAGCTATTGGATTTAAAAACAATATATGACTAAAAAAGGGGTTGTGAATTAGTTGTTGCTTAATTTTTAGCCTCACCTCTTTCGTTAAAATTTTATTTTCTCTATTTCCATTCTGATAAAATTCTTATGGAGAAAATAAGATTTATTTTAGTTTGATTTACCCAACCTACTACATTCCTTATGAGCTAGTCTTTGGGTTCAATAACACTTAATTGAATTTGACACTTCAAAGACCTACTATTTCCATATTTATGAATTTATGAGATTTAAAAAACTTAAAAGAAACTATTTTCTACATTTATGACATTTAGAGGCCATTGCTTCAAATTTCTCTTGAAAATTATCTTCTTAATTTATGATTCTATGAGGCTAAAATCATATAGAATAACTATTCTACTCAAATAAGTTACCATATTTCTAATATTTTGGGATTTGACCCACACTAAGATCAAGAATGGGGAGTTGAAGTGGATTGTTCTTATATTTTCATTCAATTGAATCTATTTTAATATATTTAGCTCCTCCTTTCTTTTATGATTAGTATATCTTTTATAGTTTAGCAAACATAAGATTGTTTTTTATAGTTGTTCAGTTCAGTACTTATGTCCACTCTCTAAGAACAACTTTGTTATTGGGTTTTACTAATTATGATTATCTAATCACACATCACTAATAACTGAGTTTAATTTCTACATAATTAAAATTCTTTTCTAGTTTCATAACTCTATGAGGTCAATTAATGTTTAGGAGAATAACTCCTAGAAGTGATTAAAAAATCTCACATTTTTTATGACAATAGATATGTATGAAATGATTTCACTGTAAGTAGTATTTTGAGATGATGTAGACTTTAAGTAATTTCCAAATTTCTAATGAAGAGGATGATATATGTTGTCTTCTGATCATGGTCTTCTTCTTGTTTGAATTTTAGCTATAAATTAAATAATCTTTAAACTTCAAACAAGTTGAGAATGATCTTTCATTACCCGAACAATTCTCTTTGAGTAATGACTTCATGTAGCTTGACTTACCAACACAAACCTCATTGTTTCTTGCTTGAATTTCCTATGAGAAAGATGTAATGTGAAGCTAAAAGTTGTTGAGATGACAAAGATAATCATTCTCTCTTAATCTGATTGTTGGAAGATAGTAAAATTTATAAGCAAATTTTGTATGAAAATCTTTGTGATCTTCATGATTTCCTAACAACTATGTTCTCCAAAAATATTATTAATTAAAATAACTTAAAAATTAATATGATGTCCTTTAAACAATTCATATATATTAATGAGAATCAATAGGTAGTTCCTTTATCACATAACATTTATATCCGAATCATATCAATTCATAATAATCTATTAAGGATACAATATTGTAAGAGTATAATTGATAAAACATATCTCATCAAAATCAAGATAAAATGGTCAAAATTGATTCAAATCATTTCAAATAAAGTGTGAAGTTCAAGATGACATCTTGATTAATGATCTCAATATATCATATCATGATTTCAGTGATTAGATAATAAATGTGATTTTATATATATTTATTACTATTTAGAAAATCTTATTTTTAGATATACTCCATTAATTCAAGGTTAAAATATTTCAAAACCTATAATGTAAAATCATGGATTCATAAATTATTGATTAATAATTATTCATACTATTATCACTCAGTTAACATCATGAATCAAAAATACACTTGATAAGTTTTCAAATGAAATTTGATTATTAATACTTTTAATTAAACTTGATTATACATAAACTATTCATAATTGGTTAATTTAATTGTTATTAAACTTATTTGTCATAATCAAAGCATCATACACATAATGTTTCAACACAATCAATACATTATACCGCAACAAGAATAAGGAACATTTGTTGTTATTGTTTTGATGCTTCTTGAAATAATTTATCATTATGTTTTGAAGTATAATATAAATATTCAATCAGATATCTATAAAATCTTTTGATCTATTATTGAATAATCTTTGTGTAGAAGATAGGTTGAATACCTCGAGTAATTATGTTTTGTTCTTATTTTATAGATCTTTAAGATTAGTAGATACAATATCATTATAGGATTTAATGTATATTATTTTATGACAGTAGATACTCAAGAATGATTAAAGATATCATTATACTTAATAAGCTTAATCTATGATATAAGAACACAATATTTCTTGAAGTTTAAAAATAACTCAAAGTAATAACATCATATATTTAAATATAAATTCAAAGAACATAATAATAATTCATAATGCTAAATTATGTAATTTAGTGATTTTTTTTTTAAAATATTATTTTATATATTACTATAAAAATGTCAATATTTATAGAAATTGTCATAATTAGAAAGTAAAAGTTATCTCATCTAAATCAATGAGGATATTTAAAGTGTAACATGAGTTGAAAGCCTATTTAATCTATTATGTGTTCATGATATTAGATTATTATTTCAATTAATTTTAATATCAAATTAATTGATAGAGCTTCCACTCATATTGTCAATTATTATTTTTTAAATTATTAAATATAAAACTATTTCAAATATTTATAATATTAAAATTATAATATTACATATTGAGGTTGTGATTCAATTTGTTTACTTGACGATTGTAATTTATTTGAGATGATTTAGATCAGTTTCTATTGAAAATGATTACTTTATTTTGAGATATCTTATTGATTCTATTTCAAAGACGATGGATTTCTAATAAACTTTATGGAATTGATAAGTTTTAGAAATATATGTTGGTACTTAACCTTCAGAGATTGATTTCTCAAAAAGATATTTGAACCTTTAGAGATCATGTCGTATTGGTTTTAGTAATTTGAATTTCCTACTAATTTCAAAATGTAAATGTGTAAAGACTGTAGAAAATATTAGAAGTTTTTAAACAAACATATTTATAAATTCAGCATGAGTCCAATGACTAGTTAATTTGAGCATTCATCTCACACTCCTCTATCATCTAGAGAGTTCTGCTAACGTTTTATGTAGATATTTCTATGCAAACTTGAAAAATCTTCCTACCAAAGTCAAATGAAATATCGTTGTGTAAATAAGGTAACTTGATGTTGATTTACATTTTAGGGTTTAAATAAAAATATGATGTGAAAACTATTGATTTTTGGTCGTGTAAACTTGGGGGTCCTCAGCTCTTGACTAGGTGAGCTTGTTAACGAACAGCCACTTGGGGTTGTAGAATTTGTCTGATAATTGTTCTTAGGTGGAAGATCTCAGAAAGAAGATCATGTGTGTGCGTGTGTGTGTGTGTGTGTGTGTGTATGTGAGAGAGAGAGAGAGAGAGAGAGAGAGAGAGAGAATCACATGGATCTAAATCCTGTGAGGAAGAAGATCACCAAATGGAAAAAATCCCCAAAACTAAGAGAATTACTAAACTACTTCGGCAATTGCAGTTCTTCCTTCACAGGGCACCCGACACCCATCTACATCTTTATGAAAACATAGGATTGACCTAAAATCCCATGCCCCGAGAAAAAAAATCCCATCGAGATCATGCGTCTAATATGATTAATGGGTAAGGTCATCGGACGTAGTAACCAGCGAAGGCAAACCCTCTTCCTATTATCTCAACAACGCAGAACTGGGGCATCCTCGACACTGATATCAGCTTTGTTCTCCATATCTGCTCCACACAATCTAGTTCTTTCAAAAACGATCATGGCGACTAGGAACTCCGTCGATATTGAACAGACAAACTGAGAAGAGAAACTTTAGATTCATTCCTAATGGGTTGTTCTGTAAATGACTTAAATAGAATACTGAGATAGAGACATTTCAATTTATCCCTAGATGCATGGTTATTCGAATGATTTTGATAGAAAACCGAGGAGAGAGATTTTCTACTCAGAAAACCCCAGAATCGGAGTCAGGGAGGGATCTCTCTGAAGCAATGTATCAGTAAATAAATATAGAAGAGAGTGCACTCACGTTGCCACACATCATTCCACAAGAGGATAGAAACTTTGCCGATCAGCGTGCAGGTCAATCTGTTCAAAAAAAAGATGACTGCGAGAGTCTGAAAATAAATGACTTCCTCATCAGTGCTGCGAACAGTGAAACATTACAGTGCTGTGTTGCAGATACCAAAGTAATGCCACCCATGGTCAAATCCAAATCCAAATCCAAACCTCTTTATCTTCGGAAAGATGATAGCCAGCAGTTAGGTTAGACCTACTAATTTCACTGTTCACTCCGATTTGATTATCCCGGCAGACATAGATTTCCAAAAAGCGGACTAGAAAAAAGGAACTCGAGATCGCAAGTGGCCGATTGAATGTGAGAAAAAACGTCATGTGTTAGCAGATCATCGATATCTCCAGGTCTCCGCGGGATACTAGAAACTATAGCCGATTGCAGAAACAAGCCTGACAACTCCTCGTCCGGCATTGAAGCCCAAGCCTCATTGCCGAGATACCGCCCTTAGACAAACAGACAGGCAAGATATCGCAATCCGAGCCTAACCCCGGGGTGCCACGGCCAGGGATCACAACCCTGAAATAACAATTTAGAAACCACCGCTCTGTGCGCCAAATCAGGGGAGCAGAACCCGGAGCGAAGATCGGCGCGCACCGGATTCCCCCTCTCTTGACAGCCGCCGGAGAGGTGGAGGTCGAAGATGGTCTCTGCATTGATAAGAGACCTCCGGCAGAGTTGGAAGGCCACTGTAGCTTCCACCTCCCTTCACCGCCGGTTTCGTCACTCAAATCGGGGGAGGGAGAGACTCCCGCAAAAGCGGTTACGATCGGTCAACTGTCTGTTCGGTCCCGGCCCACAAAAAAAGCACGGCCCAGAGGTAGATGGGCCGGATTATTGGGTCCGGTAACCATAAAAGGCCCACAGCCCGTTGGCACATATGACGAGGATTCTCTTGCACCGCCTCATCGGACGAGGAGGGGTGGCCCATGTGGCTCGTAGCGCGGTGAGCTGGCGAGAGTCAATCGGGAGCTGCCATCAGGCAAGCGCACGTGTGCGTCCTTAGTGGGTGGGGTATATTTGTCTTTGCACTAGGGACATTAACGTTGGGCTCACAGTAGTGACTTAACTCGCTTTCAGGAGCTGGAGCGATGGTTTCCGTCGAGGGAGGGGATCATATAAATAGGGAATTAGGGGAGTGGAAGTTTCGCTAGGGCGAAAGAGGAAGAGGAGAGGAGGGAGACGTCGTCATTCCTCCGTTTTGTCGATCGATCGATCGCCGATCAGGTCCTCTGCTCCCCTCTCCGCGTTTCTCTCTGAATCCGTTCCGATGAGGGGTGGCTGGACGGGGGGTGTGGAGGCGTGGGTCGGCCGATCGGAGCAGCTGAGCAGGGGGGAGGGGATCTGATCTGGGGAGCAGTCGTCGTCGATGGTTGCCTGTAGGCGTCACTGATTCTGCGAACGGTTTCTGTCGAATTTGATCGGAGTATGAGCGGCAAGAGCGGGGAGGACGCCGGACAGCTGGCCCCGGGGCCGCGGCCGCCGCCGTTGGAGTGGAAATTTTCTCAAGTGTTCGGCGAACGGACGGCGGGAGAGGAGGTCCAGGAAGGTACGCCCTTTTTCGCCTTATGCCGCTATTTGGTGGCAGTATCTGTCGCTATCTGGTCTGCTGTAATTTTTTCATCGTTTCCTCATATTGCTGTCCTCTCTTCTCAAGATTCCTCAGGAGCGTAGGTTGCATTCCCCTCTTCGTTCGAATTTTCTTTTGGGATATTCGTCGGATTTTGATCACGTTTTATGAGTTTGCTTGCTTAACTCTTTGGACAGCGGGTATATTTGGTGCAGAATTTCATCCCATTGATAGCCGGGTAATTTTTGAAATATATATATATATATCTCTGAAGGGAGCCGTACATCTGTTGTGTGCTGAAATATTGTAGCCTCAGTTGCTGGGATCTTTATTTTCCTTCTCCCATCCCGATAAATAGGTCAATCAAGTGGAGCTCTAATTCTCGATCGTCACCAAAGCAAGCATGATTTAGTATTTACCTTTCACTGTCAAAAATATGTGCGAGTTTATCTTAGTAGTATGACTGTTCAGTCTGTACTAAGACTATGAAATGCGATTTTTCAAGAATTAAACCATTCATACAGAAGTATTTCAGGACATAATTGCCTCCATCCTCATTCTTCCTGCTTCCACCCCAAATGATTTTTTTTTTGGTTTGGCAGTATATTCCATGTACAGCGTAGATGTGCATCTCTTTTCAACGTATCATATCATCTGTATTTTGTGTCTCTAAAGTTTAAGCTGAATTTATCTAACTTAGTTTATATTCAATAAATGAGACGAGTAATAAATGAGGCAAAATTCAAGCAGATGTTCTCAAAAAAATGTGCTCACCCCAGAGTAATCTCGGTCAAGTCTCTCAAGCCTTGTATCCTTAAAATATTGGACGGGAATCTTTCATAGAAATTTCTCTTTTGGGTATTTTCCAACTGCTCATTTTACACCTAGGCAGGTTTTAGTTTGGATGAAGAAGTTCAAATGAGAACTCATTAACCAAAGGAATCTTATGTTATTTTGCCCATCTCAAATTGCCAGTCTCCTTTAAAGATTAATGAAATCTAACAAAATCAGTAGTAACTTTTACGTCCATAATTTAGGACATTTTTGATTCATTATGCTAATTTCACTTATAGGAGCAGTGTATTGAGTTTTTCTGTACAAATCTTGTCTTATGACATAAGTAACTCCATATCACCGTGTAATAATTGAGCATAAACTGTCCTGTTACAGCTCAGTTAGCTTCTTCTTTTTTTACCATTTTAGCTCCTTTTTATCATTTAGTATTAGAACCCCGTTTGGGTGCTCTAACACTTGACATTAGCTGCTCTAATATAGATTGCCAAATTCCTGTTTTCTTACTGACTATCTTTGTTGCTTGCCGCCTCCTGCAGTTGACATCATCTCTGCAATTGAATTTGACAAATCTGGTGGTCATCTTGCTACTGGTGACCGAGGAGGCCGTGTTGTTCTGTTTGAAAGAACAGATATCAGAGATGTATGTCTAGCTGCTAGTAACTTTTTTCTCTTACTTTAATGTCTTCTGTACCTTGTTTGTCACGCTTTCACTATTTTCAGTTCCCTTATACCTTTTTAATCTCTTCATGCTATTACATCTCCTGAATAATTGATGATGTAATTTGCAGCAAAGCGGTCAAAGATCTCTAGAAAGGTTAGATTATCCAGTTAGGCATCCTGAATTTCGCTACAAAACTGAGTTCCAAAGCCATGAACCAGAGGTACTTATCATTTGTATTGTTTGTGATCAAAGTGTCGACTATTCATTCCTTTATACAATTTTGACTGACCACGCTCTCTCTCTCTCTCTCACACACACACACACACACACACACAGTTTGACTATCTCAAAAGTTTGGAGATAGAAGAGAAGATAAACAAGATTCGCTGGTGCCAAACAGCTAATGGCGCCCTGTTTATTTTATCAACTAATGACAAAACGATAAAACTATGGAAGGTATCTCCTGTTCATTAAGCAAGTATACTAATCTCCTTTGGAATCAGTGAATCTGCGGACAATATTCCTTATCTTTCATAGATGTACACACATGAATTTGCTGGGCATGGTGACTATGTTTCTTATGTTGTTTCACGTGATGCCTACTATGATGCTAGTTGGAGGCCATAAGGTGAATGTGTTCACGTTTTGCTATTTATCTACGAATTTCGTCTGAGTTTCTATTGCATCACTCTTTTTGTATTTGGTAACTTTTGTTTGAAGATGACATAGTCTTGTTTGATAGAATATGTGTCAGGCTTTTAATGATCTTTCTTGTTGCAAGGATTTATTTCTTGTTGTTTCCATTGGGTTCAGAGAGAAAAGCGTTTTTTCAACGATAATACATCTTCGAGAGGTAATGTCGGGGGTCTAAGGTAGACTGATATGATATGTTACGGTGGAGGAGTGGTTGCATTTTTTTTTGCATTTTAATGAGTATCCTCTACTATTTTTACATGAGTCTAGGAATTGTCTTTTACTAGATTTTGATGTGTTATATTAATATTTATGCATGTTAAAAACGTATACAAGGATTTATTCTATTTATTTATGTGGATTCATCAAATTTCAGGGTAAGATTTAAGAGTTGTTTGCATAATATTATGTGAATTAATTTTAACATATATTAATGCGTACACCCTTATTATGCATATTTTGGGAAACTATGCCGATTTTCTTGATCATCATCCCTACTTTTCTTCACCTGTTTTGAGCTGATTTCGACGTTCAAACAATGAGCAGCATCCATATTTGCAAATAAAATGCTCTTTATTTTGATCCTATTTTTGGTTTTTTTCCTGTTCAGGTTCAAGAAAAGAAAGTGAAAAGAATTTCAGAAATGAATTTGAATGTATCACAAGGTTTAGGAAATGGTAGCATTGCGAGTTCAAGTACAGCTAGTTCAAAGGCATTTCTTCCAAATGGCACTTACTCAGAAAGTCGCTACAATTATCTGACCAAGGATTTCTCATTTCCTCCTGGAGGATTTCCTTCACTCCGTTTACCTGTGGTAGTTGTATTCAACATATTCCTTATATTTTATAATGTTTCAGATAGCGTATGCTGTTTTCTGTAGAGTGGAGTATCTTGTTCCTGACCATTATGGAATTTCTACATGTTGTGTTGAATTCTAAAATCCACTTGCGGGTTTTTTGGCTAGAGTATCAATCAAACTTGCAAACCTGAAAACAGGTGCAGGCTTCATGAAACTTGGTTGCTTCTTGTATATATATCATATGACTGGGAAACATAGAGTGTCAGGATACTTTGATTCAAAATGCCAGAACTTTCTGTAAACAACTTACTTGCTTAGCATTTCGTTTCAGTGTTTAGATGTGTATGAAACCTTCGTATTTGTTGATAGGCTATGTAATTTAAGGGTGAACTTTCTCGTCTTTGTGCTCTTAAACATAAATATGAGGGAATAAACTAATATTCTGTGCATCTCTATGTTTAGGTAATTGAGAATGAGACAAGCCTTGCTGCTAGATGTCGAAGGATCTATGCTCATGCGCATGATTATCATATCAACTCCATCTCGAATAACAGGTGTGCATAATCTGTACATTTGACAGAATTATGGTTGTAAATTGTCAAGCTTTCTTTTACTCTGCCATTTAATCTGAGGATAGTATTTTCCCTGAATTTTTAACAGGTTGTTCTACTTTTTCCAAATTCTTAGTTGTCCTGTGACATTAGATATCTATAAAAGAGGTGCTTGTTACCTGAGAGTTATGCCGGGCTTAAAGTATTTATATTTATCATGATATGTCGTATGGAGCTGACCTCTGAGTAGAATCTGTTGTTTTGGGCTGTCTGGACATAGTCTACAAGTTGGTTCAGGTTGGTCCGAGCCTCAGCTTCTTAGCGATAATCTTTGACTCCAATCTACTATTTTTCTAGCAACTTCACGATACCAGTTTTGGCCAATCTTAAACTTTAGTCAAACTTGATCATCTCACTGAAGACGTAAATTTGCATAGGTTAATGTTATCCTTTTTTTTCTTGCAACGAGTGTTGTTATACTTTCTGCAACAAATATGCCACGTTTTGAAGCTAATGTCTTGCTGTGAAGGCACATGGTTGTGTTGTTGAAGTCAACTCTTTTTATGTTGAATAATAGATAAGTATGTCCCAGAGAATCACTTTGAAGAAAGGTTGATTCTCCTGAGCTCAGTATTTTTCTGATGCTAACTTAGATGTCGCAGACAGTCCTTTCATCGTGTTGAAATTAAGACTGATGAAGACACGCATGGTTGACTATTATTTAATTCAATTTTATTTAATTTAAGGCTTCAAGAAACGCTGCTGAGTTGTCCCCCCGGAAATCATTTAAAGGTCATGACAACTTTAAGGAATAGTTTTCTTTTAGAAAGGACCTTTTTGACATCTAGGTCAGTGTTTGGTCTCTGAGATAGGTATTCACTTGTAGGACAGCTCATACTTGCTTATATTCATGAATATGCCAGGATTGGACGGCAGCTGATTATTGTGTTTCTCCTTGTAACACCCAATTACCTTTGGCGTTTTGTTCATGCGCATGCTATGTAGGTTTCTTCAGTCAATGAATCGAGGTTGGAAAACTTTATTTATGGATAAAACCCACGTTGTGAAAATAGGCTGGCTTATCCATGACAATGATTGTTTCATTGTTTTATTTGGTGCCTGTTGGTTCTTATTGTACATTAGAGTCGTCGTTCAGGATGCCCTGACTAAACGGATTTTCACCATGAAATTGGTCCCTCCCTGTTAGCATGAAACGCTTTTTGTTGATCTTACTGTTAAAACCCAATCCCCCCACTACAGCGCGCACACACATCCCCAGAGAAAAAAAGAAGTAAAAAGCACATTCACGCACACGCACATGCACACGCACAGAGGTTTTTGAAGGGTCGTCACTAATTATATCACTTTTCCAAGGAGGAAAAGGAGAACTCTTCAGCCATCTGACCTCATAAGAGAAGGTCTTTGGTGCTAATTATCAAGTGCCATGCAAGATCCAAGCAATAGACTGTCATACTCATGACACGGAAAAGTGCAAAGTTTTCTTTTCTTGATTTTCATCTGCATGAATAGAGACATTTATGTACCGTGAAGATAGAAGTAGCCCAATTTAATGCGCTGTATCTTGTTTGAAATATCGTCCTGCTCATCTGCTGTGTCATACTTCCAGTCAAGTTTGAATATCACCAACGTTATCCTATTTTATTTGCAGTGATGGTGAAACATTTATCTCAGCTGACGATCTACGAATAAATCTCTGGAATTTGGAGATAAGCAACCAGAGCTTTAACATTGTCGATGTGAAACCTGCGAACATGGAGGATCTTACTGGTATACATTTCATGAGTTTTGAATGAGATCTATTGTATTTGAGTTTGTTCTTTGGCAGTTCATTTAAATAAAAGTTTCGTAACCATATCAGATGATTTCCATTAAAGTTAAAAACACAGATGCGAGGGGCTTTCTTAAATAGAAATTTGGTTGGATTTCTTAATTCTTTTTTGGAGGTTGGATGTAGGATTAGAAACAAGCAACCCCTAGTTATATGATTAAATAGTTTAACTTTTTCATGATAATTTTTGTTATCTTTGAAAGTCTGATGGCTGTCGATGTTGTTGTTTCCTTTACTGCACCGTGGGATATATCAGAGGCAGTTTTTTTTTTTTTAGTCTATTGCCTGTTTCTAAACAGTCCCTTTTTCCTTATGGTGTGTTTCTATTTTTCATTCATCTTTGACTTGGTGTTCAATCTAAAGCACACGTTTTTACAAGTGTGTACAAGTTATGCTGTTTTGTTTACTTGGTGCTCATCCAAGGCCACTATGAAAGCCATAATTTTGGAAACTCGCCTATGCTAAGTTAATGCTTGCTCTTAGACCCTGTTTACATTAATAAACGTGTTTGGCTGGGTGCCTTCCCATGGATGAATTTGTGTGCGATTGGGGCTTGCAAAAAATCATTTATGCGTCATTGCATTAGCCATTTAAAAATGTGTTATTTATCAGTGCCCATATTCAAAGGATATCATTCACAAATGCAGTCCCCAACTGAGGAAGCGGAATACTCATTCGCAAATGCAGCAATTGGCAGATGGCTGATGTTCTACTGAACGTGAACAGGCATTGAGCCAGTAAAAAAATGGGAATTTTAGAAAAAAAAAGTTACTTTTAAACGAGAGTTAATGCTTGAGTTATCAAATAATACAAGATATATTATTTAGTATGTATGTATAAATAAAATAAGATTTGAATGTATGAGTCGATAGTGTTTACGTATGAAATAATGTATAAATACTTATGATGCTAGTTATCAACATTCGCACATGTGTTATTTTATTTATTAAATACTTTTTTTAGTGATGATATGAGTATCGACAAAGAGGATCATCCAACCTTTGTGAAAATGAAATAACTTATCTACGTGTTTTCTTTCATAAATCAGGTTTGAAAATTGAATCGTCGACTCCTATTCTTATTGCTATTTTTCAAGTTCAGGTAAGGTTCATGTGGGTATTAGAATGAGCTCAGAATCTAGATTCGAGCAGGGAAACCCAAAGACAACCCTCCCTATATTTCTCTCACCTTCTTCCTTGTATCTTCGCTTCCTCATGACCTTAATCTGAGATTACCTCTGTTCGAAGAATGCCTATTACCCATTTTTAATGTTATCACGACGAATAGAAAGAATACGGAGAACTTGAGAGCCCACATCTTCTGTGGAATTGGTTTATATACCTTTGTACGTTTACGTTTGTCTACATATATGTCTAATATGAGCTCAAGGAAGTGCGAAAAGAAAAATACTTGTCAGGATCGTATCTGGAGGGTTTCCCAATGAACCTGTGATAACAATGAAGAAAATATTAATGGCTTGCTTTGCTTGCAGCTTTTTTGAAAATAGGGAGATGGCTCTAACCCTGTGTTATGACTAGAGAGAATAAGGAGAGTGGGAGAGCCCTGTTCTCAAACAATATTGTTTTGCATTTATGCAAGTACGAGAATTCAAAGAAGGGAAAAAAAGAAGAAGGAAAAAGTAGGAAATATGGGACAATTGTCCAGCGAATATATTATCATCTCTTAAGGTATTTTAGCTGGTGAAATTTATCTCAATTTTGACTGTGCACCTTGTCAAGAACGGTGATACCCACCACTGTTGAAGGGGAAAAAATCGCCAGATGAAGTCAACATTGTCATCTGTTTTGACCGATGTATTATACCAGTTTAGAGAAAAAAAATGGTTTTTATTTGGTATTTTAGCCACCCTTGGATTCTAGTGGATTTTAATTATCACATGATCTTTTTTTTTAATCTTTTTGAATTTCGCATAGATGATGAATGTTTAGTCCTCCTTTTTTTTATTTAGTTGTTTTTTATTTTTTGAAAAGCTTAGCAATATAATTTCCATGTTCTTGGAATGACAAGTCTTAAAGTCAGATGCATATGAGCTTGACCTCGCATATTGTTGCAGAGGTGATAACATGCGCAGAATTCCATCCTTCCCACTGCCATACGTTGGCATATAGCAGTTCAAAGGGATCTATCCGGCTTATTGACCTGCGGCAATCGGCATTATGTGACAATCATAGTCAGTTGTAAGCTATTGCCTGCGACATATCCTCGCTTTGTTGATCTTCTTATGTCCGCACGCCTGCTTAGCTAAAGCCATCGTTGAACTGCTTGAACGTAGATTTGAAGAGCATGAGGCACCTGGTTCAAGGTCTTTTTTTACCGAGATCATTGCCTCAATATCTGATATCAAGTTTGGAAGGGATGGAAAGCACATCTTGAGTCGTGATTACATGACTCTTAAGGTCTGTTGGTAGCCGGTGGAATTTTTTTAAAAATGATTTTTAATTATTTTTTTATTTTTAAGGCACGCCTTTTGGCATTAGAATTTTTGATAAGTGACCCACATGCCTGGAATAATTAAATGCATTATATTTCTTCTTTACTTGATTACTGTTTGCAGGTGTTTTTTTCTTATTGCAGTTTTAAGAAAGAAAACTTCAGAGCTTGTTATATAGTTTTTGATTAGAAACATGGACATCTATGCGATGAGTTCACATTTCTTCACTCTGTGATCCGCTGACTCTCACCCTTCTTTCTCTCTGTCCTCAGCTCTGGGACATCAACATGAACTCTGGACCCGTCGCCACCTTCCAGGTCCATGAATACTTGAGGCCAAAGGTATATATATATATCTAGAGAGAGAGAGAGAGAGAGAGAGAGAGAGAGAGCCTTGCAGAGGTCTCTGGAGAAGCTGCGGCTGAGTTGACTTCTTCCTCTTTTGCAGCTATGCGATCTTTACGAGAACGACTCCATTTTTGACAAGTTCGAGTGCTGCCTCAGTGGAGATGGGCTCAGGGTGGCCACCGGCTCTTATAGGTAAGATCCATGCCCTTTACACAGTAGAGCGTAGATTCAGTTTCAGCAGCCAGCGATCCCCTTCCTGTTCATCCCGCAGCAACGTGTTCCGCGTCTTCGGCGTTCTTCCCGGGAGCACCGAGAACACGACCTTGGAGGCTAGCAGGACTCCCATGAGGTCCGGCCCCTAGAACATAAACTTTCCTCCTATGGAATAAAACATGATCCAATTTGCTCAAACTCGGAACCAATGCAGGAGGAACATCCAGAGCCCCGCGAGGCCGGCAAGGTCTCTGAGTAACCTGACCCGGGTCGTCCGCAGAGGTCGGTCTTCCTTCCTGGCCCCAGCAGCAGAGCCTGGTTTTCTTACTTTAAATTCTTCATTGGGAGGTGATGCCACCTTGTATGTGAATCTATGGCCGCAGGATCAGAGAGCCCCGGGGTAGACGCCAATGGGAACTCCTACGACTTCACCAGCAAGCTGCTCCATCTTGCTTGGCACCCGACTGAGAACTCCATCGCCTGTGCCGCCGCCAACAGCCTGTACATGTACTATGCCTGAAGCCGCTGCCGCCACTGCCGCCGCTGTGAAGCCCATATTTTTGGCCTGCTCCCGATCTAATCCGCCAGCCCGACCGGGAAGGTTCGCTGAATCATACCATTTCCAGGAAGATGCCGTCGGAGGGGGCAGCCCTCTGATGGAATGGGTTCTCTTCTCTCTTTTTAATCCTTTTTCTGAGGGAAGGGGAGGAGATGAGATCCGGCTAACCCTCTCTGGATTTCTGTTGTCCAGGTCAACGGCCACGCCGAAGAAGACTTTAGTCTTATTGTTCCTGCTCATTCTTTGGTCGGCCCGGCTCCCCCCCTTCCCCCCCCCCCCTCCCCCCAATAACGGTACTCCCTCTGACCCCAACACTCTGTAATCCCGTGGAGCTCCCCCTTTGCTTTCGGTCAGGCTTGTGTTTATCCCATGTGTATCAAGGAAACACCACAATTGATCAATGATTATTGCTCTCTCTCCCTCTCTCTCTCTCTCTCTCTCTGAGTCCTGTCCATGCATCTACCTACCTGCTAGGTGGGCCCTGTTCTTCCATCTCATCTCTCTCTTTCTCTCTCTCTCTCTCACTCTCACTCTCCTGCAAGCGAGAGAGAGAGAGAGAGAGAGAGACCCACATTTTAACAGACTCAATTACAGGACCAAAATGGGAAATATTTTGTCTCAGTAGGATGAAATATCAAATCCCCTCAGAATGTGGCCCATTTTGAACCGTGCAAAAGTCTCCACTAACTTGTATTTTCCCTCAAATTATTCTCCTCTTACTAGTATTTACCTCGCATTAGAGGTGACTTAATTGGATATGCTTTTAATTTGTAAAGTATTTAACCTCGTTAACTAAAAAACGGTATTTTTATTCTAATGAATACAAATAATGATGGGTATCACGATATATGGTTTCTAAAAATATTAATATTTCCCCTCCTCTCTCTCTCTCTCTCTCTCTCTCCTAATCAGCAGATGCATCAGTCCCAAGAACTCAGAGAAGGGTATTTATTGTCCTAAATAACTGAATGAATTTCTTTAAATACTAGAGGGCAAAAAGTTGTACGAAAATTTTAGAGGCATATTTACAATTTTATTTGTTACAGGGGTTATACAAGTAACGAAGGTCTGCATCGGTTCGTTTCGGAACGGCGGAGGTCCACAGTCTGTTCCTGTACGGGATCTTCGACTCTGGCGGAGGAAGAGGGAAGAGGCACGAGGACCGCCATGGCTTCCTCGCCTGGCGGCTCCACTCTGACCCCAGCCGAGGTGCGCATGGAACTCCATGCTCAGAATCGGGGGAAGCTCGTTCGGTGCCTTCGCCAGCGCCTTGCGGAGTCGTCTCGACCCGTGCACGGATTTGTCCTCCTGCAGGTGAGTGGTCACCTCATTTGGTCGTCGAGATTATCATTCCCAGCGTTCTTGTCGTCGGAGAGGTATTGGGTTGATCTGTATACTTACGCTTCAGGGCGGGGAGGAGCAAAACCGATACTGCACTGATCATGCCGAGCTTTTCAGGTATTCGTTTTCCTCACGATAGTTCTGCTCTCTTTGGGTGTCATAAATGTGGGACTATCACTAATTTATGTGATAAAAAGCTCAACCCCTCTCTATTCCTACAGAGTTGGTTTCCACGGGCTTTCTACGTATCAGGTCAGTTACGCCGTATATTCTATCGTGGGGTGGGGGAAGGAGGATAGAATTACGTTCCACATTCACCGATCGTCGGCGGATGATTGAAACACGCCGATTGTATAACCTGAGGCGTCCAGGATTTTTTTTCTTTCTTTGTTTCTCTCCTTAAACGTTCATATGCTTTTATTTGGATGTCCGAAAAGTGTAGAAAGATTGGGGTTTGAGGCTTTTAAAAACTTAAATATCAACTAGACCGAATGTAACCACAAAATTTTCAGGATAAGATAAGAGGAATTAGTGCACGTTGTGGCTTATTTTTTGACTCGTTTCCTGTTACAACCTCCAACAATGTAGCTTACCATTTTTCTTACTGAAAAAAGAAAAAGAAAAGGCATATCAACAGCTCAAATTGGACGGGACCTATGAGCTGGACTTAAAAATAAATACTAAAACTTTTGAAAATAAGACAAGAAGAACCATATTTTTCTGAATTTTACTTTCAGTTGATTGATCTTGGAATGTATCTTGGGCGTGAAATCCCTTTCTATCAACATTTTGTGCCTAGTTTCTCTGTTACGAGTTTTTAAAGTTAATTTTAGGATGACTAACATATATTGTATTAACTTCCTTGTTGATGTTATGATCCATAGGCAAGAGAGTTATTTTGCTTACTTATTTGGAGTGAGGGAACCGGGCTTTTATGGAGCAATAGTAAGTTTTTAATGCGTGTTATTTGTCTTTTTGCATATCTTTGTTGACAGGATGTGTCTAGTATATTCCAAGTTTTTGTTGTTATGAGTGTTATGTGACGATGTGTCTATAACCTCCTAGGGTCTGTTATAAATAACATAACCCACTCCCTTTGAAATGTAAGTTTGTGTTCCTTTCGAATAAGAGAATACAAATTTCTCCACGGGTTCTAGCATCACTATTCAGCACACCAAATCTGATTTTATCTTCAACATGTTATTAGAGTGAATCCAAGTGCTATCGCTCCTCTTTTCTTCTTTTGCAAAGTTACAAGTTTTTGAATCGATTTGTTGATGGGATACCAGATCTTGTGAATTTGGTTGTCCTTTCTTACTCTAAGTTGAGTATTGTTGACGGAATATCAGATCTAGGAAATCCAGCCATTTTTTTGTAATGTCAAAGGTGAGAAATCTTTCTTCCTGCTCTATGGGTGATCCTTCTTCCACAAGGGATTCTAATCCTAGTCATGGTGCTCTGCAACTATTGGTAGAACTCTTTGCAATGCATGCAGAGTCCAAATTAATTGGATACGATTTGATCCAATGTTCGTAATGTATTCGAGAGGTTTTGACTAGGAGAGGGATGTTTCATCATGTAGTAGATGGGAAACTAGATCCCTCATCTTGTGAATTCCGTAGATGGAGAGAAGAGGATGCACTAATCGAGACCTGGATCTGGGGAACTATGAGTCCTAAATTAGTCATGATTTTTTCTACTTGGCTATAGTCAAAATTTTGTGGGAAACTGTCCGCACAAAATTCTCACAGAACAATAGTGAGTCTCTTATATATGAACTAGAGATAAAATCTATGTCTACCATGATTGTTTTGCTGGGAATTTGAAAGGTTTATTGCAAAAACTTGACTATTATCTGTCTTGACACAAACAAACTTGAGGAGATTGTCATCCTATGGAACTTCATGGAACAAACAGGTGTCTTTTAATTTCTTTAGGACTTAATTCTGTTTTTGATCATGTTCGACAACAAATTTTGACCCATGACAGGAAATTCGATCTGGATTAAGTTATTTTAACTATTTTGAATGAGGTGAGCCGTCGAAAATTAATTGTATCAGTGCCTGAAATAAATAACACTACATTTATGACTAAATAGGGAGAAAATATGAAGAAAGCCACATATCAAATTCTTAGCCTCAACTAGTCATGCAAAAAATCACGTCTGATTTTTGGGATAATCTCTGATACACATGTTGCAGAAAACCTCGTCATACTAGAGATACGTGTTTTAAACTTCATGGTAAACCACAAAATTTTCAGTACTAAAAAACATGGAAGCCATGTACATTTGATAGAGGAACTACCTACTAATCAGACTCCTAATTCGCCACTAGAATCATCAAAATTCTAGCATCTCTCTTCTCTTCAAATGGTGAGATAGAATGACTTTGAGTTGAATTGAAAAAATTGAAGTCAACAATGTCACAACAATTATTGATTCAGCCTGGTAAGTTCCACTGTTCTTTTGAAATTAAAGCTTCTTCTAGAGATCTCTAATAATTAGGTAGTGGACTCATGAGTGATAGACTATATGACGAATTCTTCTCATCACTTTATCAAATATAATACTTGTCCTAGTGATCAAGAAGTATCTACTGCTAACTCTTTCCTTCTAATAATTGCTGGTATAGGAGACCTCAAACTTAAATCCTTTGGAATCCTTATCGATGTACTTCATGTCCCGAAATTATTTACCAATCTCATCTCTATAAAGAGACTTGTGAACAATTCACCTTATTGTGCATTTTTTGATGAGGATATTTGTGTGATGTTTTATAAGATACAACCTTAGAGGATTAGAGTCACTATGAAATATGGAGGACTCTATCTCCTAGAAAGACCTAGTCACACATTTATGATGGAAGTATATCAATACTTAGAGCCTCAAAAGGACCTCGTAAAGCAATTACTCCACCGAAATGGGCCATCCTTTCTTTAGAACTTTAAAATTTCTTTTACTTGATTTGTTTCAAAATGTGTCCTTAGACACCCTTAAATGTGATGTGTATGAATTTTCTAAACACACTCGTGCTTTTTTCAACCACAAGGAGAAAGGAGTGAGATTTATTTCTTCTGTATTCACAATGACATTTGGGGACCATGTCCCATTAATGACATTCAAGGAGATAAGTGGTTTGTCACCTTTATAGATGACTGTACATGGTGTATGTAGGTGTTTCTTCTAAAGCATAAGTTTGATATTTGTGAGACCTTAACATTTTTTTGTGTTATGATTAAAAATTAGTTTGGCACCTATACAAAGAAATTTAGATTTGATAATGAATACTTTAGCCAAAGTTTGGATTCTTATTTTCAAATAGATGGTATAATACACGAATCCTCGTGTATATACTCCACAGCAAAATGGTTTAGCTGAGAGAAAAAATCAACGTTTTTTAGGATTATCTTGATCGATTTTATTCCAGAGTAATATGCCAAATTTAATGGGTTGAGTCTGTCTCAACAGCCACATATCTTATCAACCAATTGCCCACTAGAACCTTTGACTTTTAGAGTCCTTTAGACTCATTGGCAATACACATTCCAAATATTCAAATTAAAACTGTATTAGAACTTAGTTTGTTTGTTTATGTTTATGTTTCCTTTGTTCATCATCACAATCAAACTAAGCCACAATTATTTAAATGCATATTTCTTGGATGTTCTTGTAATAAAAAAGGTTACAAATATGATGTCCTTTTACTCAATTTTTTTTTACGTCAATAGATGTTAAATTTCATAAATGAGAACGGTACTTTAAAAATTCTTCATCTGATGATCAAACTTTATCTTTACAGTTCATATTGATCATCATGTTGATAATTCAGCTCCTTCATCCTTTGGTAATTTGTTTGTTCCCATTTCAGTCCCTGAAAAGAGTTAATTATATTCTAGATCTCCATCCTGAAAATCTCAGATTTGGCATAGTCTACTCGAGGAGAGGAGACATTCAAGAGTGTACACGAATCCAAACCTCTGATTTGACCTTAGAGAATATCCAAAACTCAATACTTATAGCATCAGATGATTATGACATTCCAAATGATTATGACACATTTCCCATTGCCTTGAGACAAGCAATGCGAGAGTGCACAAAGAGACCTCTGTACCTATCAGACAATGTTTTATTCTATCATAGACTCTCTTCATCCTATCAATCCTTGTCTCCTTAGATAGCACTACCATTCCAAAAAATATCTCAAAAGCTTTATCTATGACGGAGTAGAAACAAGTTATGGATGATGAAATGAGAGCCCAAGAAAAAAAAATCAGGCTTGGAATCTGGTGGAATTACCAATGGATAAGAGGGCAGTTGGTTATAATTGGTTGTATATTTACAGATGTTGACTATGTAGGGTCAATGATTGATCACATATCGACCTCTAGACATCTCACACTTATTGGAAGCAACCGTGTTACATAGAAGAGTAAAAAACAAAAGATGGTTGCTCGTTCAAGTGCTGAAGCTGAATTCGAGCACTTACCCAAGGTGTATGTGAGTTATTTGGGGTGAAAAATCTACTTGATGATCTACAAATTTCTCTTACTGGTCCTATGAAGTTCTTTCTCTTACTTGTGACAATAAGTAATCAACAATTAATATTGTGCATATCCAGTACAACATAATCATACCAAATATGTGGAGGTTGATTGTCATTTCATCACAGAAAAGCTGGAGGAGTGTTGACAGGATGTGTCTAGTATATTCCGAGTTATGTGAGTGTGTCTAGAACCTTCCAGGGTCTGCTATAAATAACAAATCCCACTATCTTTGAAATGTAATTTTTTGTTTCTTTCGAATAAGATAATATTTTTTTCTCCAGGGGTTCTGGTGTCACTATTCAGTGCACTCAACCTGATTTTATCTTCAGCAATCTTCTATGTTTGCTTTTATGTTTTCGTCTGAACCTATCCACTGTCCACTTGATTAATCATGGCACGCTCAACCTTTGTTATATCCTAGCTGATGTTTGATCTTTGCACTGCATTACTTATTTTTTGCTCTTACTTTTTTTTTGGTTCTGCATTAGACTGATACCTAGAGAATTACTTCCAAGTGACTGGTTTTATTTTCATTTTTTTTGGTTTTAAATTAATGTTATTTTTTTATTTTCTTGAAGGATATTTCTTCTGGGAAGTCGATTCTGTTTGCTCCAAGATTGCCCGAAGAATATGCTGTTTGGATGGGTAAAATAAAGCCGTTGGCTTACTATAAGGTCATCTTATATCTGATATCGTTCAATTTAGATTTTTTTTAATTTTTTATTCTCACATTTTATAAAAGATCTGCAGGAATATTACATGGTTGACATAGTTTTTTATACGGATGAAATCGTGGAAGTGCTTCAGAATCATTGTGAGAATCCAGGGAAGCCTTTATTGTTTCTCTTGTATGGTTTGAACACTGATAGCGGTAATCACTCCAAGCCTGCAATGATAAAGGTAATTTTCACTATAACCTTTTTCTTAAGTAACTGTGCTACTATTCATTTGTTGAGATAGAAGGATGACTCTAATTCATTGATAGAAGGAGAGAGTACACGATTTGACCCCATCCTCGCCTCCTCAACTTTGGTAAAGAGATATGGACGAAGCAAACACATCCAGACACCTTAGAAGTTGGGTGAAAAACGGCCTAACCATGGAGAAAGACTATAAAGTACTACATACTTAAGAATAGATGTTGAAACATGAAAAATAAGAGAAGGGACACTAAGAATGGTTTGGAACATGACGTGGACCCTACACATCTGAGTGAATTTAATTTAGATGGAGATGCTTTCTGACTAACATGTCTACAGGGAAAAACATACTAGTGATGCTCAACTTCCCATCCCCTCACAAAAATCATTTGATATAATGTCTGATGTGATATATGCCTTGGAAGATAACGCTATGGGATAGTAGAAATACGATAAGAAATGGTAACCCGAGCTAGTTTAGATTGATCATCAGGATAATAGAGACTGCAACACTTATGCCTTCCACAGATCTTCGTCATCTGGAAAATTTTAAATACAATACTATATAAAGAAAGTGAGTGAACAATACAATGATTTCGTCAGGTGACTAACATGGAAGAGAGTGTCAGGGTATTTGGGAAGAGGATAGGATCAGATAAGAGTGAGGAAAAATATGATAGTTCACCCACCAAAAAATGATCTCATAGATCAATCTAGAACTGTGAGTAATAAGGTGCTAGGATGATAATCGAAAGAAGACATCAAGTACTTATCATGTAAGATATGACTCTATAATTTTTGACCTAGGAATTGGGTAAAAGTTATGAGGGCAGAATTACTTGACAATGATGGATCAACGACTGTAGATTGAGATCTTGATGGATTAGCGAATCTTTCATTCTCAATCTTAGATAGAACTATTGTAGATGACGCAGTAGTGTGCTCCACACCGCGGGTCATATTAGATGTCGGGAGACTGTTAACCCAAGTTATTATGCCGATGTTTTTCTCAGTGCTTCTCAGATATATGCCTCATACGATCTCAACTCACACATATTTGCATTCCAGCAACTCAATCACTACGTAGTACTCATTCCCTGCTACAATAATCTCCTTTGTAGTGGATATCAGGCTGCCTTTTCAATTGAAGATAGTAATGGAAGCCATACTTACTTGCTAGTGGTATGAGAGAACACTATGAAGTGATGAATTGATTCTTCAGCAAGTAGCTGGATCTAACCGTGACAAAGTTTGATGTTCAAACCAAATAAACTTTTTAAGCTTGACTTTCTTCTGATGTTGCATTTGAACATCCAGAGTGAATCACTAGAAGAGTTTGAATTCATCTCATATATTTTTCATGTTGAAAGATACTCATTTTACAGATGACTTTTTGTTGAAAGATGAAAAATAATTTCTCGTTAAGTTTATAAATTACAGCTATATTCTTATCATGGATACATTCTTAGAAACCATCCCAAATATCCTTTGCATTTTTCGTTAAATTATATGACCACTTAAACTTTTATACTATTTGAAAGTTGTGACAGAACATAATAATAGTAATAATAGTAATAATAATAATAATCTTTTGGCTATATAGTGTACCTATTATCCTTAGAATAAGCTAACCTATTAATGGATGAAATAATTTTCAGTGAGCCCCAACAAAAACTCAAAAGGACAGAGTCCACCTGGCAGTTGTGCCCATTCACGTTAATGCTTGTTCTACATCACGATTTAATATTTCCAACATTACTGCCTTGCCTGACTACAACCTTCTTTCTGAAGGATGCTTTTGGATATCTCAAAATATTCATTTCACATTTTTGCTAGATTTCCTCTCTTAAAAGAGAATTATGTGTCATACTGAGTACATATGTAATGATCTTTCCCTTTTTAAATGTGTTCATGTGATATTGGACTAAATTTTTAAATGTTTTCATGTGTTCATGTCATACTAAATTTTTGCTTAGTATTTTTTTTGATAGACCCTTTTGGTTGGCGTATGGTTGTAGATTGGCGAAAGTCGTGTGATTAATACACAGTCCTTGGGGGTCACTGGGTCGTGTATATTTTATATTAATATTCTTATACTGATATGTCTTTATGCAATATCAACAGGAGATGGAAAAGTTTGACACTGATCTAGACGTGCTTCATCCTGTCTTAACTGAATGCCGTGTTCTCAAGTCTGAAATGGAGATTGGTCTTATGCAGTATGCTAATGACATAAGCTCAGAAGCCCATGTTGAAGTAAAGCATTCAAAATTTAGCTGTACATTTGTATTATCTATCTTTTTTTACCAGATTATGCCAAGTAGATTTCTTTTTACGTTGAAGAGTTCTCTCGTATTTCTTCATTTTCTTTCAATCATAATGGTCATTAAAAAATTTATAGCTCTTACATACGAAATATTGCACGTGTTAGAAGATAAATTTTAAAGGAAGTTTAGAGGTTTTAGGTACCAGTTTTGTTCTTTCTATATGACCAATTGAGAGTGGTGTTAATTTCATAGAAAGTGCCTCAAGATCCGAGCATCAGTCAATCCCCTTTCAAGCGAAGGCTTTAAGGTTGTCTAGAAAATCAGATTAATACGACGTACTAGACTGCTAATCTTAATTGGGAATTAAGATGAAGTCTAAGCCTTTGTCTACTTCGGATTTGATGAGATCCCTTGGCATATGTGAAATTAGTTGCTTCTATGGGAGATTATTATCCAAAATCACACATTTAGACGTTTTATATGATTGAAAACCACGCACTAAAAATTAGATGTTCGCTGTGATTTTTCTTGACTTTTAGGAGTTTGACCTTCATGGCTTACAATTCCCCATAGAATTTTAGGTTTTTGTGCAATGTTAAAGTCCCTTTTTCTGGCGCCATTAACTTAGACACCAATTCTGGTCTGCCCAAAAAGCAACTATCGCTTCAGACGCACGATCCCATACATACTCGCACACAAGTCTACCCTAAATAAATTGTGATCAGAATCTTGCTTTTGTACTTTCCCAAAAAGAATTGCGAGCAGGATCCATCCCTCTTGTCTACCCCATACGAGATAAAATAACGACTCCACTTTCTGGTAGAAGGACTTAAAGGTATTCCTTTTTTCCCCTTAACTGAAGTAACAGCATTCTTCTTATTTAAATACTTTTGGATGATGACTGAATTATTGTCTTCTCAAGATGCAACAAAAACGAAGTTCCTGGTTTGCTCACACCTGTATCCTCTTTGGATGGTTTTTTATTAGTGAAATTTACTCCTTGGCTATCTCATTCCCACAATGATATCCTTCTTTGCTTCACCCGTGGATTCACTTCCAGCATGTTATGGTTAAAACCTTCTTATTTTGCAAAATGGTGGTGTTATTAAAGCGTCATCTGGTGAATTCTTTAGCATTTTATTTGCACTGCTACGTAATTCATTGTTGCTTATTCTACTAAGCTATATTAAAGTAGAGTTTTTTGTCATTTCTTGTGGGTTTTAATCCAACTAACATATTTGAATCAAGGTTATGAGGAAAGCTAGAGTGGGTATGAAGGAGTACCAGTTGGAAAGCGTCTTTCTTCATCATGTTTACATGTATGGTGGTTGCAGGCATTGCTCATACACATGCGTATGTGCTACTGGAGAAAACAGGTGCGACTTATTATCAATTTGTATTATTGTACAGATTAACATATTCATGAGTAGAGAATCTTACCTTAGTGAACTAAGTGATAGATAGGTCAATAAGGGATCCTAAGTGACTTGATATGACCCTGTCCAACTGATACAGTCTGAATGAGTTTGTCAATGTTCTCATACGTGACTTGATGTTGAAAGGTTTTCAGAAGTAGTTTAATACTCTAACAGGCTGTGTGCAGCATAGAGCTATAAGAGGTGGAGGCAGTTTAGTCCAAATCTCCTCAGTCCTCTTTTTTTTCTTTTGAGTGTCTGTACTGTCTTGAATTGGCCAACTTTATGCTTTTCAAGTACTCATAAATTCCGGTCTTCATTCAAGCAAAATGTATTTTCTTTTCTATGTTACATGCATGCACTATTTCTTCAGAAGTTTCAATCTATTTTCATACTTACATTTTTAATGTCCATTGCAGTGCAGTTCTTCATTATGGCCATGCTGCAGCTCCAAATGACAAGGTATTGTCCATACTAAGATATCCAACTAAACCATCTTGGGCCGTTGTAAATTGACATATTTTGTTGTCTATTAAAAGCTTCTTGTTCCCTGAAATTATGATACAATAATATAGATTTTCAAATCTATGCTCTGATTGCTTAACAAAGTCTGAATCCTTTGATTTTTCCTCTTTTCATATTGATGAGAGTTTCTGGTGATACTTTATTTTCATGAAGATAAGGAGTACATATCGTAACTGAAGCCAAGGAAAGACCGAAATTAATAAATTAAGAAGGTAAACTAAAACCGGCCTTTTTGAAGAGAGTCAAGATGTCATAGAGTAGAAAAGAGGCGTGTAAAATAAACCAAGTGGGGCTCAGCTTGCAGAACCACTGGGAAGCTCATAAATGCTTCCTTTACTCAGATAACTCGCTCAAGTAAAATGCAGAAACCAAAATCGATGTTAAGTGAACAATCGTTCCAAAAACTCCGAGAAAGTTTTTAACCCAAAAGTATCTTTAACTCAGAGGCGTTCAAGAGGGAAAGCATCTTTAACCAAAATCGGTCCATGGGAGACTGCCATGCATGTGGCTGTCTCATTCTTACCTATCCTCTGCAAGAAACTCTGAGATAACTTCTTCGACTAGATGAAAATCTGTACTTTGTAGCTATCTATGGTGAGGTTTTGAACTATATCCGATTCATATCGTTCAGCTCAGGTCCTGGCCCGAATAAAGTCCAAAAAAACAGAGCTTCTGGATTGTATCATTTCAATGTGTTCTTGTAGAGTTCTTTTATTTTTTAGACTAGACCCTGTGTTCTAGTTAGCCAATGCTGGTATAACGGCAGGTAAGAGCTTCAAAGACCTTCACTGCCCGAAAGCTGTTTGAATCGCCCACTTGAATTTTTTTTAGGTCCAATCGATAATATCCTATTTCTTGGTCAAATTTCCTTAGGCTGTAATCATATGGCAACATTGAGGAATCGCCCACTTGAATTTTCAATTGTCTGAAAGCTGTTTGAAAAGACAACCGTTAAGCATCACCATGTGGAGAGAACAAAACGCCTTCTTCTGGAAAAATTCCGCCCATCAGCCAAGCTGATCATTGGACCTAAATCTTTTTTGCTTGGACTTTAATCTGTCATTTATGGAGCCCAAACCATAGGCTTAGGATCAAGGCCATCCTATTTGGTTTCTTGTTGGCTCTAACTTTACGCTAGATCGAAACTTTTTGGCTCACTTCTGAGTTCGGCCTCATGACCGCTGGCAGCCATAGAAACATGCCAGCACATCTGGAGATCTTTATTTGCCCAGTTGATTGTTGATCATTTGTTTTTGTATATCTTTCTTCCCTTTAACTTTAATCCATATAAAAATTGAGACTATTATATATCCCTTTCTTATGCGTATGTACTTAGACCAAATTTTATTTGTAGACTTATTTGTAGCGGTTGTCAGGTTTGGTTTGTTTCATTTTTATCATAATTTCATTCTCTTTTGTGCAGACTTTGATAGATGGAGATATGGCATTGTTTGATATGGGAGCTGAATATCATTTTTATGGCGCGGACATAACATGCTCTTTTCCTGTAAGCTCGATTTGGCCTTCCTAGTTTGTCCCAAGTTTACTTTTCCTTGTCAGTCATCTGGTCTCCTTCCTACTCTTTGTTAATTTTCTTTTAGAAGATACCCTGCTGTCTAAGATTTTTTCCATTTCATTTCTTGAAAGGGAAGCAGTCATGTAGAGGATCAGCTAGAGGACTCGTTTTATCCTTGATTCTGTAGTTTATTCAAAAGTGTTTTCTAATCGACGGTATGGTTATGATGATATTTTGCATATAATATGTTGTAAGGAAAGTATTTTTATTGAAAAGTCTTTTATACACTTCTTTCATGGAAATCCTCATTTGAGTTCAAACTCTTGAACTAAAATTAGTTAATGTGGATTAAATCTCTTGTTATTTTATGCTATGTCACAATCTTCTGGGTTCTCATTCTATTCTTATGAGTACTAGTGTAACGGACAATCTGTGTTCCATATTATTTAAACCGCAGTTTTCTCACTGAACACATTTGATATTAAATGTGTATCAAATCCACTGTTGTTCTTGTCTAGTTCTCTAGTTTCAGCTTATTTCAGCCACCATATACATCTGACAAATTCCGGATTCTTATCCTTGTCAAGATTTGAGATCGGGTTGCTTGGGTACATGAACTATTTTCCTGTGGCTAGCAGTGAAGCCGGGTCTTACATTGCTTAGTTACACTGTTCCAGTAGGTTTAAATATTTCCTCTTTTGCAGGTCAATGGAATATTTTCAGCAGATCAACTTCTTGTTTACAACGTGAGTATTCTATTATCCTGTTATTAATGGGTATGCTTTCAGTTGGTATGCCATTTCTCTAAGCTTAGACTTGTCTAAATCAAAATTAATTATTAAAAGGATCAATGTCAGGGAAGCTAAGTCATCAGGAAACAAAATGTACGTTCTTGAATAGTTTCCTATACAATGGTAAACTAGTATAGAGATACGGAGGCAAAATTATCCAAAACGTTTTTTTGGTATATTCCAATTGAAGGACGCGGAAATGGATGTTGAAACTCTTTGCCTCTGGTAAATGTGAACGTCAATTTCACGTTGCGTTTGGGTGAGATGTTCCCTTATCAACAAACCTCAAGGACCTGAAAACTTATGAAAGTTGGGCTGAAGAAAGGATGGTGTATCCTTTTAGCTCTATGATATTCTAACTTTGTTATTTTGAGTGCAGGCCGTCCTTAAGGCTCATGATAATGTTATATCATGCATGAAGCCTGGTGATAGCTGGATCGACATGCACAAGTAAATTTGTCAATTGCATAGTAAATTTATGAAGACAAATTTCTATTGCAGCCCTATTTTTAAAAATGTTTTCGGACTGTCGTTTAAAATATTTTCTTATTCTTATTATTTTTTAAAAAATTTCACCAATTACATCGCCATCTATCAATTTGACTTTGAAAGTATGCCCAGATAACTAAAGCAAATGTGTATCCGAATTATTATTCATGGGGAAGTTCTGGCAAATCATTGCATTATTACTATTTTTTTGTCCCCCAAATGCCGGTTTCGAACTAACGAGAACTATAATCTCGTTCTTTGTTAGTAGACTCCAAATATCCCTTCATAAACTATCCCTTAAATCAGCCAGGATGCATATGCTTATGGGTGTTGAAGATAAAATCAGGTATGGTGCACTGAGTAGTGATGCCAGAGTTCGTGGAGAAAAATATATTCTCTTATTTGAAAGAGCAAAAAATTACATTTCAAAGAGAGTGGAGTCTGTTATTTAAAACAGATCCCAGAAGGTTCTGGATTCATAGTCACGTGACTTGGAATATACTGGACACATCATGTCAGTACTCAAGGTAGCGAATGAATGTCATCTATTCCTAACTTGGGATAATCTTTTCCAGTTGTGCGCTCAAGATGCCTTTAGTAAGCGTATCTATTCATTGATTGTGTGTTGAGATGTATGGCATACAAATCAAGTTTTCCTCCTACTTTCCTTTGATGAGATGACATTTAGCCTTCACATGATAGTACGATTATGATGTACTGGATTTTGCACAATATTGTCACAAAATAAAACTTCATATGATCAATAAGAGCATCAATAACATCTCTGGTCCTCTTGAGGCTTTAAGTATTGATCTGCTTTCACCTGAAATGTTTGACTAGGTCCTTCCAGGAGATAGAGTCCTCCAAGTTTTTTAGTAGTTCAAATCCTGTGAAATTTTACTTCACAAGTTTCTTTTACAGAGATGAGATTGATAAATAATTTCGGGACATGAAGTACATCGATAAGGATTCCAAAGGGTTGAAGCTTGAGGTCGCTTATATCAGCAACTGTCACTAGTAGATACTTTTAGGTCACTAGGACAAGGATTATATTTGATAATATGATGAGAAGAATTCATCGTCTGGTTTGCCACTCTTAAGTCTATTACCCATTCACTCGAAATATCTCTAGAATAAGTTCTAATTCCAAGAGACTAATGGAACTTACTAGGCTGAATCAAATAATTGTTGTTACACCGTTGACTTTAATTTTGTTAGTTCAACTCAGAGTCGTTCTTTTTCATCCATTTGTAGAGAAGAGAGATGTTAAGATTTTGACTGTTCTAATGCCAAACCGGGAGTCTAATTAGTAGGTAGTTCCACGGTCACATGTGCATGACTTTCATGTTTTTCAGTACTAAAATTGTGGTCTACCATGAAGTTTAATACACCTATCTCTAGTGTGATGGGATTTTCTACAGAATGTGCACCAGAGATTATCTTGAAAATCAGACTTTTGATTTTTTTTTCTTGACCAGGTTGAGGCTGTTGATTTGGATCTGTAGTTTTCTTCATATTTTCTCCTTATTTAGTCATAAATGCAGTGTTATCTATCTCAAGACTGATAACATTAATTTATGATGGCTCTCCTCATTCAAATAATTGAAAGAGCTTCATCCATATTATATTTCCTCTCACAGCCCAAAATTTGTTGTCTAACATGATCAAAAATAAAATTAAGTCTTGCAAGAAATTTAAAGACTCTTCTTTGTTCTATAAAGTTTTGTAAGACAGTAATCTACTCATGTTTTTCTGTGTCAAGACTGAGATAATAGTCAAGCTCTTGCGATAAACTTTTCAATTCGCCAGCATATTCAATCGTGAATTTATTACCTTGAATTATAGACATGAATTTTGTCTCTAATTCATATATATAAGCCTCATCATTTTTCCGTGATAATTTCGCATGGAAAATTTCCCACAAATTCTTGACTGTAGCTAAGAAGAAAAAATTATGACTAATTTCGGAAATCATAGTTCCCCAGGTCCAAGTCTTCATTAGTGCATCCTCCTCTCTTCATTTACAGTTCTCACGTGTTTTTTTTCCATCTACCAGGTGATGTAAACATCCCTCTCCTAGTCAGAATCTCTTAAATGTATTCTGACCATTGGATCTAATTGTAACCTAGTGGGGTCTTGGAACTTTCTATACATAGTCACATAACTCGAAAATATACTAAACACATGCCGTCCACAATGGGCCATAATTTTTCTTCTTCTATGTGATCTATTGAATGAGTGATGACATCTCTAGTGTAGTGAAAGCATCAATAACATTTACTTTGGGAGGTGGGTGAAATGTGCACCGTTTTTTATTTTTGCTACAATCTTCCTGCTGTTAGTTTCCTTGATAGAAACTCATTGGGGTTGGTACTCTCAACCAATGTTGCAGATTAGCAGAGAGAACCATTCTTGAGTCACTGAAGGAAGGTGGGCTTATTCAGGGGTAGGTTTGTGTTAAATGATTCCATCGCTGCAACAGTTTCTGAAATTCAACTTTGATGGAAATTTTATTTGCACTTGGATTTGGTTCAGTGATGTTGATGACATGATGGTTGGAAGACTGGGTGCTGTGTTCATGCCACATGGTCTTGGCCACCTCATTGGAATCGACACACATGATCCTGGGGGCTACCCAAAGGTCCCCACAACCTTATTTCCCTGAATCTGGCTCCCAAAAAATTCTGTGTTTCAAAATTGTTCTTTCGAATAGCGATTAATAATGTCCTAATCTAGGGATTGGAGCGCCCCAAAGAGCCGGGACTAAAGTCCTTGAGGACAACGAGGACACTGCAAGAGGGCTTGGTTTGTACTGATCTTCTAATGCTTGAAAATCCGTGAAAAAGTCTACAATCATGCTTTTTTCTGGTCACATTTTCACCTGAGACTTCTCAATCTATATCATCTTATTTTGTCTGGATCCAAACGTTTTTGGTAAACCAAAATGCCCAGAATCTTATTAATAAGATAAGTATTAACATAATGCATGATGCATCATTGCACATTGATCATAATATATTTCGGGTAATAACATCATTATATATTGCCTTGTTCTTACACTGCCTTATTTACATGCTCATTTCCTTCTAATTGATGCTTCTGCATAGTGTATAGTGATCCAGGTCTCTCAAGACCGAATGCCACCCTGAAATTATGAACAGTGGGAGTAATGGCTTTTTTGAAGGTGATCACGGTGGAGCCCGGCTGCTATTTCATCGACGCTCTGCTTGTTCCGGCGATGGAAGATCCAGACAAATCGAAGCACTTTAATTGCAGAGAGATCAGCAGATTCAGGGGCTTTGGCGGCGTCAGGATTGAAAGCAATGTGGTATGACGCTGTAACTTCTCCTAAGTCAGCTAGTTCATCGTCTGCCTGACTTGGAAAATTGCACTCGTATGTTCTAACCATCAGAAAATGAAGCTTTTGAGTAGGGGTGTTGTGGAGAAAATCCCCAAAAACTAGGCTCTGGGTCAACCCCTAGGTAAAAGCCCGAGAAATATAATCCGGGCCCGGCCCGATGAATCTCGGGCCAGATTGTTCTTTTTTCTCTTCTGGGCTTGGTTCATGAAACCAGGCTAATATGATGCAGTGGTTTTATTAACTGCTGAACTTATACTACATAGAACATATTATTATTCATATATCTCAAGGTCGGTGTGGCCTCTTTTTATGCTTCCCAGCTCGTCACGGCGGAGGGCTGCAGGAATCTCACCAACTGCCCTCGGAAGACCTGGGAAATCGAGGCGGTGATGGCTGGAGCACCGTGGCCGCCGCCCCCCCCTGCAACCCTCAGTCAGAACGGCGGCTACCGTTGACGTGCCCACTGTTGAAGGCACAGCTGGTCAACTGTTGCCGGATGAGAGGCCCATCTCCCTTCTGCCGCCATGTTGACCTTCGTGGAGCTGGATTTATGAAATGTTATTTCTCTTCAAGGCATCACTCTTGCCAAAAGGTGGGATCAAAATCTTCCAGTCTTCCAACCCAGATTCCAAGAGACAAATCGGTCTCGATCTCTTAGAACAATTTAAAGCAAAAAGTCAAACATTCCAAATGGCAATTCCTCTGTTTGACCAACAAATCCGTGGGTTATCTTACCGCAATTCCTGGAACTAGACATACTGTTCAGCTGATCAATGCCATTAAGAGTGTAGACCGCAAGTTTTCTCCGCCATCTGGCCTGTGTAACGGGGAGTCCGTCGGTCGTCACCATGCTTGCCGCCTCATCAAAGGGCTCTAGCCTCCGGGTAGACGTCTCCTGATCTGCTCTTTCTCTAACCACGTTTCTCGGATATCAGCCCTTTGACTGCGTGGATTGGGTGTTCTACGGCGGCGGCCGCCCCTCTCGTGGAGTTGGACTGGGAAGTCGCTATTTCCAAGAGTACGACCCAGAAGCATGTTATTCGAATCCGTGTCTATCTCTCATACCCAAACTCTGGAGTGAAGAAGTCAACGCTCATAGACCGCGAACCACAGGTCCTTCCTCTCAGCGACCCGTCATGCCGACATACCCGGCGGCACATCATACTCATTCTCCAGACTAAGATGGTGGGGGTGTTATCCAGTCCGACGGAGAAGGAGAACCTCCGCGACGCTGTCTAATGCTGACAACGCCATAGAACGATAACCCATTAATGAGGGCAGTCCCAGCAAGCAACCGCTTTTACACATACGCAACTAGATAGGTAGATAGAGCGAGAGCGAGAGCGAGGAAGCGAGAGAAAGAGAGAGAGTGAGAGAGAGGAACCAGGACTTCCGACCCTTAATTCTTCTATATAAGCCGCCTCCGACATCCGCAGACTGCAGCGAACAGCAGAAACGGTCCCCCCCTGAGAAGAAACAGAAGCTTCTCCCTCTTCATTCCCTTTCTTAATTCTGGTTGGCCTCAGCTCTCCTTGAATCTCTTCTTACGGCGAAAACAAAGAAAGAAACAGACGTTCAGCTGGGTGCCCTCCGAACCATGAAGCCAGCTACGCTCCTGGGCCTGCTGGTATCCTCTTCGCTTCTCCTCGGTGCTCGTAGTGCTACGATGCCCAAGTCAGTTTTCGCCCATGTCGTAGTCGGCATCCTTAGCAGCTACACGCAGTCGAAATGGGCCAAGGAGATCGCTGACGCAAAGGCTTCAGGCATCGATGCCTTCGCCCTGAACATCGGGAAGGACAGCTACACTAACACCCAGCTGGGCTATGCCTACGCCGCTGCTGCCGCCGCGGGCAACTTCAAGATGTTCATCTCCTTCGACTTCGCCTACTACTCGCTTCCGTCGGACTCCAATCTCATCGTTCAGATCATAAACACCTACGCATCCTCCCCCGCCCAGTTCAAGGTGGAGGGTAGACCTCTGGTCACCACCTTCATCGGAGATAACCAGGACTGGTCGAGCGTCAAGTCGATGACCAACATCTTCCTCGCTCCCAACTGGGCCGACCCCACCTTCGTGGCCTCCAATTCTCTGGTGGAGGGAGGATATCCTTGGAATGCTTGGGGGACGGTCAACAACAAGGGAGTCGCCGATCCCTATCCTAACCTTGTCAACCAGGACTCCTACTGGAAGGCGACGATAGGGAGCAAGCTCTACTTCGCCCCCGTGTCCCCCTGGTTCTTCACCCACTACCCTCCCAGCTCGTACAACAAGAACTGGCTGTTCCCGACGGAAGATCTGTACCTCCGGCGCTGGCAGAACATCTTGGTCACCTCCCCCGCCGCTGTCTACCAGCTGACCTGGAACGACTACTCGGAGAGCACATACATTGCCCCGCTCAGGACAGATTCCAACTTGTACCCTGCAGGAGCTTCTGCCTGGACGGCCGGGATGCCCCACGACGGCTTCCGCTTGATTCAGAATGCCTTCGTCAAGGCCTACAAGGCGGGGTCTTCCTCTCCGGTGATCTCCAAAGACAACATAGTATACTGGTACAGAATCCAATCGGTCAACGCCCAGTGCAACGACGCGACCGGTCGGCCGGAGGGGTACCAATATGTTTCGGACACGCTGTTCGTCGTCACGCTGTTGACCTCGCCGGCCCAGCTGGTCGTAACTTCGGGGGGGCAGTCGTCGACCTTCAACGTTGCCGCCGGCGCCGTCATGACTAAGGTAGCCATTCGAGCAGGCCAACAATCGTTCAGTCTCAAACGGAACGGGCTGACTGTCCTCTCCGGAACGTCGACTCGCTCCTTCACCATTAACTGCCCATCAAACGTCTACAATTTCAATGTCTACGTCGGAACTATATAAGTTCGGACTTTTCAGCAACGTTCTATGTAGTGTACAATAATGTCAGAATAAATATTTATGCATCAATAAAACCCCTTCTCTCTCCCTCTCTCTCTCTTTCTTCTCTCTTACTTACTTTCAGGATTTTCTTATCCTTATGAGAGAAATGATTAGTGTCCGATTACTTGCAAAAGTTATCACTGGTTCAAGGGGGTAACCCTCCACCCTAGATCATCCACACGTTGACGATCTCAATCACCTTTAGAAAAATAAGAAATCTTTTTATGGTGTAACTCTCTCTCTCTCTCTCTCTCTCTCTCTCTCTCTCTCTACATCTATTTATTTAATATTCACATTATTTATCCATTTGCATCTCTATGTCATTGAAGATTATCTGCCTTCTTATTCATATAGATATCAGGCTGGTGTATGACGTTATCTCCAAAGTTGAAACATAGTATTGTGATTTCGTAGAAGTTACGAAATTATGTAGTATAACATATAATAATTCAAAAACTAATATTAATTGGAAGAACACATGATTCAATTGGAGAGTTCCTACTTCAAAAGTATAAGGGGAAATAGATAATACTTATTGATAGTTAAAATGGATGGTAAGGAATAATAATAAATGTGGTAAGACCTTTTAAAACTGAATTAATCAAATAATTTTAATATAATATCATCTCAAGCTTGATCATATATCCTTTCAATGGCCAATGTGGAGCTTGCACTCTAATTCGGAATTTCCTATTCTAAATTTTCCTTCTAGTATAATAACTCATCAACACAATTTCACCAAAATTTGAGAAAAACTATTTGAATCATTTACCCTCATTTCTTTATCAATTTTTATAAAAGGAGGAGAATCAGTTTTATCTTCTTTGCATAAAGTCCTTGTGCTAAATTCCAACACCTGTGTAAGTTTATCTATTTAACAAATAGAAGCATGAGTCATCCTTGGATAAGATCTATATGCCTTCTTCACTCCTTTAGGTTTTATTGAGGCAATAGTTTGTCTTATTTCGTCCTCTTGCCTTTTTAATTATTTAAACAAAACATTAATGATGCCATAAATGATAAATATGTCTTTAAATTAACAAATAATTCTACCTAGTTGGGTAATACTTATTTTACATTATAAACGAAATTAAGTATTCTTTTGACCCTTGAAAATGCCCAAGATGATTGCATATATGTGCTAAAATGATATATATAGTTTATCAAGAATTTTGTTGTCAATGTATGTATTACTGTCGCCTCGATGAAAATGGAAGTTACTATTGGACATGTTACCTCTATGAAAGACCAACTTTAGACCATTGAATGAACATAGGACGTCTTTTCTATTAAAAGACCAACTTTAGAACATTAAATGATCATTGGAGAACCACAGATGCCGTGGAGACACTACATCTGTGGGTGCAAGGTCTTGCTAATGATTGGCATGGCGCAGCATAGTATTGGCATAGGAGTGGTGCAAAGCGGGTGCATGTGGTAGGTGCGCATCCGGCAGTACAATGTGGGGATGCATGGTATGAGAGTATGACAGGTGCAGCAAGTGGGGAGCAGAAGTGCAACATGCGTGCACATGACCAAGATGTGGGCGCATGACATGGGCATAATAGTCATAGGATTATCATCACGATCTAGATGTGTGTGACAACCAGAGTGTAATTGTCAGTTAGGAACATGCGGGCACCTTTGGGACTTGTTTGAACTATTCTTGAACAAAATAGGGAACCATCCAAGAAAGGGAAGATGTGACCAAGTCTTGACTAAGGAAGGCAAGTCCAACTAGGGGACATGCTCCATCCAAATTATGGAAGGAGGTTCTCCATCCTCTCCCCTAAATAGGGAGAGCCTTTGCCTAGTTGGGGCAGAGGTAGTGAGAAGATTCTCCTTATCCTTTTTCCCCCTTGTATTCTAGAACTAGAATAAAATCTACATTGATCCAAACATCTCTCTTTGTACTTCTGCATGCTTTCCTAGCACTAAAGAGAGGTTAGGTTGGTTAGGCATCCGGCACACAAGTGATTGTTGGCGAAGAGTTCGTTAAGTGCCTGCGTAATATATGACCATTTGGGGAGTAGAATATGTCAAGTAGACTGAACAACTATAAATTATAGGTGTTAAATGTGTTTTCCATTTATATTTGATGTAGCATAAGTTTTAGATGAACAAATATTCAGGTTTTCAGTTCATAAGACAAATTACTTCAATTCATGAAAAATACAACAATTGAATTTTTTTTCACAATCTTTAAAGCCATAATGATCGCTTTAATCTTCATGTAAATAAAAAATATCTCAAAGAGAATGAAGATATTATTACTGATCATCTAGAGTGTTAAAGCCTTTAATTGTGGTTGAAAAATGATCTAAATGCCCTTTAAACTCAAATTTGCTAAAAAGTCAAGAATTAAAAAGGGGCAAAGTTAAACACTACAAATCACTAGTTTGTGACACAATATCCTTAGTGTTGGGACTAGCCCAATAGATATTGGGGTTGAGGTCATTTTGGGCCTTTAGATGTTTGTATCCACATTTTCACATTTTTCAAGTCACTTGCGTGACAAATTTTAAACTAATCTTATTTCTTGAA